ATTTTTCTCATGTAGACTCATTCACACAATTTGCAGTTTTCAATTCCCTCTACTACTTCTAACCTTCAAAGTGTCCTCGCAGAAGTTGGACATGTTGTGGAACTAATGCTGGCATTATATTCTACGTATTTTATAGCAGTTAAATTGATTGGGTTTGAAATGGAAGTTTGTGAAATTATTGGCTGGAACATTATCTGTAATTGAAATGACTTAGTCATCATAGTCATGATTGGGAAGTTAATTTTCATCGGCGCCTCCAAAATCTAGATGCAGAATCAGTCTTGGGCGAGATCAATGTTTTGGACTTTGTTTGAGGAAACTTTGTCATAGAATGGAATCATTGCATGATCATGTGTTCAAAACCCAGATTGTAGCCAAAATTTTGTTTTAACAATTAATATATTCATTTTGTAGTATAAGTTAGGATTCTTATCACAGCAGATGTAATGTTTAATTGAACATTCTTAACATCATTTCCGGATCAAATGTTCATTAAAACCGAGACCCTCAATTCCCTGACTATTTATGTCTGCTGTTATAAAAATCATTATGTTTTATCCCTCTCTTATGGCAGGTGAACAGTTAGAACACCAAAGAATATTCTAGTTTTTACGTCTTTCAAAATACTTTGTACAGTTTTGCACAAAAAGTTTTTAAAAAACACACAAAAATATCAAATCTGTATTTTTGTAAGAATGTGTGACTTCGTACTTCTGTATATGGGCAAATGAAATAAATAAATATTATGAAACAAAGTGATTTCTTAGTTTTATTTTAAGGAGTTTTATGTATTTTAGCATATACAGGTTTAGAGATCATTTTTCTCCAGTTTTAATTAGTAAATGGCATGAAACAGGCCGTAAGCTTTCTGCATGGCTTTGGCAGTTTCTTATATTTATATTTGTTGTATTTAAAACACTGAGTTGATTAATTAATTAGTTAGCACTTAGTATCCCTTTATTGTATATAATGTGTTTCAACACCTGCCATAAGAATTAATTGTTGTGTGTCATTTTGTTATTTATTCATGCATATATTTCCTGTTTTGATTGATATGTACTGTAATGCACAAGATAAGCTGAAATACAATCATCAGGTTTTAACCTGAAAATAAACAAATAGAAATATTTGGAGTCTTTTTCAAGCCTGATTTCAAGGCTATTGCTTTGTGAAAAGTTTGAAACAGCACCGTTTGATGTGACCATAACTTCTTGTGCATTTATTGATATTGTTAAAACTAACTTGTAAATGTTGAAGTTGATCTTTTGTGTGTTTTGAATGCGAACATTTTGCAGAAATACTTAATTTAGAAATTTAACATCTTCAGAAAGGCTTCTGACTGAAAATAATTTTGATAAATATTTCAACACTGATGACTCACATTTATTCTCAAATATTACTGAATTTTTTTCTCCGGGGCGGTCAGATAGCCTAGTAGTTAAAGCGTTCGCTCTTCACGTCAAAAACACGGGTTCGATTCCCGACATGGGTACAATGTGTGAAGCCCATTTCTGGTGTCCCCCAGCGTGATATTGCTGGAATATTGCTAAAAGTGGTGTAAAACCATACTCACTCACTCACATTTTAGTTTCTGCAAAATGTATGTTAATTTTTTTCATGTTTCTATGTGGCAGTTATGCATGAAATGACCCAATCTATTTATTCCCCATACAGCATGTTTGTTTCAGAATTATCTCCCTTGGGGGATGATCTTTTCTAGATGAAAGAAGAAAGTTAAATGATGTTTGTATTGAAAGACAGAGGAAAGGAGGAATGCAAGTTGTGCATGTTATTCTCATTACTTCATAATATTTGCTGAACACAAAAGGTATTGAATTTACAATGAAATATTTCACAAAAGTCACTTTGAACAATCATTTTGCAAGGATCATAAATCATGTTTATCACCTTCTGAAGTACATTGTATATAAAGAACCTTCAAGCTTCCTTTAACTTCCTTACCATACTGGCAAAACATTTTCATGGAAACCTGTCCATTTTACACCAATTCATTGAGGTTGATCATATTGGGAAGTGTTATGTTTGAAAGAATGGCATTACCATTATATATCATATACCAGTAGTGTTCTTATATACATGGTTAGAAAGGATATTCTCTTTTAAGAACACCTATCACAGGCATGCCTTTGGAATTTGCTTTAAAATTCAATATTGAAAGTTATTTTATGATCACTTTTGAGAAAACAGAATAGAAACATATATTAACTTATCAATACTGTATTTTTGTTTAAGTGTTGCAAATAATTACATCTGGGCTGCAGTTATCGTTTGTTTGGAATTCATATACAAAAGAAACCATTAATTAGCATATACCTCCATGTGTTCACAAGAGCTGTTTATTTTCCCCATACTCAAGTACCTTGTTTCTCCCCATCACTCATCTGATTTTCTTCTGTTTGCGTTTCATTAGCTCTATATTCTAGATTCATACTTGCTTGGTCTGCTCATTCGCCAACCTCCCCCTTGATCACATGACCACTCCCAGCATGCATCCTAGCGAAACTGGAGATAATGGCATTCATGAAAGACCTGACACATCCAAAGCTGGATGCTGCTGCTACATTAGCTCTCAATGCTCTTCAATCAGAGGAAGGTTATCAATGGTAAACAAAGACATCAAACAGTCAACCAAAACATTTGTATGTTTGAAAACATATTTTAAACGTTTCTTTGATTCTCTTAACATTTTCTTCAAATTTACCTGACCAACATTTATTTATTTAAGTTCTCTCTCTGCATTTTAACAAGAATATATTAAAGTAAGGAATTAAATGGCTAATATAAACAATTATTTTCATTCTTTGTTTACAAAATGAACAAAATGTTTGGTTGCTGTTTTTGATGTTCCTGTTGCTTCACTGACTATCATCAAATATCACTAGTAGAAATGATTTGGTTTCCCAAAAATTGGATCTTTGTGAAAGAAATTGTATTATGAAGGCAGCTATTACTGCTCCATGTATTTGGGAAGTTTGAGAAGTTTCATGGTAGCTCTACACAGTATTCAGTGATTTGAGATGTTGCAATGAGGGTATATTTTGATGATGGTCAGTGCTTGACAGATCTTTGTTATCACATGTGGAAATGGAACTATGGTAAGAGATCGAAATAAGACAACATACCCAAAAGACAGACACACAGAGGATTTTCTGATGTCATGACAATGGTATTCTTGAAACAGTTTTTGTTCCTTTTGAAATATATATGTATCTGTACAGAAAAGTTAAAGCGCTTACCAATGATTTAAGAAGAAATATCAGAATAATCCTTATTCATCTGAAGCTATTACAGTTGTCATGGTAACAGCACATCCAGAAGGGCCTCCAGCCATAGAGAGAGAATACAATACCTCCTCCAAGGTGATCCAACATGTTCGTATCCAACATGTCCACACATCAGATGTAGAACTCTTAAGTCAGAGATCTTGGTACTCTTTTTAAAATATTAGAACCAGGCATGTCTCAGAGCTATGGTGGGCCTCTAATGTGTGGCAGAAATGAACTGTTGAATTGTGATTGGATGTATACCTCAAGGGGATGTCAAACACACACACAATATTCTTGTAATGACAATGTGTTTATGTGACATCATCAGCTTATTTTGTGGGTTTTGTCTTGTCCCCTTTGCTATATTTCCTAAATTTAAATATATACTATTTGCAGCGTGGTGGAGTAGCCTAGTGGTGTTTGCTCATTGCACCAAAGCCCTGGGTTCAGTTCCCCCCATGGGTACAATGTCTTAAGTCTATTTCTGGTGTCCCTGTCATGATATTGCTGGAATATTGCTAAAAGCTGCATAAACCATATTAGCAAGGTCCACTCTTTTCAAGGTTTATTTTCTTTATTGTCCGTTATGTGTTGATATACCATTGCATTGTCTTTCATTGATAGGGTTGGTGGGGTAACATAGTGGTTAAGGTATTTGCTTGTGAAGATGAAGGCCCAGGTTTTGATTCCCAGGGTGGGTACTATGTGTGAAGCCCATGTTATTGCCCTCTGACCTTGATATTAATAGATATATTACTCACTCACTCTTTCACAAAGTAAATAGATAGACTATCATGTAAAGAGTCTTACAAATATGTTGATTAACGGTTTCCACCATTTAATAATAAAGCTGATTATGAACTTGTGGTCTAAATACAGCCCAATTCCACAATCGATTGTTGCACTTTTATGAAAGTAACTCCCACACTTGAGCATAGACTTACTATAGTTGTAGCACAATGATCACTTTCTGGAAGCAGACCCAAGTATGTCCATTTACATCAGATGTGTATCATGTATGGATCTGACTTGTTGAGACACTGATGGTTTCAGAAGACTAGCATGGATACCTTACGATGGAGAAGGAGATTTTCCTGCTGCATCACACAAAGCAGCTATTGTGTCATCGATGTTTGAGTTCTCATTTACATCATGCATTCATCACACAAAGGAGACGCAATTGGTTACATGAAACAGATTCCACCTTCACCACCACCTACACAATCCCATACATCTGTCATCACCTGCGACACCCAGAGTAGTACCCCATGAGTGGCTCCTCCCAGAGGGTCGACACCTGATTCATCAATCTCATCAGAAGTATCATTATTGCTTGTGTGAATGGATGGCTGTGATGGATGGATGAACAAATACTTGCTATTCTTCTTTGTAAATGAAGTTCAGGAATGTTAAAAATGTATCTTAAATTCTAGGGTTATGGTTATTCAGTTCCAAACTTTAATTGCATAAAGTGTTTTTGAAAATTCTTGGCATATTGTGAAGTTTTCTTAAATGGTTTGTTTTCTTCTATCTTAGTCTTGCACTTAAATTATTCATCTATCTATACTCTTTGTACTTTTGTGGAGCTAGAATCTATTTAAAGCTTTTCGTGATCTTGAACTTTTCTGAATTTTCTTGAATCTATGGTGTGGATATGGTAAGGTTCTGCTTTTTGCTTTCTTAGATTTGAATCAGCTTTTTGCTTTAAAACAGAATTGCCCGAATCGGAAGAAACAGCCAGTGAAATCACACAAGTTGATACCGATATAGTGGAGGGTCTGGACGTTGCTCCCACAGTAACAGAAGCTCCAGAGAGGTCTGAAATTGTTACAATTGAGACCACTGGAGATGAAACAACTAAACCTGAGACGGAGGTAGTTTCACATGAATTTGTCGTCCAGGAAACGGTGCAAACCGTTTCCGAGGAAGTCATACAAGAAGAAGCACCTCTTCCCTCTAAAGAGGAAATCACTCCGGTGAGTGAAGTCACTGAAGTCTCCATCCCATTTGAAGTTGAAAAGGAGGAAGAAATTCCTGAGGAATCAACAACTGTGGTTGATGCCTTTGAAGTAAAGGAACAACTGCAGGAGGCAGAAGCAGAAGAAGTTCCTGTTCACACTGCACCTGAAGCAGTGGTGGTAGAGGAGGAAGAGGCTCCAGTCCAACCGGAGGTTCTTCTCCAGGAGGTGCAGAGGGAAGAGGTTCCAGAAATCCTACAAGCACCTCAATTCACACAAGCATTGTCTAATGTAGAAATACTTGAAGGACAACCAGCTACTTTCGAGTGCAAGGTAACTGGCATACCCGTGCCAGAAGTTACCTGGCGTATTGATGGTGAGGTCATTGACGACTCACCAGACTTTCACATCGTCCAGAAAGATGATGGCGTGTGCAGTCTCACCATCACTGAGACGTACCCCGAGGACGAAGGAGAGTATGAATGCCACGCCATCAATACCCTTGGAACAGCCACAACCAAAGCAGACCTCTACATTCAAGGTTGGATTTTGCTTTCTTGCCTTCCTATAGCATACTTGTACCCAAAATATCATCTCATCCATAGAACCATATGTTATCACCATTGCCACTGATTGTTCTCCTTACTGGTATTTCAGTTTAGTAATTCTGAAGAAAACAATCACGATTATTTCTGTTATTTTATTAGTGTATTATCTTTCAAAAAGTGGGATTATGCAATTTGTTCAGTATGATTTTCCAATTAAGTCCAGTCACACATTAGTTGGCTGTGCTGAGTTGTGTCCCTTAGATGGGTAAGGATCCTATGATTGCTTTGAAAACCAGATTGACCCTGTTTGGAATGTTAGCACCATACCCATGCTCATGGGATTCATTAGAACAGTAAACAGCAAAGACTTGCATCACTTTAGGCTTTCCTCCCACCTTTAGTTTACATGTCGTGACGTTACTTAAATGTTCAAAGTGGTGGTAAACCCAACTGGAAGAATAGGAATCTGAATTATGGAACAAACTGAAATACGGTTTGGAGACTGTGGCTACTGACCTAAGCACACTAACTTTGCCCGAATAAGCATGCCCTGCCTTCTCTTCTGCACAAACAACAAAACACCATTTTGAAGATATGTAAAAAATCTATGTGTTTAGATTCCATTTTATATATATATATATTTGAGAAACTTGAACAGGATTGATCATTTTCATATTTAGACTTCAGGCTGGTGTTTTGTGTACAGTAGCTTCCAATCACTTCAAAATATTTCTTCAAACATCATTTTGCCTTCAATAGTAGAACTTTATCTTCTCTTATCAAAATTCAAATTTTTGCTTATATTCTTTTTTTTATTAATGTTGTTTAGGCATCTTTGTCATTCATGATTGATGACAAATATAAGTAAATGGATGACAAATATGGAAATTTGATATAATTTTGTTTTCTGTTTTAATGGAACTGATTGAATGATTCAATATAATTCTTGAAATATATGCACATAATCATATATTTTTGCACAATGACCCAATGCTAAACCCATGATCATCTTAACATACATATAGTAATCTTACTCTTCATAGAGTGAAACCTTTCCTAGTGATTGCATATGTAGACCCTGAAGAATCCACACAGATTGTGCCCTTTCCAAGAATGTTGAACGTACCTTACTATTGGAAATATATAAACCTGGGAGATATCCAGCAGATTGTTCCCTATCCTGGAGTGTTAAAAAGCTTATTGAGTACCCATGAGAATGTGTTGAGATCCCTGAACACCAAGAGTGAATGGTACCTAGCAAATGGCCCCGGCCCCAGCCCCTGCACTCCTTCCAGACCGTTATTTGACAGTACAGTGCTCATTTTAGAAATATAGTTATGAGTAACTATGAAGGAATATTGATGTTTTCTTTGTTAATTGCTCGTGTCTACTGTTCACAACAGGTATATCTGTTTTGGACATCATTATAATACAATACATCAAAGTTAAACATTGCAATTTCTTTATGAAACTTTATTGCATGTTCTAGTTTCATGTGAACAGTGGACACAGCTGGAACTGGCGTTAGGCCTGCAATATAATGTTGTGGTTCAAATTGCACAGCTTTTGTTAATCTTGAATGGTCAAAAGAGGCATTAGTTGCTTTTGAATCCAAGAAGAACTGCAGAATAAATTTCATAAAAAGCTGTAAGCCAACTTCTTGTTGGCATGGTAATGTGAACCACAGCATGGCTTTCATTAATGTGACACTTTGGTAGTGAAACAGATTGGTAGTGAAACAGAATCAGATCAATATATCTGATTGTTTATCATTGACCCTCCCATGAATTTTACAGAATATGAAAAGGAACAAGAAAATGTTTCAAATATTCCTTTTATTTTTTAACTTTTTTTCCAACAACCCATTTTGGGAGATTTACTTCTTTTAACCTGACCCTGTATACTTTGGACTTGACATGCAAAGAAAGTTTATGAAACAGGAAAACAACTTGATCTGTTCTTATTTCCCACTAATATAAACTATTTAGAGTGTCATATTATTTGGAAAAGTGATACCTTCTGTTGTACATTGTGGACAACTTTATACATGCTATTGTTACTACTGCTATTGATGTAATTGCTACTGTTGTAACTGCTGTTGTTATTTCTGTTGTTGCTATCTGTTGAATGGTTTATTCTGTATTGTTTTCTCTGTGAAACATAACATTATTCACGTGTCAGGAGAAAATTGCTTTCCACTGTCATCAGTTTGGTGTGTGTTGCAGTTGACATCAACATAACAATATTATCTGTTTATACTAGCAGGTTAGATGGAATACTAAGTATTGGCAAACATTAACAAGAACATTGAACACCTAACAGCTTTGCCATGCATTCACTTAACAGACACTTAATATGAAGTCAAGAAACACAATAGGGATATGTTTGCTTGTGAGTACCTATGTTCTGTACATTTAAGAAATATCACCATTGTTATAAATGTAATGTTTTTGTATAGAAATAGAGTTATATATATTTTGTTTGTTTAGAAATTACCTTAAAACTTAGATTGATTGATTGCATTTCTTGATAATTTTAGAATTTTTAACATTGATGTCTTTATTTCAATTTTCTAGACAGATCATTCTTAGTAAAGTGAGATTGTTTTTAGGAATAAAACTAACATTTGCTGATTTCGATGAGGCATTACTAATACCAGAGTTTCTTGCAAAATACAAAGAAGCATGTGCTTTGTCAATGCGTTGATTGATTTTACGGCCATTTTACATACTTTGCCTCACTTTGGGTGTAAGACACACCCACATCATGACAGCTTGTGCCTGTCATTCTTCTCTGATGCATGCAAATCTGAACAGAACAAGAGCCGCCATGAACTGCATGAAGGTGTGCAAACTGATAAAGGTGTCTGTCACAGTGCGCAAATAACTCCACGACTACACATCATTCCATTTCATGCCAGCATGATACAAAAGAGTTTTTCAGTTTAAAAACGATTTACATACCATGTGCCCAGTAACACAACTGATATCAAGTTGGACTTCCATCAGGAAAATACTTGAGTCAGCATTTTAAATGATGAAATGACTTTAACTCTTTCACAATATTTCATGATAATCATATATACCTCCATTTATAAAGGAGTGTTGTATAATGTCAACAATCAATGATGTATTCTGTTGTAAAAAACAGAGAATGTGGACTACAGGAATTATTGAATTGGTAAATATACTTCTGCCCATCAGACAGAAGAAAGGAGGCTCCAGACGAAGACCAGATAACCCCAGAAATTGAATATCCTGTTGATAAACCTGTTGAAGTTGACACAGATGTTGTAGATAAAGTAGGTCATATAATGGAAGAGCTGCAGGAGTCAGACACTGAGGAAACAGTTCCTGACATATCTGAAGTTGAGGAAACAACAATTGAAGCGAGTGAAGTGACAATTGAAGAAATCACTGAAGAAATACCCGAGGAGGGTGTTGAGAAACACAAGGAGGAGATAGTCATTTCTCTCAAACCTCAACCTGATGTAACTGAAGTTGAGGAAATTACCACTGAGGTAAGTGAAGTGACAACTGAAGAAATCACAGAGGAGATACCCGAGGAAGGTGTTGAGAAACACAAGGAAGAGATAGTCATTTCTCTCAAACCTCAACCTGATGTAACTGAAGTTGAGGAAACAACAACTGAAGTAAGCGAAGTGACAATTGAAGATATCACTGAAGAAATACCTGAGGAGGGTGTTGAGAAACACAAGGAGGAGATAGTAATTTCTCTCAAACCTCAACCTGATGTAACTGAAGTTGAGGAAACACCCACTGAAGTAAGCAAAGTGACAATTAAAGAAATCACTGAGGAGATACCTGAGGAGGGTGTTGAGAAACACAAGGAAGAGATAGTCATTTCTCTCAAACCTCAACCTGATGTAACTGAAGTTGAGGAAACAACAACTGAAGTTAGTGAAGTGACAACTGAAGAAATCACTGAGGAGATACCTGAGGAGGGTGTTGAGAAACACAAGGAAGAGATAGTCATTTCTCTCAAACCTCAACCTGATGTAACTGAAGTTGAGGAAACAACAACTGAAGTAAGCGAAGTGACAATTGAAGATATCACTGAAGAAATACCTGAGGAGGGTGTTGAGAAACACAAGGAGGAGATAGTCATTTCTCTCAAACCTCAACCTGATGTAACTGAAGTTGAGGAAACACCCACTGAAGTAAGCGAAGTGACAATTGAAGAAATCACTGAGGAGATACCTGAGGAGGGTGTTGAGAAACACAAGGAAGAGATAGTCATTTCTCTCAAACCTCAACCTGATGTAACTGAAGTTGAGGAAACAACAACTGAAGTTAGTGAAGTGACAATTGAAGAAATCACTGAGGAGATACCTGAGGAGGGTGTTGAGAAACACAAGGAAGAGATAGTCATTTCTCTCAAACCTCAACCTGATGTTACTGAACCTGAAATAACCACTGTAGTCAGTGAAGTGACAACTGAAGAAATACCCGAGGAGGATGTTGAGAAACACAAGGAAGAGATAATCATTTCTCTAAAACCTCAACCTGATGTTACTGAACCTGAAATAACCACTGAAGTAAGTGAAGTAACAACTGAAGAAATCACTGAAGAAATACCCGAGGTGGGTGTTGAGAAACACAAGGAAGAGATTGTAATTTCTCTCAAACCTCAACCTGATGTTACTGAACCTGAAATAACCACTGAAGTAAGTGAAGTAACAACTGAAGAAATCACTGAAGAAATACCTGAGGTGGGTGTTGAGAAACACAAGGAAGAGATTGTAATTTCTCTCAAACCTCAACCTGATGTTACTGAACCTGAAATAACCACTGTAGTCAGTGAAGTGACAACTGAAGAAATAACTGAGGAAATACCTGAGGAAGGTGTTGAGAAATACAAGGAAGAGATAGTCATTACTCCCAAAACTGAACCTGTTGTCACTGAAGTTGAGGAAACAACCACTGAAGTGAGTGAAGTGACAACTGAAGAAATAACTGAGGAAATACCCGAGGAAGGTGTTGAGAAATACAAGGAAGAGATAGTCATTACTCCCAAAACTGAACCTGTTGTCGCTGAAGTTGAGGAAACAACCACTGAAGTGAGTGAAGTGACAACTGAAGAAATCACTGAGGAAATTCCTGAGGAGGGTGTTGAGAAACACAAGGAAGAGATTGTCATTACTCCCAAAACTGAACCTGTTGTCACTGAAGTTGAAGTGACAGCACCTGAAGACATCACTGAAACTGTTTTCAGAGAAACTATTGAAGTGACAAAAGAAATCACTGAAGCACCAGAGGAAGTGGAAGCTGAAGTGATTGTTGAGGAAACACCAGAACAGGAGGAGGTTGAGGCAGAAGTAACTATTGAGGAAGTTCCTACAGAGGAGGTTGAAGCTGAGGTAACCTTTGAAGAAGCACCTGAAAAGGAAGAGGTTGAGGCTGAAGAAATTCCCCTTGAGGAAATCACAGAGGAAATACCCGAGGAGGGTGTTGAAAAGTACAAGGAAGAAATAGTCATTACTCCCAAACCTGAACCTGTTGTCACTGAAGTTGAGGAAACAACCACTGAAGTGAGTGAAGTGACAACTGAAGAAATAACTGAGGAAATACCCGAGGAAGGTGTTGAGAAATACAAGGAAGAGATAGTCATTACTTCCAAAACTGAACCTGTTGTCACTGAAGTTGAGGAAACAACCACTGAAGTGAGTGAAGTGACAACTGAAGAAATCACTGAGGAAATTCCTGAGGAGGGTGTTGAGAAACACAAGGAAGAGATTGTCATTACTCCCAAACCTGAACCTGTTGTCACTGAAGTTGAGGAAACAACCACTGAAGTGAGTGAAGTGACAACTGAAGAAATAACTGAGGAAATACCCGAGGAAGGTGTTGAAATGTACAAGGAAGAAATAGTCATTACTCCCAAACCTGAACCTGTTGTCACTGAAGTTGAGGAAACAACCACTGAAGTTAGTGAAGTGACAACTGAGGAAATCACAGAGGAAATACCCGAGGAGGGTGTTGAAAAGTACAAGGAAGAAATAGTCATTTCTCCCAAACCTGAACCTGTTGTCACTGAAGTTGAGGAAACAACCACTGAAGTGAGTGAAGTGACAACTGAAGAAATAACTGAGGAAATACCTGAGGAAGGTGTTGAGAAATACAAGGAAGAGATAGTCATTACTCCCAAAACTGAACCTGTTGTCACTGAAGTTGAGGAAACAACCACTGAAGTGAGTGAAGTGACAACTGAAGAAATTACTGAGGAAATACCTGAGGAGGGTGTTGAGAAACACAAGGAAGAGATTGTCATTACTCCCAAACCTGAACCTGTTGTCACTGAAGTTGAAGTGACAGCACCTGAAGACATCACTGAAACTGTTTTCAGAGAAACTATTGAAGTGACAAAAGAAATCGCTGAAGCACCAGAGGAAGTGGAAGCTGAAGTGATTGTTGAGGAAGCACCAGAACAGGAGGAGGTTGAGGCAGAAGTAACTATTGAGGAAGTTCCTACAGAGGAGGTTGAAGCTGAGGTAACCTTTGAAGAAGCACCTGAAAAGGAAGAGGTTGAGGCTGAAGAAATTCCCCTTGAGGAAATCACAGAGGAAATACCCGAGGAGGGTGTTGAAAAGTACAAGGAAGAAATAGTCATTACTCTCAAACCTGAACCTGTTGTCACTGAAGTTGAGGAAACAACCACTGAAGTGAGTGAAGTGACAACTGAAGAAATAACTGAGGAAATACCCGAGGAAGGTGTTGAGAAATACAAGGAAGAGATAGTCATTACTCCCAAAACTGAACCTGTTGTCGCTGAAGTTGAGGAAACAACCACTGAAGTGAGTGAAGTGACAACTGAAGAAATCACTGAGGAAATTCCTGAGGAGGGTGTTGAGAAACACAAGGAAGAGATTGTCATTACTCCCAAACCTGAACCTGTTGTCACTGAAGTTGAGGAAACAACCACTGAAGTGAGTGAAGTGACAACTGAAGAAATAACTGAGGAAATACCCGAGGAAGGTGTTGAAATGTACAAGGAAGAAATAGTCATTACTCCCAAACCTGAACCTGTTGTCACTGAAGTTGAGGAAACAACCACTGAAGTTAGTGAAGTGACAACTGAGGAAATCACAGAGGAAATACCCGAGGAGGGTGTTGAAAAGTACAAGGAAGAAATAGTCATTTCTCCCAAACCTGAACCTGTTGTCACTGAAGTTGAGGTAACAACCACTGAAGTGAGTGAAGTGACAACTGAAGAAATAACTGAGGAAATACCCGAGGAAGGTGTTGAGAAATACAAGGAAGAGATAGTCATTACTCCCAAAACTGAACCTGTTGTCACTGAAGTTGAGGAAACAACCACTGAAGTGAGTGAAGTGACAACTGAAGAAATTACTGAGGAAATTCCTGAGGAGGGTGTTGAGAAACACAAGGAAGAGATTGTCATTACTCCCAAAACTGAACCTGTTGTCACTGAAGTTGAAGTGACAGCACCTGAAGACATCACTGAAACTGTTTTCAGAGAAACCATTGAAGTGACAAAAGAAATCACTGAAGCACCAGAGGAAGTGGAAGCTGAAGTGATTGTTGAGGAAACACCAGAACAGGAAGAGGTTGAGGCAGAAATAACTATTGAGGAAGTTCCTGAAAAGGAAGAGGTTGAGGCAGAAGTAACTATTGAGGAAGTTCCTACAGAGGAGGTTGAAGCTGAGGTTACCTTTGAAGAAGCACCTGAAAAGGAAGAGGTTGAGGCTGAAGAAATTACCCTTGAGGAAATCACAGAGGAAATACCCGAGGAGGGTGTTGAAAAGTACAAGGAAGAAATAGTCATTACTCCCAAACCTGAACCTGTTGTCACTGAAGTTGAGGAAACAACCATTGAAGTGAGTGAAGTGACAACTGAAGAAATAACTGAGGAAATACCCGAGGAAGGTGTTGAGAAATACAAGGAAGAGATAGTCATTACTCCCAAAACTGAACCTGTTGTCACTGAAGTTGAGGAAACAACCACTGAAGTGAGTGAAGTGACAACTGAAGAAATCACTGAGGAAATTCCTGAGGAGGGTGTTGAGAAACACAAGGAAGAGATTGTCATTACTCCCAAAACTGAACCTGTTGTCACTGAAGTTGAAGTGACAGCACCCGAAGACATCACTGAAACTGTTTTCAGAGAAACCATTGAAGTGACAAAAGAAATCACTGAAGCACCAGAGGAAGTGGAAGCTGAAGTGATTGTTGAGGAAACACCAGAACAGGAAGAGGTTGAGGCAGAAATAACTATTGAGGAAGTTCCTGAAAAGGAAGAGGATGAGGCAGAAGTAACTATTGAGGAAGTTCCTACAGAGGAGGCTGAAGCTGAGGTTACCTTTGAAGAAGCACCTGAAAAGGAAGAGGTTGAGGCTGAAGAAATTCCCCTTGAGGAAATCACAGAGGAAATACCCGAAGAGGGTGTTGAAAAGTACAAGGAAGAAATAGTCATTACTCCCAAACCTGAACCTGTTGTCACTGAAGTTGAGGAAACAACCACTGAAGTGAGTGAAGTGACAACTGAAGAAATAACTGAGGAAATACCCGAGGAAGGTGTTGAGAAATACAAGGAAGAGATAGTCATTACTCCCAAAACTGAACCTGTTGTCACTGAAGTTGAGGAAACAACCACTGAAGTGAGTGAAGTGACAACTGAAGAAATCACTGAGGAAATTCCTGAAGAGGTTGTTGAGAAACACAAGGAGGAGATAGTCATTTCTCTCAAACCTCAACCTGATGTAACTGAAGTTAAGGAAACACCCACTGAAGTAAGCGAAGTGACAATTAAAGAAATCACTGAGGAGATACCTGAGGAGGGTGTTGAGAAACACAAGGAAGAGATAGTCATTTCTCTCAAACCTCAACCTGATGTAACTGAGGTTGAGGAAACAACAACTGAAGTTAGTGAAGTGACAATTGAAGAAATCACTGAGGAGATACCCGAGGAGGGTGTTGAGAAACACAAGGAAGAGATTGTAATTTCTCTCAAACCTCAACCTGATGTTACTGAACCTGAAATAACCACTGAAGTAAGTGAAGTAACAACTGAAGAAATCACTGAAGAAATACCTGAGGTGGGTGTTGAGAAACACAAGGAAGAGATTGTAATTTCTCTCAAACCTCAACCTGATGTTACTGAACCTGAAATAACCACTGTAGTCAGTGAAGTGACAACTGAAGAAATAACTGAGGAAATACCTGAGGAAGGTGTTGAGAAATACAAGGAAGAGATAGTCATTACTCCCAAAACTGAACCTGTTGTCACTGAAGTTGAGGAAACAACCACTGAAGTGAGTGAAGTGACAACTGAAGAAATAACTGAGGAAATACCCGAGGAAGGTGTTGAGAAATACAAGGAAGAGATAGTCATTACTCCCAAAACTGAACCTGTTGTCGCTGAAGTTGAGGAAACAACCACTGAAGTGAGTGAAGTGACAACTGAAGAAATCACTGAGGAAATTCCTGAGGAGGGTGTTGAGAAACACAAGGAAGAGATTGTCATTACTCCCAAAACTGAACCTGTTGTCACTGAAGTTGAAGTGACAGCACCTGAAGACATCACTGAAACTGTTTTCAGAGAAACTATTGAAGTGACAAAAGAAATCACTGAAGCACCAGAGGAAGTGGAAGCTGAAGTGATTGTTGAGGAAACACCAGAACAGGAGGAGGTTGAGGCAGAAGTAACTATTGAGGAAGTTCCTACAGAGGAGGTTGAAGCTGAGGTAACCTTTGAAGAAGCACCTGAAAAGGAAGAGGTTGAGGCTGAAGAAATTCCCCTTGAGGAAATCACAGAGGAAATACCCGAGGAGGGTGTTGAAAAGTACAAGGAAGAAATAGTCATTACTCCCAAACCTGAACCTGTTGTCACTGAAGTTGAGGAAACAACCACTGAAGTGAGTGAAGTGACAACTGAAGAAATAACTGAGGAAATACCCGAGGAAGGTGTTGAGAAATACAAGGAAGAGATAGTCATTACTTCCAAAACTGAACCTGTTGTCACTGAAGTTGAGGAAACAACCACTGAAGTGAGTGAAGTGACAACTGAAGAAATCACTGAGGAAATTCCTGAGGAGGGTGTTGAGAAACACAAGGAAGAGATTGTCATTACTCCCAAACCTGAACCTGTTGTCACTGAAGTTGAGGAAACAACCACTGAAGTGAGTGAAGTGACAACTGAAGAAATAACTGAGGAAATACCCGAGGAAGGTGTTGAAATGTACAAGGAAGAAATAGTCATTACTCCCAAACCTGAACCTGTTGTCACTGAAGTTGAGGAAACAACCACTGAAGTTAGTGAAGTGACAACTGAGGAAATCACAGAGGAAATACCCGAGGAGGGTGTTGAAAAGTACAAGGAAGAAATAGTCATTTCTCCCAAACCTGAACCTGTTGTCACTGAAGTTGAGGAAACAACCACTGAAGTGAGTGAAGTGACAACTGAAGAAATAACTGAGGAAATACCTGAGGAAGGTGTTGAGAAATACAAGGAAGAGATAGTCATTACTCCCAAAACTGAACCTGTTGTCACTGAAGTTGAGGAAACAACCACTGAAGTGAGTGAAGTGACAACTGAAGAAATTACTGAGGAAATACCTGAGGAGGGTGTTGAGAAACACAAGGAAGAGATTGTCATTACTCCCAAACCTGAACCTGTTGTCACTGAAGTTGAAGTGACAGCACCTGAAGACATCACTGAAACTGTTTTCAGAGAAACTATTGAAGTGACAAAAGAAATCGCTGAAGCACCAGAGGAAGTGGAAGCTGAAGTGATTGTTGAGGAAGCACCAGAACAGGAGGAGGTTGAGGCAGAAGTAACTATTGAGGAAGTTCCTACAGAGGAGGTTGAAGCTGAGGTAACCTTTGAAGAAGCACCTGAAAAGGAAGAGGTTGAGGCTGAAGAAATTCCCCTTGAGGAAATCACAGAGGAAATACCCGAGGAGGGTGTTGAAAAGTACAAGGAAGAAATAGTCATTACTCTCAAACCTGAACCTGTTGTCACTGAAGTTGAGGAAACAACCACTGAAGTGAGTGAAGTGACAACTGAAGAAATAACTGAGGAAATACCCGAGGAAGGTGTTGAGAAATACAAGGAAGAGATAGTCATTACTCCCAAAACTGAACCTGTTGTCGCTGAAGTTGAGGAAACAACCACTGAAGTGAGTGAAGTGACAACTGAAGAAATCACTGAGGAAATTCCTGAGGAGTGTGTTGAGAAATACAAGGAAGAGATTGTCATTACTCCCAAACCTGAACCTGTTGTCACTGAAGTTGAGGAAACAACCACTGAAGTGAGTGAAGTGACAACTGAAGAAATAACTGAGGAAATACCCGAGGAAGGTGTTGAAATGTACAAGGAAGAAATAGTCATTACTCCCAAACCTGAACCTGTTGTCACTGAAGTTGAGGAAACAACCACTGAAGTTAGTGAAGTGACAACTGAGGAAATCACAGAGGAAATACCCGAGGAGGGTGTTGAAAAGTACAAGGAAGAAATAGTCATTTCTCCCAAACCTGAACCTGTTGTCACTGAAGTTGAGGTAACAACCACTGAAGTGAGTGAAGTGACAACTGAAGAAATAACTGAGGAAATACCCGAGGAAGGTGTTGAGAAATACAAGGAAGAGATAGTCATTACTCCCAAAACTGAACCTGTTGTCACTGAAGTTGAGGAAACAACCACTGAAGTGAGTGAAGTGACAACTGAAGAAATTACTGAGGAAATTCCTGAGGAGGGTGTTGAGAAACACAAGGAAGAGATTGTCATTACTCCCAAAACTGAACCTGTTGTCACTGAAGTTGAAGTGACAGCACCTGAAGACATCACTGAAACTGTTTTCAGAGAAACCATTGAAGTGACAAAAGAAATCACTGAAGCACCAGAGGAAGTGGAAGCTGAAGTGATTGTTGAGGAAACACCAGAACAGGAAGAGGTTGAGGCAGAAATAACTATTGAGGAAGTTCCTGAAAAGGAAGAGGTTGAGGCAGAAGTAACTATTGAGGAAGTTCCTACAGAGGAGGTTGAAGCTGAGGTTACCTTTGAAGAAGCACCTGAAAAGGAAGAGGTTGAGGCTGAAGAAATTACCCTTGAGGAAATCACAGAGGAAATACCCGAGGAGGGTGTTGAAAAGTACAAGGAAGAAATAGTCATTACTCCCAAACCTGAACCTGTTGTCACTGAAGTTGAGGAAACAACCATTGAAGTGAGTGAAGTGACAACTGAAGAAATAACTGAGGAAATACCCGAGGAAGGTGTTGAGAAATACAAGGAAGAGATAGTCATTACTCCCAAAACTGAACCTGTTGTCACTGAAGTTGAGGAAACAACCACTGAAGTGAGTGAAGTGACAACTGAAGAAATCACTGAGGAAATTCCTGAGGAGGGTGTTGAGAAACACAAGGAAGAGATTGTCATTACTCCCAAAACTGAACCTGTTGTCACTGAAGTTGAAGTGACAGCACCCGAAGACATCACTGAAACTGTTTTCAGAGAAACCATTGAAGTGACAAAAGAAATCACTGAAGCACCAGAGGAAGTGGAAGCTGAAGTGATTGTTGAGGAAACTCCAGAACAGGAAGAGGTTGAGGCAGAAATAACTATTGAGGAAGTTCCTGAAAAGGAAGAGGATGAGGCAGAAGTAACTATTGAGGAAGTTCCTACAGAGGAGGCTGAAGCTGAGGTTACCTTTGAAGAAGCACCTGAAAAGGAAGAGGTTGAGGCTGAAGAAATTGCCCTTGAGGAAATCACAGAGGAAATACCCGAAGAGGGTGTTGAAAAGTACAAGGAAGAAATAGTCATTACTCCCAAACCTGAACCTGTTGTCACTGAAGTTGAGGAAACAACCACTGAAGTGAGTGAAGTGACAACTGAAGAAATAACTGAGGAAATACCCGAGGAAGGTGTTGAGAAATACAAGGAAGAGATAGTCATTACTCCCAAAACTGAACCTGTTGTCACTGAAGTTGAGGAAACAACCACTGAAGTGAGTGAAGTGACAACTGAAGAAATCACTGAGGAAATTCCTGAGGAGGGTGTTGAGAAACACAAGGAAGAGATTGTCATTACTCCCAAAACTGAACCTGTTGTCACTGAAGTTGAAGTGACAGCACCTGAAGACATCACTGAAACTGTTTTCAGAGAAACCATTGAAGTGACAAAAGAAATCACTGAAGCACCAGAGGAAGTGGAAGCTGAAGTGATTGTTGAGGAAACACCAGAACAGGAAGAGGTTGAGGCAGAAATAACTATTGAGGAAGTTCCTGAAAAGGAAGACGTTGAGGCAGAAGTAACTATTGAGGAAGTTCCTACAGAGGAGGTTGAAGCTGAGGTTACCTTTGAAGAAGCACCTGAAAAGGAAGAGGTTGAGGCTGAAGAAATTACCCTTGAGGAAATCACAGAGGAAATACCCGAGGAGGGTGTTGAAAAGTACAAGGAAGAAATAGTCATTACTCCCAAACCTGAACCTGTTGTCACTGAAGTTGAGGAAACAACCATTGAAGTGAGTGAAGTGACAACTGAAGAAATAACTGAGGAAATACCCGAGGAAGGTGTTGAGAAATACAAGGAAGAGATAGTCATTACTCCCAAAACTGAACCTGTTGTCACTGAAGTTGAGGAAACAACCACTGAAGTGAGTGAAGTGACAACTGAAGAAATCACTGAGGAAATTTCTGAGGAGGGTGTTGAGAAACACAAGGAAGAGATTGTCATTACTCCCAAAACTGAACCTGTTGTCACTGAAGTTGAAGTGACAGCACCCGAAGACATCACTGAAACTGTTTTCAGAGAAACCATTGAAGTGACAAAAGAAATCACTGAAGCACCAGAGGAAGTGGAAGCTGAAGTGATTGTTGAGGAAACACCAGAACAGGAAGAGGTTGAGGCAGAAGTAACTATTGAGAAAGTTCCTGAAAAGGAAGAGGTTGAGGCAGAAGTAACTATTGAGGAAGTTCCTACAGAGGAGGCTGAAGCTGAGGTTACCTTTGAAGAAGCACCTGAAAAGGAAGAGGTTGAGGCTGAAGAAATTGCCCTTGAGGAAATCACAGAGGAAATACCCGAAGAGGGTGTTGAAAAGTACAAGGAAGGAATAGTCATTACTCCCAAACCTGAACCTGTTGTCACTGAAGTTGAGGAAACAACCACTGAAATGAGTGAAGTGACAACTGAGGAAATCACTGAGGAAATACCCGAGGAGGGTGTTGAAAAGTACAAGGAAGAGATAGTTATTGCTCCCAAACCTGAACCTGTTGTCACTGAAGTTGAGGAAACAACCACTGAAGTGAGTGAAGTGACAACTGAAGAAATAACTGAGGAAATACCCGAGGAAGGTGTTGAGAAATACAAGGAAGAGATTGTCATTACTCCCAAAACTGAACCTGTTGTCACTGAAGTTGAGGAAACAACCACTGAAGTTAGTGAAGTGACAACTGAAGAAATCACTGAGGAAATTCCTGAGGAGGGTGTTGAGAAACACAAGGAAGAGATTGTCATTACTCCCAAAACTGAACCTGTTGTCACTGAAGTTGAAGTGACAGCACCTGAAGACATCACTGAAACTGTTTTCAGAGAAACTATTGAAGTGACAAAAGAAATCACTGAAACAACAGACGAAGTGGAAGCTGAAGTGATTATTGAGGAAACACCAGAACAGGAAGAGGTTGAGGCAGAAATAACTATTGAGGAAGTTCCTGAAAAGGAAGAAGTTGAGGCAGAAGTAACTATTAAGGAAGTTCCTACAGAGGAGGTTGAAGCTGAGGTTACCTTTGAAGAAGCACCTGAAAAGGAAGAGGTTGAGGCTGAAGAAATTCCCCTTGAGGAAATCACAGAGGAAATACCCGAGGAGGGTGTTGAAAAATACAAGGAAGAAATAGTCATTACTCCCAAACCTGAACCTGTTGTCACTGAAAATGAGGAAACAACCACTGAAGTGAGTGAAGTGACAACTGAAGAAATAACTGAGGAAATACCCGAGGAAGGTGTTGAGAAATACAAGGAAGAGATAGTCATTACTCCCAAAACTGAACCTGTTGTCACTGAAGTTGAGGAAACAACCACTGAAGTGAGTGAAGTGACAACTGAAGAAATCACTGAGGAAATTCCTGAGGAGGGTGTTGAGAAACACAAGGAAGAGATTGTCATTACTCCCAAAACTGAACCTGTTGTCACTGAAGTTGAAGTGACAGCACCCGAAGACATCACTGAAACTGTTTTCAGAGAAACCATTGAAGTGACAAAAGAAATCACTGAAGCACCAGAGGAAGTGGAAGCTGAAGTGATTGTTGAGGAAACACCAGAACAGGAAGAGGTTGAGGCAGAAGTAACTATTGAGGAAGTTCCTGAAAAGGAAGACGTTGAGGCAGAAGTAACTATTGAGGAAGTTCCTACAGAGGAGGCTGAAGCTGAGGTTACCTTTGAAGAAGCACCTGAAAAGGAAGAGGTTGAGGCTGAAGAAATTGGCCTGGAGGAAATCACAGAGGAAATACCCGAGGAGGGTGTTGAAAAGTACAAGGAAGAAATAGTCATTACTCCCAAACCTGAACCTGTTGTCACTGAAGTTGAGGAAACAACCACTGAAGTGAGTGAAGTGACAACTGAAGAAATAACTGAGGAAATACCTGAGGAAGGTGTTGAAATGTACAAGGAAGAAATAGTCATTACTCCCAAACCTGAACCTGTTGTCACTGAAGTTGAGGAAACAACCACTGAAGTGAGTGAAGTGACAACTGAGGAAATCACAGAGGAAATACCCGAGGAGGGTGTTGAAAAGTACAAGGAAGAAATAGTCATTACTCCCAAACCTGAACCTGTTGTCTCTGAAGTTGAGGAAACAACCATTGAAGTGAGTGAAGTGACAACTGAAGAAATAACTGAGGAAATACCCGAGGAAGGTGTTGAGAAATACAAGGAAGAGATAGTCATTACTCCCAAAACTGAACCTGTTGTCACTGAAGTTGAGGAAACAACCACTGAAGTGAGTGAAGTGACAACTGAAGAAATCACTGAGGAAATTCCTGAGGAGGGTGTTGAGAAACACAAGGAAGAGATTGTCATTACTCCCAAAACTGAACCTGTTGTCACTGAAGTTGAAGTGACAGCACCCGAAGACATCACTGAAACTGTTTTCAGAGAAACCATTGAAGTGACAAAAGAAATCACTGAAGCACCAGAGGAAGTGGAAGCTGAAGTGATTGTTGAGGAAACACCAGAACAGGAAGCGGTTGAGGCAGAAGTAACTATTGAGGAAGTTCCTGACAAGGAAGACGTTGAGGCAGAAGTAACTATTGAGGAAGTTCCTACAGAGGAGGCTGAAGCTGAGGTTACCTTTGAAGAAGCACCTGAAAAGGAAGAGGTTGAGGCTGAAGAAATTGGCCTGGAGGAAATCACAGAGGAAATACCCGAGGAGGGTGTTGAAAAGTACAAGGAAGAAATAGTCATTACTCCCAAACCTGAACCTGTTGTCACTGAAGTTGAGGAAACAACCACTGAAGTGAGTGAAGTGACAACTGAAGAAATAACTGAGGAAATACCCGAGGAAGGTGTTGAAATGTACAAGGAAGAAATAGTCATTACTCCCAAACCTGAACCTGTTGTCACTGAAGTTGAGGAAACAACCACTGAAGTGAGTGAAGTGACAACTGAGGAAATCACAGAGGAAATACCCGAGGAGGGTGTTGAAAAGTACAAGGAAGAAATAGTCATTACTCCCAAACCTGAACCTGTTGTCTCTGAAGTTGAGGAAACAACCATTGAAGTGAGTGAAGTGACAACTGAAGAAATAACTGAGGAAATACCCGAGGAAGGTGTTGAGAAATACAAGGAAGAGATAGTCATTACTCCCAAAACTGAACCTGTTGTCACTGAAGTTGAGGAAACAACCACTGAAGTGAGTGAAGTGACAACTGAAGAAATCACTGAGGAAATTCCTGAGGAGGGTGTTGAGAAACACAAGGAAGAGATTGTCATTACTCCCAAACCTGAACCTGTTGTCACTGAAGTTGAGGAAACAACCACTGAAGTGAGTGAAGTGACAACTGAAGAAATAACTGAGGAAATACCCGAGGAAGGTGTTGAGAAATACAAGGAAGAGATAGTCATTACTCCCGAAACTGAACCTGTTGTCACTGAAGTTGAGGAAACAACCACTGAAGTGAGTGAAGTGACAACTGAAGAAATTACTGAGGAAATACCTGAGGAGGGTGTTGAGAAACACAAGGAAGAGATTGTCATTACTCCCAAACCTGAACCTGTTGTCACTGAAGTTGAAGTGACAGCACCTGAAGACATCACTGAAACTGTTTTCAGAGAAACTATTGAAGTGACAAAAGAAATCGCTGAAGCACCAGAGGAAGTGGAAGCTGAAGTGATTGTTGAGGAAACACCAGAACAGGAAGAGGTTGAGGCAGAAGTAACTATTGAGGAAGTTCCTACAGAGGAGGTTGAAGCTGAGGTTACCTTTGAAGAAGCACCTGAAAAGGAAAAGGTTGAGGCTGAAGAAATTACCCTTGAGGAAATCACAGAGGAAATACCCGAGGAGGGTGTTGAAAAGTACAAGGAAGAAATAGTCATTACTCCCAAACCTGAACCTGTTGTCACTGAAGTTGAGGAAACAACCATTGAAGTGAGTGAAGTGACAACTGAAGAAATAACTGAGGAAATACCCGAGGAAGGTGTTGAGAAATACAAGGAAGAGATAGTCATTACTCCCAAAACTGAACCTGTTGTCACTGAAGTTGAGGAAACAACCACTGAAGTGAGTGAAGTGACAACTGAAGAAATCACTGAGGAAATTCCTGAGGAGGGTGTTGAGAAACACAAGGAAGAGATTGTCATTACTCCCAAAACTGAACCTGTTGTCACTGAAGTTGAAGTGACAGCACCTGAAGACATCACTGAAACTGTTTTCAGAGAAACCATTGAAGTGACAAAAGAAATCACTGAAGCACCAGAGGAAGTGGAAGCTGAAGTGATTGTTGAGGAAACACCAGAACAGGAAGAGGTTGAGGCAGAAATAACTATTGAGGAAGTTCCTGAAAAGGAAGAGGTTGAGGCAGAAGTAACTATTGAGGAAGTTCCTACAGAGGAGGCTGAAGCTGAGGTTACCTTTGAAGAAGCACCTGAAAAGGAAGAGGTTGAGGCTGAAGAAATTGCCCTTGAGGAAATGACAGAGGAAATACCCGAGGAGGGTGTTGAAAAGTACAAGGAAGAAATAGTCATTACTCCCAAACCTGAACCTGTTGTCACTGAAGTTGAGGAAACAACCACTGAAGTGAGTGAAGTGACAACTGAGGAAATCACTGAGGAAATACCCGAGGAGGGTGTTGAAAAGTACAAGGAAGAGATAGTCATTTCTCCCAAACCTGAACCTGTTGTCACTGAAGTTGAGGAAACAACCACTGAAGTGAGTGAAGTGACAACTGAAGAAATAACTGAGGAAATACCCGAGGAAGGTGTTGAGAAATACAAGGAAGAGATAGTCATTACTCCCAAACCTGAACCTGTTGTCACTGAAGTTGAGGAAACAACCACTGAAGTGAGTGAAGTGACAACTGAGGAAATCACTGAGGAAATACCCGAGGAGGGTGTTGAAAAGTACAAGGAAGAGATAGTCATTTCTCCCAAACCTGAACCTGTTGTCACTGAAGTTGAGGAAACAACCACTGAAGTAAGTGAAGTGACAACTGAAGAAATAACTGAAGAAATACCCGAGGAAGGTGTTGAGAAATACAAGGAAGAGATAGTCATTACTCCCAAAACTGAACCTGTTGTCACTGAAGTTGAGGAAACAACCACTGAAGTGAGTGAAGTGACAACTGAAGAAATCACTGAGGAAATTCCTGAGGAGGGTGTTGAGAAACACAAGGAAGAGATTGTCATTACTCCCAAAACTGAACCTGTTGTCACTGAAGTTGAAGTGACAGCACCTGAAGACATCACTGAAACTGTTTTCAGAGAAACTATTGAAGTGACAAAAGAAATCACTGAAACAACAGAGGAAGTGGAAGCTGAAGTGATTATTGAGAAAACACCAGAACAGGAAGAGGTTGAGGCAGAAATAACTATTGAGGAAGTTCCTGAAAAGGAAGAAGTTCAGGCAGAAGTAACTATTGAGGAAGTTCCTACAGAGGAGGTTGAAGCTGAGGTTACCTTTGAAGAAGCACCTGAAAAGGAAGAGGTTGAGGCTGAAGAAATTGCCCTTGAGGAAATCACAGAGGAAATACCCGAAGAGGGTGTTGAAAAGTACAAGGAAGAAATAGTCATTACTCCCAAACCTGAACCTGTTGTCACTGAAGTTGAAGTGACAGCACCTGAAGACATCACTGAAACTGTTTTCAGAGAAACCATTGAAGTGACAAAAGAAATCACTGAAGCACCAGAGGAAGTGGAAGCTGAAGTGATTGTTGAGGAAACACCAGAACAGGAAGAGGTTGAGGCAGAAGTAACTATTGAGGAAGTTCCTGAAAAGAAAGAGGTTGAGGCAGAAGTAACTATTGAGGAAGTTCCTACAGAGGAGGCTGAAGCTGAGGTTACCTTTGAAGAAGCACCTGAAAAGGAAGAGGTTGAGGCTGAAGAAATTGCCCTTGAGGAAATCACAGAGGAAATACCCGAAGAGGGTGTTGAAAAGTACAAGGAAGAAATAGTCATTACTCCCAAACCTGAACCTGTTGTCACTGAAGTTGAGGAAACAACCACTGAAGTGAGTGAAGTGACAACTGAAGAAATAACTGAGGAAATACCCGAGGAAGGTGTTGAGAAATACAAGGAAGAGATAGTCATTACTCCCAAACCTGAACCTGTTGTCACTGAAGTTGAGGAAACAACCACTGAAGTGAGTGAAGTGACAACTGAGGAAATCACTGAGGAAATACCCGAGGAGGGTGTTGAAAAGTACAAGGAAGAGATAGTCATTTCTCCCAAACCTGAACCTGTTGTCACTGAAGTTGAGGAAACAACCACTGAAGTGAGTGAAGTGACAACTGAAGAAATAACTGAGGAAATACCCGAGGAAGGTGTTGAGAAATACAAGGAAGAGATAGTCATTACTCCCAAAACTGAACCTGTGGTCACTGAAGTTGAAGTGACAGCACCTGAAGACATCACTGAAACTGTTTTCAGAGAAACTATTGAAGTGACAAAAGAAATCACTGAAACAACAGAGGAAGTGGAAGCTGAAGTGATTATTGAGGAAACACCAGAACAGGAAGAGGTTGAGGCAGAAATAACTATTGAGGAAGTTCCTGAAAAGGAAGAAGTTCAGGCAGAAGTAACTATTGAGGAAGTTCCTACAGAGGAGGTTGAAGCTGAGGTTACCTTTGAAGAAGCACCTGAAAAGGAAGAGGTTGAGGCTGAAGAAATTGCCCTTGAGGAAATCACAGAGGAAATACCCGAAGAGGGTGTTGAAAAGTACAAGGAAGAAATAGTCATTACTCCCAAACCTGAACCTGTTGTCACTGAAGTTGAAGTGACAGCACCTGAAGACATCACTGAAACTGTTTTCAGAGAAACCATTGAAGTGACAAAAGAAATCACTGAAGCACCAGAGGAAGTGGAAGCTGAAGTGATTGTTGAGGAAACACCAGAACAGGAAGAGGTTGAGGCAGAAGTAACTATTGAGGAAGTTCCTGAAAAGAAAGAGGTTGAGGCAGAAGTAACTATTGAGGAAGTTCCTACAGAGGAGGCTGAAGCTGAGGTTACCTTTGAAGAAGCACCTGAAAAGGAAGAGGTTGAGGCTGAAGAAATTGCCCTTGAGGAAATCACAGAGGAAATACCCGAAGAGGGTGTTGAAAAGTACAAGGAAGAAATAGTCATTACTCCCAAACCTGAACCTGTTGTCACTGAAGTTGAGGAAACAACCACTGAAGTGAGTGAAGTGACAACTGAAGAAATAACTGAGGAAATACCCGAGGAAGGTGTTGAGAAATACAAGGAAGAGATAGTCATTACTCCCAAACCTGAACCTGTTGTCACTGAAGTTGAGGAAACAACCACTGAAGTGAGTGAAGTGACAACTGAGGAAATCACTGAGGAAATACCCGAGGAGGGTGTTGAAAAGTACAAGGAAGAGATAGTCATTTCTCCCAAACCTGAACCTGTTGTCACTGAAGTTGAGGAAACAACCACTGAAGTGAGTGAAGTGACAACTGAAGAAATAACTGAGGAAATACCCGAGGAAGGTGTTGAGAAATACAAGGAAGAGATAGTCATTACTCCCAAAACTGAACCTGTTGTCACTGAAGTTGAGGAAACAACCACTGAAGTGAGTGAAGTGACAACTGAAGAAATCACTGAGGAAATTCCTGAGGAGGGTGTTGAGAAACACAAGGAAGAGATAGTCATTACTCCCAAAACTGAACCTGTTGTCACTGAAGTTGAAGTGACAGCACCTGAAGACATCACTGAAACTGTTTTCAGAGAAACTATTGAAGTGACAAAAGAAATCACTGAAACAACAGAGGAAGTGGAAGCTGAAGTGATTATTGAGGAAACACCAGAACAGGAAGAGGTTGAGGCAGAAATAACTATTGAGGAAGTTCCTGAAAAGGAAGAAGTTCAGGCAGAAGTAACTATTGAGGAAGTTCCTACAGAGGAGGTTGAAGCTGAGGTTACCTTTGAAGAAGCACCTGAAAAGGAAGAGGTTGAGGCTGAAGAAATTGCCCTTGAGGAAATCACAGAGGAAATACCCGAGGAGGGTGTTGAAAAGTACAAGGAAGAAATAGTCATTACTCCCAAACCTGAACCTGTTGTCACTGAAGTTGAAGTGACAGCACCTGAAGACATCACTGAAACTGTTTTCAGAGAAACCATTGAAGTGACAAAAGAAATCACTGAAGCACCAGAGGAAGTGGAAGCTGAAGTGATTGTTGAGGAAACACCAGAACAGGAAGCGGTTGAGGCGGAAGTAACTATTGAGGAAGTTCCTGAAAAGAAAGAGGTTGAGGCAGAAGTAACTATTGAGGAAGTTCCTACAGAGGAGGCTGAAGCTGAGGTTACCTTTGAAGAAGCACCTGAAAAGGAAGAGGTTGAGGCTGAAGAAATTGCCCTTGAGGAAATCACAGAGGAAATACCCGAAGAGGGTGTTGAAAAGTACAAGGAAGAAATAGTCATTACTCCCAAACCTGAACCTGTTGTCACTGAAGTTGAGGAAACAACCACTGAAGTGAGTGAAGTGACAACTGAAGAAATAACTGAGGAAATACCCGAGGAAGGTGTTGAGAAATACAAGGAAGAGATAGTTATTACTCCCAAACCTGAACCTGTTGTCACTGAAGTTGAGGAAACAACCACTGAAGTGAGTGAAGTGACAACTGAGGAAATCACTGAGGAAATACCCGAGGAGGGTGTTGAAAAGTACAAGGAAGAGATAGTCATTTCTCCCAAACCTGAACCTGTTGTCACTGAAGTTGAGGAAACAACCACTGAAGTGAGTGAAGTGACAACTGAAGAAATAACTGAGGAAATACCCGAGGAAGGTGTTGAGAAATACAAGGAAGAGATAGTCATTACTCCCAAAACTGAACCTGGTGTCACTGAAGTTGAGGAAACAACCACTGAAGTGAGTGAAGTGACAACTGAAGAAATCACTGAGGAAATTCCTGAGGAGGGTGTTGAGAAACACAAGGAAGAGATTGTCATTACTCCCAAAACTGAACCTGTTGTCACTGAAGTTGAAGTGACAGCACCTGAAGACATCACTGAAACTGTTTTCAGAGAAACTATTGAAGTGACAAAAGAAATCACTGAAACAACAGAGGAAGTGGAAGCTGAAGTGATTATTGAGGAAACACCAGAACAGGAAGAGGTTGAGGCAGAAATAACTATTGAGGAAGTTCCTGAAAAGGAAGAAGTTCAGGCAGAAGTAACTATTGAGGAAGTTCCTACAGAGGAGGTTGAAGCTGAGGTTACCTTTGAAGAAGCACCTGAAAAGGAAAAGGTTGAGGCTGAAGAAATTGCCCTTGAGGAAATCACAGAGGAAATACCCGAGGAGGGTGTTGAAAAGTACAAGGAAGAAATAGTCATTACTCCCAAACCTGAACCTGTTGTCACTGAAGTTGAAGTGACAGCACCTGAAGACATCACTGAAACTGTTTTCAGAGAAACCATTGAAGTGACAAAAGAAATCACTGAAGCACCAGAGGAAGTGGAAGCTGAAGTGATTATTGAGGAAACACCAGAACAGGAAGAGGTTGAGGCAGAAATAACTATTGAGGAAGTTCCTGAAAAGGAAGAAGTTCAGGCAGAAGTAACTATTGAGGAAGTTCCTACAGAGGAGGTTGAAGCTGAGGTTACCTTTGAAGAAGCACCTGAAAAGGAAGAGGTTGAGGCTGAAGAAATTGCCCTTGAGGAAATCACAGAGGAAATACCCGAAGAGGGTGTTGAAAAGTACAAGGAAGAAATAGTCATTACTCCCAAACCTGAACCTGTTGTCACTGAAGTTGAGGAAACAACCACTGAAGTGAGTGAAGTGACAACTGAAGAAATCACTGAGGAAATTCCTGAGGAGGGTGTTGAGAAATACAAGGAAGAAATAGTCATTACTCCCAAACCTGAACCTGTTGTCACTGAAGTTGAGGAAACAACCACTGAAGTGAGTGAAGTGACAACTGAAGAAATAACTGAGGAAATACCCGAGGAAGGTGTTGAGAAATACAAGGAAGAGATAGTCATTACTCCCAAAACTGAACCTGTTGTCACTGAAGTTGAGGAAACAACCACTGAAGTGAGTGAAGTGACAACTGAAGAAATCACTGAGGAAATTCCTGAGGAGGGTGTTGAGAAACACAAGGAAGAGATTGTCTTTACTCCCAAAACTGAACCTGTTGTCACTGAAGTTGAAGTGACAGCACCTGAAGACATCACTGAAACTGTTTTCAGAGAAACTATTGAAGTGACAAAAGAAATCACTGAAGCACCAGAGGAAGTGGAAGCTGAAGTGATTGTTGAGGAAACACCAGAACAGGAAGAGGTTGAGGCAGAAGTAACTATTGAGGAAGTTCCTACAGAGGAGGTTGAAGCTGAGGTTACCTTTGAAGAAGCACCTGAAAAGGAAGAGGTTGAGGCTGAAGAAATTGCCCTTGAGGAAATCACAGAGGAAATACCCGAGGAGGGTGTTGAAAAGTACAAGGAAGAAATAGTCATTACTCCCAAACCTGAACCTGTTGTCACTGAAGTTGAGGAAACAACCACTGAAGTGAGTGAAGTGACAACTGAAGAAATAACTGAGGAAATACCCGAGGAAGGTGTTGAGAAATACAAGGAAGAGATAGTCATTACTCCCAAAACTGAACCTGTTGTCACTGAAGTTGAGGAAACAACCACTGAAGTGAGTGAAGTGACAACTGAAGAAATCACTGAGGAAGTTCCTGAGGAGGGTGTTGAGAAACACAAGGAAGAGATTGTCATTACTCCCAAAACTGAACCTGTTGTCACTGAAGTTGAAGTGACAGCACCTGAAGACATCACTGAAACTGTTTTCAGAGAAACTATTGAAGTGACAAAAGAAATCACTGAAGCACCAGAGGAAGTGGAAGCTGAAGTGATTGTTGAGGAAACACCAGAACAGGAAGAGGTTGAGGCAGAAGTAACTATTGAGGAAGTTCCTACAGAGGAGGTTGAAGCTGAGGTTACCTTTGAAGAAGCACCTGAAAAGGAAGAGGTTGAGGCTGGAGAAATTGCCCTTGAGGAAATCACAGAGGAAATACCCGAGGAGGGTGTTGAAAAGTACAAGGAAGAAATAGTCATTACTCCCAAACCTGAACCTGTTGTCACTGAAGTTGAGGAAACAACCACTGAAGTGAGTGAAGTGACAACTGAAGAAATAACTGAGGAAATACCCGAGGAAGGTGTTGAAAAGTACAAGGAAGAAATAGTCATTACTCCCAAACCTGAACCTGTTGTCACTGAAGTTGAGGAAACAACCACTGAAGTGAGTGAAGTGACAACTGAAGAAATAACTGAGGAAATACCCGAGGAAGGTGTTGAGAAATACAAGGAAGAGATAGTCATTACTCCCAAAACTGAACCTGTTGTCACTGAAGTTGAGGAAACAACCACTGAAGTGAGTGAAGTGACAACTGAAGAAATCACTGAGGAAATTCCTGAGGAGGGTGTTGAGAAACACAAGGAAGAGATTGTCTTTACTCCCAAAACTGAACCTGTTGTCACTGAAGTTGAAGTGACAGCACCTGAAGACATCACTGAAACTGTTTTCAGAGAAACTATTGAAGTGACAAAAGAAATCACTGAAGCACCAGAGGAAGTGGAAGCTGATGTGATTGTTGAGGAAACACCAGAACAGGAAGAGGTTGAGGCAGAAGTAACTATTGAGGAAGTTCCTGAAAAGGAAGACGTTGAGGCAGAAGAAACTATTGAGGAAGTTCCTACAGAGGAGGCTGAAGCTGAGGTTACCTTTGAAGAAGCACCTGAAAAGGAAGAGGTTGAGGCTGAAGAAATTGCCCTTGAGGAAATCACAGAGGAAATACCCGAGGAAGGTGTTGAAAAGTACAAGGAAGAAATAGTCATTACTCCCAAACCTGAACCTGTTGTCACTGAAGTTGAGGAAACAACCACTGAAGTGAGTGAAGTGACAACTGAAGAAATAACTGAGGAAATACCTGAGGAAGGTGTTGAGAAATACAAGGAAGAGATAGTCATTACTCCCAAAACTGAACCTGTTGTCACTGAAGTTGAGGAAACAACCACTGAAGTGAGTGAAGTGACAACTGAAGAAATCACTGAGGAAATTCCTGAGGAGGGTGTTGAGAAACACAAGGAAGAGATTGTCATTACTCCCAAACCTGAACCTGTTGTCACTGAAGTTGAAGTGACAGCACCTGAAGACATCACTGAAACTGTTTTCAGAGAAACTATTGAAGTGACAAAAGAAATCACTGAAGCACCAGAGGAAGTGGAAGCTGAAGTGATTGTTGAGGAAACACCAGAACAGGAAGAGGTTGAGGCAGAAGTAACTATTGAGGAAGTTCCTGAAAAGGAAGAGGTTGAGGCAGAAGTAACTATTGAGGAAGTTCCTACAGAGGAGGTTGAAGCTGAGGTTACCTTTGAAGAAGCACCTGCTAAGGAAGAAGTTGAGGCAGAAGTAACTTTTGTGGAAGTTCCTACAGAGGAGGTTGAAGCTGAGGTTACCTTTGAAGAAGCACCTGAAAAGGAAGAGGTTGAGGCTGAAGAAATTGCCCTTGAGGAAATCACAGAGGAAATACCTGAGGAGGGTGTTGAAAAGTACAAGGAAGAAATAGTCATTACTCCCAAACCTGAACCTGTTGTCACTGAAGTTGAGGAAACAACCACTGAAGTGAGTGAAGTGACAACTGAAGAAATCACTGAGGAAATTCCTGAGGAGGGTGTTGAGAAACACAAGGAAGAGATTGTCTTTACACCCAAAACTGAACCTGTTGTTACTGAAGTTGAAGTGACAGCACCTGAAGACATCACTGAAACTGTTTTCAGAGAAACTATTGAAGTGACAAAAGAAATCACTGAAGCACCAGAGGAAGTGGAAGCTGAAGTGATTGTTGAGGAAACACCAGAACAGGAAGAGGTTGAGGCAGAAGTAACTATTGAGGAAGTTCCTGAAAAGGAAGAGTTTGAGGCAGAAGTAACTTTTGAGGAAGTTCCTACAGAGGATGTTGAAGCAGAAGTTACCTTTGGAGAAGAACCTGAAGAGGTTGAGGCAGAAGTAACTGCTGGGGAAACTCCTGAAATGGAGGTTGAAGCAGAATTGACTGTTGAGAAAGAACTTGAGAAGGAGGAGGTTGAGGCAGAGTTGACATTTGAAGAAGCCTCTGAAAAGGAACTTACAGACTTTGAAGTTTCAGATGATGAAGAAACGGTTGGCATTTCAGAAAAGCTCATGAGTAAAGATGAAGAGAAATTTATTGCTTTGTCTGATGAATCTGATATCACTGATGATGAATTATCTGAATGGTCAGATGAAGATTATGCCCAGGAGTCTGACAAATCTGCAGCTCTTCCTTCTGACCTTGATCAGCTAGATCATGTAACCCCTGTCAAAAAACTCTCAGGTACACAGGATATTTCAATAGATACTGTGGAATTAAAGATGGCCCCCCAAGATGATGAAGAAGGTAGAAATTGTATAAAATATGCTCATTGGCTGAGTTTATGTATGTTCTGAGCTAATTGGCTGAGTTGTACTCTGTTTGACTGATTATATTCTTCACAGGATTATTTTCATAATTCTAGAATGTAACAAATAGAATCTGCAATCTAACATTGAAGCTTATGTTTAAGTTATTTATCACAATTGATCATCTGATCAGTTGTTTTTGTTGATGTTAATACATTTTTAGTTCCAGTATGTTTGTTAATATTGACTTTGGTTTTGATTTATGTTGAAGTTCTTTTTAGCATGTCTGTGTGTCTTTTGTTCATTTTATAGAAAAAGATGTTAAATATTTTTGTCAGTTTGTTGAACTAATCTCTCTACATTTTGTTATGCATGATTAGAAAGTTAGACTAGTTTGGTTGATGCCATCATGGATAAAAGAAGAACTGCTTCCATGAGAATGAACATTTCTTCTTGAAATAGTTTTACAAGACTGAAATAGTGTATTCTTGCTTTACTTGCTTTAATCCGTGATGGCAAAGTTCAGTGCAGGTAATCTCATTAAATTTACTCAAGCAATTTTTTTTTCTATGAGAATTGTCCTGCACTGAAACTCTCGTATGTTGTTTTAAAATACTGATTGTCAAAGAAACTTATCATTTTGTCACAGTATGAACATACATTTTTTTACAATTGGTATTTTAAGCATCATTTTCTAATTTTTGTGTTCAGTTTTACTTTTTTAAAACTTTTTGTTCATTTATTTTCTATGAGTTTTGTTTAGAATTTGAATGCTTAGAAACTTAATATTCAAATTATCGGCCCACTGAATTGAAATAAACACTATACACTTGTCACAAAGTTTTTTAAAAAGAATACCTAAAGAATAGTAATAAGATATTTGCTGGCAAATACATGACAGAAATTGCATGTGTTACCTTTAACTGCTTTTAGAAAAAAAACATATTTACAATTCATTGTTTACGTCAGATTCATGTACACGTGTGTTTCATGTTTTTTTTGTAATAGTGCAACCCATATTTAATCCATATATTTATATAGCTCATTGCTTTTAGTATAATTAGATATATATCTACACTTTCTATGTAACTTTATATATTTATGTGTGTACCATATTCATATTATATGTTGTACAGTGAGCACTGTATAGATGTATTCTTCCTGTGACACTTTGTGTATGAACCTTAGAAACCCCTCCTGTTTCCCTAATGACTTGTTTCCTTTGCAGCTGGAACATCATTCATGATTAGTTTAATTTTAAAGATAGTGAAATATACTTTTACATTAAATTTATTTATCAATTACCTTCACTTAATATATTAATTTTTAACAGCATTTTAACATTTGAATATATGTGATAATTTTATTTCATTTATTATATTTTGTAATTGGTAATAGGTTGAATTAATTGTATTACATATAAAGAGTTACTTAATGTTTGCGTCAGTGTTAAAGTGGTCCTTAATTATGAAATTGTTGCCTCCAGGTCCTGTTGACAAAGCACCCTCAGAGGAGGAAGTGCTTTCTGAAAAAGAGAGACTTACTGCAGGTAGGTTCAGTAATGTATTTAGGGGCTGTGGGGTAGCCAAGAGGTTAAAGTGTTTACTCATCAAGCCGAAGACCCGGGTTCGATTCTCCATATGGGTACAATGTGTGAAGCCCATTTCTGGTGTCCCCCGAGATATTGCAGGAATATTGCTAAAAGTGGCGTAAAACCATACTCTCTCACTCAGTGATGTTTTCAGCATGACAAGGGATTGTAGAGTGAGTGAGTGACCTGCAAACTTAATTGGGGTAAACCGGGATTCGAACCCATGATCACTTGTCCACGGGACACAACTCAGTGCATAATGGTGCCTTAGACGACTGGGCCACTCATGTCCCAAGGGATTGTACAATATTCCTTGATCCAGGGACCCACAATTTTTCAAATGTTTAATTCAATTAAATGTCAAGAAAAGTCTGTTGGGTCAGAGAGTGATGCAGTGGTTGATAATCTAGGTATGTTTTATTGAATTCTGTTAATTTCTTTTCTTGATTCTGTAAATGCCCTTGTTCGTAATGCCCCCATACAAACCCATGTGACTGGGGGGAATGGGTTCATGTTCGTATATAACAACTATTGTAATTGAAAGATTCACAGAAAAGGAACAGGAAGGGTAGAGGTAGATGTAAAATACCTTCTCATGTTCCTGTGTTTTTTAAGGTGAACAATTGACACTCCTTTGCATGTGTTTGTGATTGAGACAAGGTATGCTCACTTTTTGATGAACACTTGGTATGATCACTATTTGGTAGTGATTCATAAACACATGCTCATGACAAAGTTGGTATCATACTATCAACTCTGTTTTGGGCAGAGATTTGAATATGGAGAATATGGAGAGGCTTTTGATGCTTTTATTTACTTTTGGCTTGCATTAAGCTGACACTCTGTGATGTAGCTGAAACACTGTTCAATGTGGTGTTAAACTCTTTATCTCATTTACTGAGTTTGTGTTTAATGTTTCTTTATGTTGTCATTGCCCCCCATCTCAACTTGTGTTGTATTATTTTAGAAGAAGAGAAGGAAGTCGTGTCTGATGAAGAACGGAAAGAGATTGAAGAAACTGTGCAACTCTCTGTGGCAGGTTTGTGGAGTTTCTCTTCAATTTCGCGCCATCTCTGTTTTTAGAAGTCTTCCAGCACTTGGGAATTCTTCATTAAGTGGTTTATTGAGTGAGTATGGTTTTGCGCTGCTTTTAGCAATATTCCAGCAATAACACGGCGAGGGACACCAGAAAAGGGCTTCACACATTGTACCCATGTCGGGAATCGAACCCAGGTCTTCAGCGTGAACGCTTTACCACCAGGCTACCCGACCGCCCCTTAATTCAGTACATATACATGGGACAAGTAGTGAAGCCTATTGTTGTTGTCCCACTTGGGAACAGTATGTAAGGCCTGTTATTGTATCCAACGTGGGTACAATACATGAAACCTGTTGATGATGTCCATTAGCACTTAAAGAAGTATCTTGGGGAGTTTTATGTGTCTCAGAAAGGAACTTTACTTTATGTATTTATCATTTTCATTCTTATCTATGGCTCAAAGGCTCATGAAATATGTTACCTACACACAAGGATTTTTAAATTACATGGCAGATCATTTCCTTTGAAACCTTTGGAACGTTTTTTTCAAAATTAAGGATCAGAGTCCATGGTCCTTGGCTCTTATGTTAATATTTAACATGTTGGGGGTCGCTAGATTAAAAATCTATATCCGTATACCCTTAAGGACCTCTTAATATTGAATGTTGAAATGTATTTCCTGTTAGTTAGCACTATGTGTGTGTGATAGTGAAATATTAGTTTGCATGGTGTGTAGTTTGTTTGCTGTGGAAATCACTCACATTGAAGCCTAGGTGCTTGCAGTATCAGTTGTCCAGTCACCTGTAATGATTACTGGTAATGGCTAATATGTTCAGCCATGTTGTCTGCAGAGAGCACGCACAAGCAAAAGTCTCACTAGGCTTTAACTTGTTCATGCATCAGGACATGGAAACTTTCACTGTGGGCACCCAGGTGTAACACATTTAACCCTTAGCTTGATGATAGTGGTTGGTATAAGCATGTGAAGAACTGCCACTGCCAGGATCTGCTTGTCATGGGTTCAAACCCCAGACTTGCTTAAGATTCTGATCCCTGGTATGTCTGCACCATACCCATGCTTGTGGGTTTCTCCAAAGTGGTAAACATCTATCCAAAGTGATCCATACATATTTACCATTTCGACTTTTATGCCCAATGGAATCTGTTTCGGCAGATATCCAAGATTGTAAATTCTCTGGTGTTGACATTTTGAATCCGTGACCTGCATCACTCTGTGTGTAATCATACTCTGGTATGGATTGTAGGTCATGCTATCAACCACTGGTTTGCCAACTGCAAGATATAGCTGTAAAATTGCTGACTGCAGCTAAAACAACATTCACTCACTAACTCAAACAGCATGTTGGCTTGATTACCTTTCAGAAGTATCCCAGGAGAAGGAGTACCCCGAGTTCACCCAGTTCTTGGAGAACGTCTCTGTTAAGGATGGCAGCTCTGCTCGTCTTGTGTGTCGTGTTGCCTGCATGTCGCCTCCCAACATTAACTGGTTTAGAGACAGGCAGCTCATTGTTTCCTCGGACGAGTTCCAGATTACTTACAATGATGATCTGTGCATGTTGTATATTCCCGAGATATTCCCAGAGGATGCTGGCGTTTATGAAGTTGTCGCAGAAAACGCCCATGGCGCTACCTCTACTTCTGCACAGCTTCATGTAGAAGGTGAAATTGAATGTTTACATAGAAAAGAAATGCCATTGCTTTGGTTTTCATCGGGTTCTTCAGAATTAAGCTGCACACAAATAGATGTTTCTCGGTCAAATTATTTTCAAAAGTGAATAGAAAAGTATAGGACTTTACTGTTTCTTATTGCAAACAGAAGTCGTGAGAAGTCATTTTCCTTTTTCCCACCCAAAATACTAAAAACACAACTGGGCATAAGCATGTCGTTTTATTGGTGACAGGATCTGCTTTATATGAGACCGGAAATGACAGACATGCCATTTGCCATTTGTTAGGGTCAGTGAACATGTTAGAAGGTTATGTTTCATTCCAAGATAAATCCTACGTAGAAGGAGAAAATGGTTCACCTGTCACGATTAACGAATGTGAAAGGCAGTCTCATCAATATCTAATGTTTGTCAGATGAATAAAAGTAATTGATATGCAAGGAGAAGAAAATAAAACCAAATAAAAATGTATATGCCTTTAGGGAGATCATGATAATAGCAACAAAAAGGTCATAATATGTGACCCACATAATATGTGAAGAAAAGGGACCTTATGGGTGCGAGGATACAATTGTGCTGTGACGTCATTAAGAAAAACATTTGACGTCAACTTCCGTAAAAATTGCCATGTGTGTGGACTCTACAAAAATATCTTATTTTTCTCCCGTGAGTTCATAATGTAATAAAAACATTATTTCAAAGCATTTCAGCATACATGTCTAGATTCAATTAATCAGATATTCTAGATAAAAATTATTAGAAAAACAGTTGCAAGTCTGAAAATGGTACTTTGCAGGAAATGAGCCCAAATGTTTGATGCCATGTATCTCTGTAATAAATATGAAGGGAAGCTTGTGAATTTTATTTTTGGGTTCCCAAGATACTATAGTTTAAAAATATAAGGAGAAGTCAAAATGTGATTTTTCACCCATAAGGTCCTTTATCTCATGGTTGGTCACATGTATTGATTTTATTTCCTGAGTTGGTATCACTGAACATATTTCAGTCTGTCTGATATACTTGAAGATAAAATTGTCATAGATTAAGGACGTTATGATGTGTGTGATCCTGAGCCTGCGTGTGTGACTTTAATTGCATGTTCATATGCAACGTGGAGAAAACTGCTTAATAAACTGAACAAAACATTAGGGATTTTGAATATTTTTGGGAATGTTTTTTTGAAATTGTGTGCTCACTATATAATAGTATCCCCCAAAATATTCTTGATCCTTTTAAGCCATGACATTGCCAACACCATGATAGGCATTTTTTTCTGCATGGTGTGTTTAGCATAGACTGTTTGCTGTGTGTGTTCTTGTATGTTGAAAAGAAACTAACATAAAAGATAATAGTGTATCATAGAAAAATTGAGCTTGAAATATTTTTTTTAATGATTACTTCATGGTTCATAAACAGCTGAAGAAATCATCGAGGAAACTGTGGAGAAGGTCGAAGGAATTGCACCCACCTTCCAACAGAAACCCAAATACCAGAATGTCGACGAGAGAACCAATGTTGTCTTCGAGGGAAGAGTTGTGGCCCTTCCTGAACCTGAGATCGTGTGGCTCCGTGATGGTGTGAAGATCGAACCCACCGATCGTCATCGTGTGACAATCAACAAAGATGTCCACATGTATCATGTGAGTCTGGAGATTGACAGCGCCACTCCTGAAGATGCTGGAAATTATGAAGTCATTGCCACTAACGAACATGGTGAAGCTACGGTGAAAGTTTCTCTTGTTGTCAAAGGTATGTCTTCACAGGTAGCACCTTTTGGTGAACACCTAAATATTATATGTTCTTAGTATCCTCATATCGTGAGGATATAAGCAAAACATCACTCACTCACATACGTGTACAAATATTCTTACACATAAAATGGGTGTTTGCATGGATAAGAACATTTTAATGTCTCTCTTTGATTTCCAGTTTACATACCTTATATGGTATTATATATGGTTTAGCTCACCTTGTCATGAGTTGAGTGGTCAAACTTATTAACTGTCAAATCAGAATGGAATTAAAATTATATTTATTTTTTCATCACAATCACCCTTTTTATGTATACGACTTTTATATGGACTTCAGATAAACATTTTAATTTTTTATTCTGATTTGCCAGTTTAAGAGTTTCGTAGTTTTAGCTCACCTGGACGTGAGGTTATTGGTCATTATCTTTGTGTAAATAATGTTACCAAGCCATTTCATATTCATGAATTTCTGACTTATAATTTTTCATGAGAGTCCTCAAATTTTGTTTCAATCAGCCTTAGTTTCCACTGTATGTGGTTTGTAGATGAAATTTGTTAGAAAAGATACAAAAGTAGGAACTGCAATTAAAAACAATCTTTTTTAATGACAATCACATCCATATTTCTAAAAACTGAATGCTGAAAGAAATGACTCGGAGAATATTTAAGTCAGCACTGTGTATTTGAAATCTTTTAAAATATTTGTAAGGGGAAAAACATGAAATGAGGATGTGAATTGTTTCATACAGAAATATATGTTGAAACTAATCCAATATAATTTTGTTTCCTTTAGAAGAAGTTGTGGAACAAGTGGACTTCCGGTCTGCCCTTAAGACAAGAGTGTATGTATATCTTACTGTATTCACTAGCATTGTAGTTTAGTCGTTTGTTAAGGCAGTTGTCATTAATGTCAGCTGAATGCCTTTAATCTCTGAATGTTGTGACACTGTAGTTCACTCTGTGTAAACCAGCATTGCTCGAAAGTAGAATCAAGGTTGCTTTAGAGAGAATGATGGATGCAAGAATATTGGCAACTCTCAGAACCAGAGTTAAGTGCTTGTGTACTGAGGAAGCTAGTTTGTGGAGATGTTTAAACAAAGTGCAATGATTGTTTTAGCAACCTTTTTGAGTTGTATATTCCCCAGGCCCACTTTATTTTTCAAGACCAACTTTTTTTTCGCAAGGACCACCTTGTTTCTTTATCGTTTAAAAGTTCCTCTTTTGACATTAAATCTTTCAGTAAGTGTATCGGGAATTATGAATTTTTTCACGACTGGAAATTTATTAGAGAAATCTATTTCTGTTGTGTAAGTTTACTTCATGATAGGCTTATCAGTTCAATAAGATTGTGAACAACCATGACAAGATTATCAGATATGTGGTTGGTTGGGTAGTCTAGTGGTTAAAGCGTTCGATCGTCACGCCGAAGACCTGGGTTCGATTCCCGACATGGGTACAATTTGTGAAGCCCATTTCTGGTGTCCCCCGCTGTGGTATTGCTGGAATATTGCTAAAAGCAGCGTAAATCCATACTCACTCACTCACTTATCAGATATGTGTCACTGGAAAAGAATGACTGCGCAATAGTCCAAAGTTTTTCAAAACACTACAAGAACAATCTGATGTAATCCAACACAATGTTTGGAAATATTCTTGGAAAGCAATTATTTGACTCGGAATGTTGGAATTATTGGAAACATGGTGAGTGTGGAATGAACGATCATTTTTTTGTCTTTCTGTCTTCTTTCCAACTTTGGAAGAATATATTTCTTCCAGAGTAGGGGGTGAAAAAATATAATCTGAATTAAATTAAATGCAAAGAAACCCAAGCATGTTTCCTGCTTAGAGTGTTAGTTGTTTTTTCTGTGTAGTGTCATGTCTTCAGTTCTGCGTGAAGAAGTATTGTTTTATGTTTGATTTCTCAAGCTTTTTTTTGCTGAATCCAAATGCTAGTCAATGGTTATTTTGTGTGCCTTGATTAAGATTACCTTCATGTTTTATTTTTCATAACATTCTGCATGTGAATGTTGTAATAAGCTTGATGTCAACATTAATTCAACAGGACAACAAAAGTCGGAATGCATCACTCTGTTAAACAAATGGACTTCCGACATCTCTTAAAAGAAGGTCATATCACATCCACTAAGCATATTTCACTCACGTAAGTCTGGGTCAACTTGCTGACCTTCATTTCTGGACAAGAAGGTCAGCGCCTCTCTCTACAAAGCTTGGACATTTATCCTCACCATGGTATCGGTCATTAACATTTCTATACACTGTATAACCAGCCTATCTAGGTCTTCTTGCACATTTTCCATCTGTCTCACCATATCTTATTATCCATTTCTCAATCAAGAGCACCTTGCGCTTGGACCTCCAAGACATCTTAAAGCTAATGTCACTGAATTACCCATTGCTCTGCACAAGTTCCAAAAAGTACCAAAGTTGTGGCCAACAACCTGTACTATTAATATGCACACATGTGACAGAAGTTGGCTTTGGAAACTTCCCCAATCCCTCAATAACCTTTTGCAATCCAAGTTTGAAAGAGGTTGTGTGAAAATATGTAAATGCACCAAGTAAATGACGATCTGTTCACAAGTCACAATGTCACCCTTATACACTCACTCCTTGGACCAACTTGTCCAACACACATTCTACATTGTGACATTCCATCACATCCTAACCTGCTGTGAGTTCCTGAATGTGTGTCATTCATATCAATATTTGAAGTATCAATGTTTGTATATATCATATATTGTCTAACATCATTTTCAAAGCTTTTCTCTTTAGGTTTTGGTTAACAAATAACATTCACTGTTTATTATAACCTTAAAGGACATTCTTGAGTAGATGTATATATATTAGCCTGATATATTTTCATGTAATATCTTATATCACCAAGATGTATCATCTCATCGTCTCACATTATGGTACGGTGTGGGGTGGTGGGGTAGCCTAGTAGGGCTGGGACAAGTCAAAATTTCCTACCCGGGTACCCACCCCCTTATTACCCGACCCTACCCAGGTACCCGTTGAAGGTCTCGAGAGATAGGTCCAAATGTCCGAATGGAAATAGTTTGACCCTAGCCTTGGCAGAGTATATTCTCGTAAATGCTTGTATAAAATGATCCAGTCATGCATTCACTGAAGTTGACTGAAGTTTTATCTCTATTTAAAGATATAAAATCAGAAGAAATGTGTGCATAGTAAGAAAGATATGTGAACATTAGTCTCTTACAGTGTAACCGTGGAAGTTCAAGATAATTTTTGCCATTAAACAATATATCACGTGACTAACCACTGGTCAGGGCAGTCCTATGGATATCCGGGTCCTACTCAGGACCCACCCGACCCGAGTACCCGAGTTACCCGTCCCAGCCTAGTGATTGAAGCGTTCACTCATCACGCCAAAGGCTTTGGTTTGATTCACCACATGAGTACAATGTGTGAAGCCCATTTCTGGTGTTCCATGCTGTGATATTACTGGAATATTGCTAAAAGCAGCATAAAATCATACTCACTCACTCACATCACAGTGTAGTATCATTTTCAGCATTCGATAACCAAGGCAATGACCTAACAGCTATTAAATAGTGTTTCTTGGTCATGATGTAAATTGATCTTAAGTGTATATAGACCTGCCAGCTTGTAAAACAGGTGTAAGGTATTCAATAATAGCATAAATATTCTATGTTTTAGTTCTATGTTTATTCCAGAGAAACTGTTTGATACATTGTATACACAAGTTGGACCCATGTTTGTGTGGATAACACAAGGCTTTACATGCTAACATTTGTTAAATTGATCATATGTATTTTGTACTGAAGTTGAACATTGTGTTCTATCATATCCAGGAATCGGTTCAGCTGCACATTGTGTACAATAGTTTATTGACATTAATCAGATTTTCTGCTGTATACACAAGCTGTACATAGTGTTTAATGTTATTTCCACAGCACTGAACAGGAGGAGGTCGTTGAGGAAACAGCAATTGAGGTCGTTGAGGAAACAGCACCTGAGGTCATCGAGGAGATCCCAACTGCAGAGGTCTCCATTGAGGTAAGAATGTAATCAAGTGTATGCTAACACGTTCGGTCTTGGAAGTTGTGTTAGGTTCCAGTGTTATTCCTTGATTTACTATAGACCAAATATTACTTTTTCTCCTCGTAAAATGGAGAACTCAACATATGAGTTCTTTGCAGTGGAATCTGTTTTAAAATAAACTATTTTGACATCAAATATATTCAGTGAAACTCTGATGAGTGGAAAATGAAGGGATGTGGAACAAATCACAACCTAACAGGTTTACTAGTTAACCAGCTTCGACTTGCGTGCCATTATCGAATCATCTACCTCATGATCTTTATGCATTGTCAGACTCTCATAAATTGTTATGAGACACAGATAATAAGTAAAATAATATGCATGAAGTGTTTTGTATTCTTTTTCAGGAGGAGAAACCAATACTTGTTGCCCCAGAGTTCATCACCAAGATACAAGATGTCAGTGTTCGTGAACGGGAAACTGCACGTTTCGAGTGCAAGGTGAAAGGTGAACCTGCCCCAAGTGTGGTGTGGTATCATGATGGAACTCCCCTCAAGTCCGACGACATCTACCAGATTGTCCCCGGTCCCGATGGAGAGAGTGCTCTGGTCCTGCCAGAAGCCTACCCCGAGGATGCCGGAACATACTCTGTCATGGCCAAGAACGATGTCGGCCAGGTGGAGTGCCAAGCTGTCCTCACAATCATTGGTAAGTTGCATAAAGATGTGATCCAAACACACAATCATTGGTGAGTCAGATAAAGATGTGATCCAGTCACAGAATCATAGATGAGTCAGATGAAGATGTGAACCAATCACAGTCATAGATGAGTCTCATAATGTCTCCTCAAAATTTCAAGGTTTGTGAAGAAAACTTGTGGCATTATCTATTTAAATTTGTGAAATCCATAAAAAATAGTTGGTCTTCCTGATGATTTGATGCCACCAAAGTCAGTGTCAACTTAGTGATGCATATCTGTATGTTACAGAGAGCATCTCCGAGACCAGTTCCATCAGCTCCAAGCATGAAGAGGAGGCCGAGGAGATCCTGCCTGAAGACACCGCCGAGCAGGCGGCCATCAAGATACAGTCAGCCTTCCGGGGCTACAAGGTGAGCAGATTGTCGCACATTTGATTTGGAAGTGTTTCCAGGGTGATAAGAGTCCGACAAAGTCATTATCAGTCTGTGAAAAGGATCAGACTTGTTGTAGGTTGCAGCACCAAAGTCATTCATGCACTTACTTGAGGGGTGGGATGAATTTGTAACAGCGTGTCTTTATGATCCTCTTTTGTTGATTTTTACAACGATAAATCCTGTGGTGGATGGTATTGAGGTGAAATGGGGTTAACTGATGCATTCAAGATTATTGCATTTATGTGGATACTGGTACTAGTCTGGAGTACTGCTTTTGTAGTGCAAGCCAACTGAGATACTATGCTACAGTTTAACATGGATACCCCACTTAGATACAATATACTGACTCCGATCCGATTTTAACCCCTTGATGTTAGGCAGGGTAACAACAAGTACCATTTTTTAACATAGTTTGGTTTGACGCGGCCAGGGGATCGTATCACTGACATTCTAGTCTATGTGCAGATGCTCTATCCACTAGACCACAGTAGTCAGGATAGTCAAACAGGTACTGCAAAAGGATCAAACTTGTGCTGCCAGGCTTAGGTTTTATTGTGGTATGCTGTTTCAGATTGTTTCAATGTTGTTTCAGTGTTGTTCGTTGTTATATTTCCAGGCTCGAGAACAGGTGAAGGTGATGAAACAACAGATTTCTGTCGTGGACACCGACATCACCATCACAGAGGAGGTTCAGGTAGGATTAACAAGACTTGGAAAAGTTTACGTTTCTCCAAAATTATATAACTGTGTAGGTATTTACTGCTATCACATTGTTTCGTCTAAATTTTGAAACAAATTTGTTCTCTCCTAAATCCTGATTTTGTGTAAAATTAATGTGCACAACATGCCAGCACCTCCGCACACCTGTTCTTGGGGCACTTAATTATCCCTTTGTGAAAAAAATGTCAAGGATAAATTCAGCACGAAACTGTTTAAACAGCACAGTCTGAAATTGTTCCTGGAACTAAATAATCCATTTCTAACAAGAAAAAATTTAACATGCACTTCTGTTTCATGGAAGCACAATTTATTAAAGATTCATAACAGAAATTGTCATTTGAAAGTGTCATTAATAAATTATTTTCAGGTAAACTTTTTGTGTTGAAAGAAAGAGTTTTATATGTTTGAATCTTTGATTTAAAAAAAAGATGAAAAGAAGTATGACATCATTATATACTGAACACAAATAGTTAGGGATCATGAATATTTTGTGGGATATTTTGAAAATTGTGTGCTTAGTCTTTACAACAACAAAATATCTCCAAAAAAATTCATGATCCTTGACTTTTTTGTTCAATACATGATCAATATGTGAATATGTTTTTGAGAAAACTTTTGAAGAGGACATGAATGAAAAACTTTCTTTCAACTATTAGTGTGATAACATTTTGAGTATGTTCAGAGAACATTATCATTTTGTAAGTCCAGAACGATTTATTCCATTGGTGTATGGCCTAAATAAGTCTATTTTTTGGCAAAATGAGATGGCCGATTTTGGTAATTAACATCAAATCATTTTTTTCAATAAATGTCCTTTACATTTTGACTCTTGGCACTTTGACCAAGAAAACCCATAAAATGAGAAATTACATTGTCCTGACTTAACAAAGTCGTTACAGATTCCCTGAACATTCCACTCTTTATTTCAATTTTGGACACTGTTAACATAATTGAGCTTATTCTACTAAATATTGTTTTGTCTTGTCTTGATGTTATTATTAATATGTTTTAATGGTTGTGATTGTTGCACACAGTTCTGTTGACATCACAACTTGTGTTTGGAACATTCATTCTTAATTTTATTTGTTTATTCACAATGGGTTTTCTGAAGCTGTGTTTGTTTTGTTCATTTAACTCATCTTGCTCATCTGGTCATGTTTTGTTTGGACTCTTGTGTTTTGTGGTGATGACATTTGCCCAAACAGGGTACTATGGTATTCTTTTCCATAACAGTCCAGTTGTTGTGGAAATTAATTAATCAAATATGGATTTCTTTAAGTCTGAATGTATACCCTATTCCAAGGCAAATAGTCATCAGTAATTAAACAAACTTTTTTGCTGATTAACAAAGTTTGACATGTTGTTGCTAAACTGCAGTTAGTTACAATACGCTTCACACAAATTTAACACAGGCTGAACTATCAATTGTTGTTTTTTCATCTTGCAATTTTATTTTTATTTGTCTGGTTCTAATAAAGTATATTTATTTTAGTGTGGTTGTTTATATATTTAGTTACTTTTTCACATGATTTGTATCAATGTTTTCAAAAACACCACTCCCTGTGTTTCCTGTAATGCATCTACTCTCAAGATATGTCTATCGTCTTAAACTTCAGAACTATTAGATGTGTGCATGCCCCACATCACAACAATCCAGACTTAGTAGATGAAACAAGGATAGAAATTCATATGGCCACTGCCTACACATTCATGGGGGGCACGGGTGGCCCAGTCGTCTAAGGCGCCACGATTCGCTGTGCAGAGTTGCTTCCCTTGGGCATGCCAGGAACCTATGATTGTGGGTTCGAATCCCGGTTCGCCCCGATTATGTTTCTAGGTTTGTCAGCACCACATCTGTGCTCGTGGGTTTCACCGAAATGGTAAATGTCTAAGACCTGCATCACTTCGGGCTTTCCTCCCACATTAAGCTGACACGCCGTGATATAACTGGAATACTGTTAAAAGCGGCGTTAAACCCAACTCACTCACTCACTCACTACACATTCATGGGCATGCAGTTGACCCGTAGACCTAAGGTTCTACTTTACAAAGTTGTGTCCCTTGTTGTGCTAGGATCAGCTGGTTTCATATTGCTCAAAAGGAGCTTCCAAAATTCACGCACCAAAACATTAATATCTTCCAGTATTATTGTTGTGTTTCTTGAGAGTAGATGCTCCCTTTGATTGTGATCCACTGTGTTGCCTGTTCTCCTGTGTTTAGTGGTTTGCCATTCTACTGCATGGTTGTTGGCAAGACATGTTACCTTTGCTTTTGCCGTTCACTTGCTCTCTGTCTAAAACTGTCCAAAGACAACGTAGTGAATGAGCAACTGATAGTGACGAGATGCACCGTATCAAACTCACATTCTACTGTAGGAGATTGAAGAAGAATCGGAAACCGCTTTACAAGAAATTCCTTTCCTGGAGGAAGAACAACCAGTAGTCAAAAAAGTGGAAGCTGGAATTACGGTTGAAGTAGAAAAGCCAAAGGTTGAGGAGCTTACCATTGAGGAGGAGGAGAAATCAGTGGTTGAGGAAGTTCAAGCCGAAATCTCCATTGAGGAGGAGGAGAAACCAGTGGTTGAGGAAGTTGAGGCCGAAATCTCCATTGAGGAGGAGGAGAAACCAGTGGTTGAGGAAGTTCAAGCCGAAATCTCCATTGAGGAGGAGGAGAAACCAGTGGTTGAGGAAGTTCAAGCCGAAATCTCCATTGAGGAGGAGGAGAAACCAGTGGTTGAGGAAGTTGAGGCCGAAATCTCCATTGAGGAGGAGGAGAAACCAGTGGTTGAGGAAGTTCAAGCCGAAGTCTTCATTGAGGAGGAGGAGAAACCAGTGGTTGAGGAAGTTGAGGCTGAAATCTCCATTGAGGAAATCTCCATTGAGGAGGAGGAAAAACCAGTGGTTGAGGAAGTTGAGGCCGAAATCTCCATTGAGGAGGAGGAGAAACCAGTGGTTGAGGAAGTTCAAGCCGAAATCACCATTGAGGAGGAGGAGAAACCAGTGGTTGAGGAAGTTCAAGCCGAAATGTCCATTGAGGAGGAGGAGAAACCAGTGGTTGAGGAAGTTCAAGCCGAAATCTCCATTGAGGAGGAGGAGAAACCAGTGGTTGAGGAAGTTGAAGCCGAAATCTCCATTGAGGAGGAGGAGAAACCAGTGGTTGAGGAAGTTCAAGCCAAAATCTCCATTGAGGAGGAAGAGAAACCAGAGGTTGAAGAAGTTCAAGCCGAAATCTCCATTGAGGAGGAGGAGAAACCAGTGGTTGAGGAAGTTCAAGCCGAAATCTCCATTGAGGAGGAGGAGAAACCAGTGGTTGAGGAAGTTGAGGCCGAAATCTCCATTGAGGAGGAGGAGAAACCAGTGGTTGAGGAAGTTCAAGCCGAAATCTCCATTGAGGAGGAGGAGAAACCAGTGGTTGAGGAAGTTCAAGCCGAAATCTCCATTGAGGAGGAGGAGAAACCAGTGGTTGAGGAAGTTGAAGCCGAAATCACCATTGAGGAGGAGGAGAAACCAGTGGTTGAGGAAGTTGAGGCTGAAATCACCATTGAGGAGGAGGAGAAACCAGTGGTTGAGGAAGTTGAGGCTGAAATCTCCATTGAGGAGGAGGAGAAACCAGTGGTTGAGGAAGTTCAAGCCGAAATCTCCATTGAGGAGGAGGAGAAACCAGTGGTTGAGGAAGTTCAAGCCGAAATCACCATTGAGGAGGAGGAGAAACCAGTGGTTGAGGAAGTTCAAGCCGAAATCTCCATTGAGGAGGAGGAGAAACCAGTGGTTGAGGAAGTTCAAGCCGAAATCTCCATTGAGGAGGAGAAACCAGTGGTTGAGGAAGTTCAAGCCGAAATCTCCATTGAGGAGGAGGAGAAACAAGTGGTTGAGGAAGTTCAAGCCGAAATCTCCATTGAGGAGGAGGAGAAACCAGAGGTTGAGGAAGTTCAAGCCGAAATCTCCATTGAGGAGGAGGAGAAACCAGTGGTTGAGGAAGTTGAAGCCAAAATCACCATTGAGGAGGAGGAGAAACCAGTGGTTGAGGAAGTTGAGACCGAAATCTCCATTGAGGAGGAGGAGAAACCAGTGGTTGAGGAAGTTCAAGCCGAAATCTCCATTGAGGAGGAGGAGAAACCAGTGGTTGAGGAAGTTGAGACCGAAATCTCCATTGAGGAGGAGGAGAAACCAGTGGTTGAGGAAGTTGAGGCCGAAATCTCCATTGAGGAGGAGGAGAAACCAGTGGTTGAGGAAGTTGAGGCCGAAATCTCCATTGAGGAGGAGGAGAAACCAGTGGTTGAGGAAGTTGAAGCCGAAATCTCCATTGAGGAGGAGGAGAAACCAGTGGTTGAGGAAGTTCAAGCCGAAATCTCCATTGAGGAGGAGGAGAAACCAGTGGTTGAGGAAGTTGAGGCCGAAATCTCCATTGAGGAGGAGGAGAAACCAGTGGTTGAGGAAGTTCAAGCCGAAATCTCCATTGAGGAGGAGGAGAAACCAGTGGTTGAGGAAGTTCAAGCCGAAATCTCCATTGAGGAGGAGGAGAAACCAGTGGTTGAAGAAGTTGAGGCCGAAATCTCCATTGAGGAGGAGGAGAAACCAGTGGTTGAGGAAGTTCAAGCCAAAATCTCCATTGAGGAGGAGGAGAAACCAGTGGTTGAGGAAGTTCAAGCCGAAATCTCCATTGAGGAGGAGGAGAAACCAGTGGTTGAGGAAGTTCAAGCCGAAATCTCCATTGAGGAGGAGGAGAAACCAGTGGTTGAGGAAGTTCAAGCCGAAATCTCCATTGAGGAGGAGGAGAAACCAGTGGTTGAGGAAGTTCAAGCCGAAATCTCCATTGAGGAGGAGGAGAAACCAGTGGTTGAGGAAGTTCAAGCCAGAATCACCATTGAGGAGGAGGAGAAACCAGTGGTTGAGGAAGTTCAAGCTGAAATCTCCATTGAGGAGGAGGAAAAACCAGTGGTTGAGGAAGTTGAAGCCGAAATCACCATTGAGGAGGAGGAGAAACCAGTGGTTGAGGAAGTTGAAGCTGAAATCTCCATTGAGGAGGAGGAGAAACCAGTGGTTGAGGAAGTTCAAGCCGAAATCTCCATTGAGGAGGAGGAGAAACCAGTGGTTGAGGAAGTTCAAGCCGAAATCTCCATTGAGGAGGAGGAGAAACCAGTGGTTGAGGAAGTTGAGGCCGAAATCTCCATTGAGGAGGAGGAGAAACCAGTGGTTGAGGAAGTTGAGGCCGAAATCTCCATTGAGGAGGAGGAGAAACCAGTGGTTGAGGAAGTTGAGGCCGAAATCACCATTGAGGAGGAGGAGAAACCAGTGGTTGAGGAAGTTCAAGCCGAAATCTCCATTGAGGAGGAGGAGAAACCAGTGGTTGAGGAAGTTCAAGCCGAAATCTCCATTGAGGAGGAGGAGAAACCAGTGGTTGAGGAAGTTCAAGCCGAAATCTCCATTGAGGAGGAGGAGAAACCAGTGGTTGAGGAAGTTCAAGCCGAAATCTCCATTGAGGAGGAGGAGAAACCAGTGGTTGAGGAAGTTGAGGCCGAAATCTCCATTGAGGAGGAAGAGAAATCAGTGGTTGAGGAAGTTGAGGCCGAAATCTCCATTGAGGAGGAGAAACCAATTGTAGAGGAAATTCAAGCCGAAATCATTGTTGAGGATGAAAAACCAATGGTTGAGGAAGTTGAAGCTGAAATCTCAATTGAGGAGGAGAAACCAATTGTTGAGAAAATTCAAGCTGAAATTATTATTGAGGACGAAAAACCAATGGTTGAGGAAATTGAAGCTGAAATCTTAATTGAAGAAGAAAAACCAACCGTGGAGGAAATTCAAGCTGAAATTATTGTTGAGGATGACAAACCAGTTGTTGAGGAAGTTGAAGCTGAAATCTCAATTGAAAAAGAGAAAACAATCATGGAGGAAATTAAAGCTGAAATTATTGTTGAGGATGAAAAACCAGTTGTTGAGGAAGTTGAAGCTGAAGTCTCAATTGAAGAAGAAAAACCAATCGTGGAGGAAATTCAAGCTGAAATTATTGTTGAGGATCAAAAACCAGTTCTGGAGGAAGTTGAAGCTGAAGTCTCAATTGAAGAAGAAAAACCAATCGTGGAGGAAATTCAAGCTGAAATTATTGTTGAGGATCAAAAACCAGTTGTGGAGGAATTTGAAGCTGAAATCACGATTGAGGAAGAAAAACCAGTTGTTGAGGAAATTCAAGCTGAAATTATTGTTGAGGATGAAAAACCAATGGTTGAGGAAGTTGAAGCTGAAATCTCAATTGAAGAAGAGAAACCACTTGTTGAGGAAATTCAAGCTGAAATTATTGTTGAGGATGAAAAACCAATGGTTGAGGAAGTTGAAGCTGAAATCTCAATTGAAGAAGAAAAACCAGTTGTTGAGGAAATTCAAGCTGAAATTATTGTTGAGGATGAAAAACCAGAAACTGAAGAGGTTGAGGCCAAACTTGTTATTGAGGAGACACCAGACGTGGAGGAAGTTGAGGCTGGGCTTGTCATTGAGGAGAAACCCCAAGTGGAGGAAGTTGAGGCTGAACTTGTCATTGAGGAAACACCAGAAGTAGAGGAAGTTGAAGCTGAACTTGTTATTGAGGAGAAACCTCAAGTAGAGGAAGTTGAAGCTGAACTTGTTATTGAGGAGAAACCTCAAGTGGAGGAGGTTGAGGCTGAACTTGTCATTGAAGAGAAACCTCAAGTAGAGGAAGTTGAAGCTGAACTTGTTATTGAGGAGACACCAGAAGTGAAGGAAGTTGAGGCTGAACTTGTCATTGAGGAAACACCACAAGTGGAGGAAGTTGAAGCTGAACTTGTTATTGAGGAGAAACCTCAAGTAGAGGAAGTTGAAGCCAAACTTGTCATTGAGGAGACACCTCAAGTGGAGGAGGTTGAGGCCAAACTTGTTATTGAAGAGACACCAGAAGTAGAGGAAGTTGAAGCCGAACTTGTCATTGAGGAGAAACCACAAGTGGAGGAAGTTGAGGCCGAAGTTGTTATTGACGAGACACCAGAAGTAGAGGAAGTTGAAGCTGAACTTGTCATTGAAGAGAAACCTCAAGTAGAGGAAGTTGAAGCTGAACTTGTCATTGAGGAGAAACCTCAAGTGGAGGAGGTTGAAGCCGAACTTGTTATTGAAGAGACACCAGAAGTAGAGGAAGTTGAAGCTGAACTTGTCATTGAGGAGAAACCACAAGTGGAGGAAGTTGAGGCCGAACTTGTCATTGAAGAGAAACCTCAAGTAGAGGAAGTTGAAGCTGAACTTGTCATTGAGGAGAAACCCCAAGTGGAGGAGGTTGAGGCCGAACTTGTTATTGAAGAGACACCAGAAGTAGAGGAAGTTGAAGCTGAACTTGTCATTGAGGAGACACCAGAAGTGGAGGAAGCTGAGGCCGAACTTGTTATTGAGGAGACACCAGAAGTGAAGGAAGTTGAGGCTGAACTTGTCATTGAGGAAACACCAGAAGTAGAGGAAGTTGAAGCTGAACTTGTTATTGAGGAGAAACCTCAAGAAGAGGAAGTTGAAGCTGAACTTGTTATTGAGGAGAAACCTCAAGTGGAGGAGGTTGAGGCTGAACTTGTCATTGAAGAGAAACCTCAAGTAGAGGAAGTTGAAGCTGAACTTGTCATTGAGGAGAAACCTCAAGTGGAGGAGGTTGAAGCCGAACTTGTTATTGAAGAGACACCAGAAGTAGAGGAAGTTGAAGCTGAACTTGTCATTGAGGAGAAACCACAAGTGGAGGAAGTTGAGGCTGAACTTGTCATTGAGGAGAAACCTCAAGTGGAGGAAGTTGAGGCTGAACTTGTCATTGAAGAGAAACCTCAAGTAGAGGAAGTTGAGGCTGAACTTGTCATTGAAGAGAAACCTCAAGTAGAGGAAGTTGAAGCTGAACTTGTCATTGAGGAGAAACCCCAAGTGGAGGAGGTTGAGGCCGAACTTGTTATTGAAGAGACACCAGAAGTAGAGGAAGTTGAAGCTGAACTTGTCATTGAGGAGACACCAGAAGTGGAGGAAGCTGAGGCCGAACTTGTTATTGAGGAGACACCAGAAGTGAAGGAAGTTGAGGCTGAACTTGTCATTGAGGAAACACCAGAAGTAGAGGAAGTTGAAGCTGAACTTGTTATTGAGGAGAAACCTCAAGAAGAGGAAGTTGAAGCTGAACTTGTTATTGAGGAGAAACCTCAAGTGGAGGAGGTTGAGGCTGAACTTGTCATTGAAGAGAAACCTCAAGTAGAGGAAGTTGAAGCTGAACTTGTCATTGAGGAGAAACCTCAAGTGGAGGAGGTTGAAGCCGAACTTGTTATTGAAGAGACACCAGAAGTAGAGGAAGTTGAAGCTGAACTTGTCATTGAGGAGAAACCACAAGTGGAGGAAGTTGAGGCTGAACTTGTCATTGAGGAGAAACCTCAAGTGGAGGAAGTTGAGGCTGAACTTGTCATTGAAGAGAAACCTCAAGTAGAGGAAGTTGAGGCTGAACTTGTCATTGAAGAGAAACCTCAAGTAGAGGAAGTTGAAGCTGAACTTGTCATTGAGGAGAAACCTCAAGTGGAGGAGGTTGAGGCCAAACTTGTTATTGCAGAGACACCAGAATTAGAGGAAGTTGAGGCTGAACTTGTCATTGAGGAGACACCAGAAGTGAAGGAAGTTGAGGCTGAACTTGTTATTGAGGAGAAACCTCAAGTAGAGGAAGTTGAAGCTGAACTTGTTATTGAGGAGAAACCTCAAGTAGAGGAAGTTGAAGCTGAACTTGTTATTGAGGAGAAACCTCAAGTAGAGGAAGTTGAAGCTGAACTTGTCATTGAGGAGAAACCTCAAGTGGAGGAGGTTGAGGCCAAACTTGTTATTGAAGAGACACCAGAAGTAGAGGAAGTTGAGGCTGAACTTGTTATTGAGGAGAAACCTCAAGTAGAGGAAGTTGAAGCTGAACTTGTTATTGAGGAGAAACCTCAAGTAGAGGAAGTTGAAGCTGAACTTGTTATTGAGGAGAAACCTCAAGTAGAGGAAGTTGAAGCTGAACTTGTCATTGAGGAGAAACCACAAGTTGATGAAGTTGAGGCCGAACTTGTCATTGAGGAGAAACCACAAGTAGAGGAAGTTGAGGCTGAACTTGTCATTGAGGAGAAACCTCAAGTGGAGGAGGTTGAGGCCGAACTTGTCATTGAGGAGAAACCAGAAATTGATGAAGTTGAGGCGGAACTTGTCATTGAGGAGAAACCACAAGTAGAGGAAGTTGAGGCTGAACTTGTCATTGAGGAGAAACCTCAAGTGGAGGAGGTTGAAGCTGAACTTGTTATTGAGGAGAAACCTCAAGTAGAGGAAGTTGAAGCTGAACTTGTCATTGAGGAGAAACCTCAAGTGGAGGAGGTTGAGGCCAAACTTGTTATTGCAGAGACACCAGAATTAGAGGAAGTTGAAGCTGAACTTGTCATTGAGGAGACACCAGAAGTGAAGGAAGTTGAGGCTGAACTTGTCATTGAGGAAACACCACAAGTGGAGGAAGTTGAAGCTGAACTTGTTATTGAGGAGAAACCTCAAGTAGAGGAAGTTGAAGCTGAACTTGTTATTGAGGAGAAACCTCAAGTAGAGGAAGTTGAAGCTGAACTTGTTATTGAGGAGAAACCTCAAGTAGAGGAAGTTGAAGCTGAACTTGTCATTGAGGAGAAACCTCAAGTGGAGGAGGTTGAGGCCAAACTTGTTATTGAAGAGACACCAGAATTAGAGGAAGTTGAAGCTGAACTTGTCATTGAGGAGACACCAGAAGTAGAGGAAGTTGAGGCTGAACTTGTCATTGAGGAAACACCACAAGTGGAGGAAGTTGAAGCTGAACTTGTTATTGAGGAGAAACCTCAAGTAGAGGAAGTTGAAGCTGAACTTGTCATTGAGGAGAAACCACAAGTTGATGAAGTTGAGGCCGAACTTGTCATTGAGGAGAAACCACAAGTAGAGGAAGTTGAGGCTGAACTTGTCATTGAGGAGAAACCTCAAGTGGAGGAGGTTGAGGCCGAACTTGTCATTGAGGAGAAACCAGAAATTGATGAAGTTGAGGCGGAACTTGTCATTGAGGAGAAACCACAAGTAGAGGAAGTTGAGGCTGAACTTGTCATTGAGGAGAAACCTCAAGTGGAGGAGGTTGAGGCCGAACTTGTCATTGAGGAGAAACCAGTAATTGAGGAAGTTGAAGCTGAACTTGTCATTGAGGAGAAACCTCAAGTGGAGGATGTTGAAGCTGAACTTATCATCAGAGATGATGAACCTAAGCTTAAGAAAGAAGTTGATACTTCTGAAGCAGCCTCTGTCGAGGAAGAGACGGTTGATTTCACAGTAGCTGAGAGCCCTGTGGTGGAGGATGTAGAAGGGGAGATTACTCTCACAGAGCAATTGGAGTCCGCAGAACCTGTGGAGGGAACGTATGCCTTTAGAGAGGTGGGTTGTTTTGCAAAGGCTGGACAGATATTATTGTGGATAATACTGTCATGAGCAACCATGTGATAATTTCAATTTTGAACCATATTAGAAAATGCCAGCTATTTGAAATCTGGCATCCTTGCCTTCCCCATATATCCTGGCTCCTATATCCTAGACTCCAATATCACATGTAATCACCATCCTGAAATAGGACTAGACCCAACCTACGTGCTATTTTCCTCATCACATATCTATACATAGATGTAAATCCAAACCCTAACTTTTCCACATGAATTGTGAATTGTCCTTGCACAAATACCAAATGTTTCTGTGTGTCATTTGTTTCTACAAAGACATTTGATAAATCCAAACCTTTCTTATTTTGCAGACTATTTTCATATTTTATACCGTTCAATTTTAATTTAAACATATTCTCCAAAATGCCATGCAATATTACAAGATATATTTAATTTTGTTGTGATGTATTCTGTATCTGATGTAATTCACTGTTGTGAAGTAGTTGTTTGATGAATATTGTATATATATATCACTGTTGTCATAGATGAGGGAGGACTGTTGTCTTCCGACATATATCTGACTCTGTCGTGTTCATCTGTATTGTCCTGTATATGTCTTATGTGTTGTCCTTGCTGTATCACTAGAATATGTATTCTTCTGGTGTTGGGAGTCAGTGTGGTTGTCAGCTTCACATATTCCATTTATTTCGCCTACAAGGTGTGCATGTCATTCACCCAGCAAAGACTCTTGCATTTGTTCAGTTTTCAAGCCTACAGAGATTGGGCCTGTGAATACTGGACGTTGTAGGATGGCCAAAATAGATCTGCGACTCACAATTTTGTCATTGTTTTTTTGGAGAAGTGATTGATTTTCAGCAGCTTACTTTTTTACTCCAAATAGATGTAGTCCAATGCGAATTCCTCCACTAAGGTTCTCAACAGAGGGAAAATATTGCACCATCATCCAGGGGCCCATGGGTCTTATTGTTGCATCCGGGGGCACAGGTGGCCCAGTTGTCTAAAGTGCCACAATTTGCTGTGCAGAGATGTGACCCTTGGGCATACTAGAAACCTATGATTTGGGGTTGGAATCCCGGTTCACCCTGACTGTTTTGAGGTTTGTCAGCACCATACACGTGCTCGTGGGTTTCACCAAGTGGTAAAGGTCTAAGACCTGCATCACCTCGGGCCCTACTCCAACATCAGTCTTAGGGAGAAGGCGGTAATAAGTGTTGCACTTGTGCCAAATCCCATTGTCCTTTTGGACAATAAAATATGTTTAATAATCAGTCTGTCAGTGCCATGCCCATTTTCCCACTTATCTCCACTTATCACCACATTTAGTTGACATGCTGGATATGACGGAATATTGTTGAAAACAGCATGAACCTCAGATCACAACATCATCATCCAATACTCTCTGTTCAGGGTATGTCATTTATCTCCGTCCTGTCAGTCTTGTTCCGTGTGTTCATCACATCTGTCCTCCAAATACCATCTCCCCCAATGTCACGTATGTGTGTGTGTACCTCTAGGTGGAGGACAGGACCACAGTGGAGGACATCAGCGTCGAGATCACACTCGCCCCCAAGTTCCTGCAGGAACTCAAGAACCAGGAGGTCACAGAGGGAGCTACAGTGACCTTGACCATCAAGGTCACAGGAACTCCTGAACCAGAGCTCAAATGGTAGGTCTTCACTTGACATATTATATTGTATCGCTTTTTGTTTCCTATCCTGTCCAGGTTTGTGATAACAGATCTGAAATCGACAGATGCTTGACAGGATCACATTGAACTATTTATGGTTTGTTAAGAGGTGTAATCATCCTTTGCAAAATAATTCTAGTAATTTTACAATTTTTGTGATCCTTATTTCTGTCATGTACCTCAGACAGACTTTGTTTCTCTTCATCATGGAAGAGCATATGAATTTTGAAGAACATAATTTGTTTAATGGTGTTTACTTATAAAAGTCATTTTTTGTTTATACATTGTTTGCAAAAAAATTAAAATCAACCCTGATAACATTTTTATTTTACGTTTCAATTTGTCTGGCCATATATGGCATATTTAACACGTGATAGAATGGACTTTTGTTATCTAGTATGCCACATGTACTTGTTGACTGAAACTCATGAGACAGAATTCATAAAGTAATCCAAAGTTTTTTCCAGCCTCCCTGAATAAATTGAAAGGGGCTTTTCCTTCAAGTGTGTACTTTCTTTTGTTATTGTTCAGGTAACAACATGAAATCCAAATTCAATGTATTTACTATCTATGCAGAATAATTCTAAAGGAAGTAAGTACTTCATTCTCAATATAGGTTTAAGGACTGATATTACAATCGTAGTATTATAAGTTGTCAGTAAACCCATATTTTTGTGTAGGTATCGTGATGAGGTAGAAATCCAGTTCGATGAGCGTGTGACAGTCGAGAAGCTTGAAGACAACACCTACACCCTCACCATCAGGAACACCACCATCGACGACGAAGCAGATTACACCTGCGTTGCCATCAACAAGGCAGGCAAGGCCAAAACAACCTCCGAACTTCTGGTGAACCCAGCTGGTCAGTACATGTCTCTCAGCATGTTTGTAACTAGTTTTAATGTAAATAGTATATGGTACATGCATATTGCATCGAGCGTGTTTTCTTAAGATTGATAGGTTTAGAATTTAGAATAATTTGTCAAATTTCTTACGTGCTCCTATACCTTATCATGGTTACACTGAAGGTACCTGTAGTTTTAGTGGTGTGTCTAAAATTTGAATAATTAATGTGTTTTTAAATTAAACAGTCAAATGGCTGACTATGCTTGTCGCAAGAGGCCACTAACGGGATCGGGTGGTCAGGCTCGCTGGCTTGGTTGATGCATGTCATCAATCCCAATTGCGTGGATCGATGCTTGTGATATCAATTACTGGATTGTCTGGTCCAGACTTGATTATATACAGACTGCCGTCATATAGCTGGAATATTGCTGAGTGAGGCGTTAAACAACAAACAAAACAAAGCAAAAAACAATGCAAACTGATCACTGTCCCACTAGTTTTCCTTTGTTTTATGCTGTTTTTGGAACTATCACAATGATATCAAGTCAACATGGAAACCATCCAGGAAACCATGCTCTTTCAGTACAAAATCTCTGAATGTTTTATGGACATATTTTAAATTTTTGATTGAAAATATGCTTTTTCAAACATCTGTTTTTATTTTATTTTTCTTTGGTGAGGGGATTTTTTAGGAAAACAACCTCAGATACAATTCAACGTCAATAATCAGTCTGACTTATCTGCCTAAACAGAATTCATTCGGCATAAAAGGCGAAATAGTGATTAAAATTATATGAATGGATTACTGAAAAACAGGCATTATCCTTAAAGACAAATAAAGTTTTGGCTAAATAAAATGACAATAATATTTGGCTGAGATAATGGGTGAAAGGAATGTCTTTTAGCATGTGCCTTATCAAATGTAAGATGGTGAGAAGAAGAGTGCTGAGACAATTATTTCATGTCCTTGTTGTGTAGGAGAAGCTCCTTCCTTCATCACACCACTGAAGGACACCGAAGTGGAACTAGACACGACCGTCACCCTCCAGTGTCAGGTCACCGGTGTACCACGCCCAGAAGTGACATGGCTCCATGACAATAAGGAGGTCAAGGGTGACAAATACAAGTAGGCATTCTCATGTGTTTCTCATGTTACTCATCACAAATTAATCTGATGGAGATTATTCATTTCATCAGAAGCCTTGATGGAAATAACGCAGGAGCATCACAGAGAATATTTATGGTTCTTCCATGCATGAATATCCTGTCTTACCCAAGTCAAAATGTCTTTCAAAGAGTTTCAACAGAATTTTTTAGCAAATAATTTTTACTCATCTTCTTGTGACTGTACAGTTTCTTGAATGCAGTTCTTAGCTCTTGGATTGGACAACTTGATTCATACATTATAATACCATCTCCAAATTGTTGGGCAACTATATTTCTTGGTCCTGTTGTCCTCTTGTCGGAAAGGAGTTGTGTGGGCTGTTTTGCCTTTCAATTAACTTCATTTCAAATGCTTTACAAAAATAATTTGTCTCTTTGCAGGATCGAATATATTGAAGAAAATGTGACCTTGACATTTGACAAATGCACTTTGGATGATGAAGGTGACTACACAGTTAAAGCTGTCAATGAAAAGGGTGTCGCCTCATGCAGCGCCGAGGTCCTTGTCCACGTTGAGGCACCAAAGGTCACCAAGCCTCTCTCTGATGTTACAGTGAAGGTGAAGGACACTGCTCACTTAGAGTGTACCATCACTGGCCTTCCTAAACCCGAGGTCATATGGATGTCCGACACAGTCATACTCAAGGACAGTCCCAAATATAAGATCACCTCCAGAGATGATGACTACATCCTAGAGGTCAAGGACGTTACTCTCGAGGACACGGAAAAGACATACACGTGTAAAGCTTCCAACGTGGCTGGTGATGACTCGACATCAGCAAAGATCATTCCCGAAGGTCTGTTTGATGTTCTAGTTCTGACTTATAGCATGTTGATGACTGTTCTGCATATAACCCCCACAGTTTTGTACACGTTGTGTCGAGTTCTCAACAAGAGCATGGTGTGTTCCAGTCAATATCATCCTAACAAATCTGCATGTTTGAATCCCATTGTTTGTCCTACAACATCACAGCTAATTGTTGTGTAGAACGTTATATTCGTTCTGTTATAATCATGTGTTATTTAAAGCTCTGTTCGATCAAACCATTTCAGTGTTATAGCGTAGACTTATAGTTTATCCTTTTGACATATTGAAGATAAGTGTATGATATCTATACGGTGCATGTAGGGTTGAGGCCTGCTATTATGGCTACAGAATATCCATGCATGGCCATGTTACAAGTTGAATTGAATGCATGATGTTGATTGCATGATAATTAACTATGACAAATATAGCATGATTAAGGAAATTTAAAAAAATAATAAGTCTCAAAATATGATCGAAATTTAGACATATATTTCTTGTTTATTGCAAATTAAAAGTGTTTGCAAAACATTTGCTTTATTTATAAAAGTTAAAATCCAAATTTGATGTATGTACAGACACAACACATATCTCATTCCTGCCCATATATGGCTAAAACTTATATTTGAATCGAAAAGACAAGACACATATTTTGTACAGTGCAAATAAGAAGAAACACACTTGTATTGTACAAAATAGCTTTGTATTTATCAAAAATGTTTAATGTTAATGAGTGAGTAAAGTTTGTTGGCAGACGAAATAACAAATTTTATCTCTCTATTTGTTATATGTTGATGAGTTAAGTTACTGTCAAGTTTTATCCTTTTAATTTTATCCTTTAATTATTATTACTGACTAATGCTCTTTTGATATAAATTATTTTATCAAATATGTCATTTACTGATATGCTTTAATAGTTTTATATATTTACTGCATATTATTGGGTGTGTAGATTACAAGATTTGTCTGATTTAGTAATTAGTATGATTGAGTAATTAGTAATTTTGTAATGAGAACCACTTGTTTGAAAAGTGATCACTCGTTTGTAATTCCAGTTGATAATGGCAGTGGGTCATTTCGCTTGATCATGTTATCATATCATTTTAGCAGCAGCATGAATATATCAACATAATCATATCTACATATCATCATATTCATTATCGTTCCCCCATTACTCAACCATCTATATTGTGACAATATATGTGTTAACAATTTCATAGCTTTTACTATTTATTATACCAAATAAATGGACTATTGGTAGACAATGTGTTGGACATGTTTGTTATCAAATACAAGAGTTTAGTGACCTTATTGATGTATTTTGATATAAATTCAAAAGAATTATTACCAGTGTGTTCAGTGCCTTTATATATCACAAGCCATTTTCAGTATCTTAATTCCGGCAATTAGTATAACTGTTCTTTAAAATATGTTGGATATAATATTATTCAATATTATGGATATAATATTATTCAACATCAGTAAAATATACATTTTACAATTTGTATACAGTTCTGACAAGGAGAGTCTACCATTTGCATAATAACACTGAATACAAGTTGTCTGAAAAAACAGTATTGAATTATTAAATACGAAGCTCATGATTAGAGTCGATGAAGTATACTGAACAAAAAAGTTAGTGATCATGAATATTTTGGGGATATTTTTATGAAATTGTGTTCTGGCCCTACAGACATAAATATCGCCCAAAATATTTTTGATGCGTAAATGTTTTTGTTCCGAATATTTTGTACTTATTGCCTTTAAGAAGATAGATACTGATTTGATCTCTGCTTGAATGTAGCCATCTGCATGCTTGAATGTGTATCATCCTCCATTGATTCTAGTGATTGTGATATTAGGGGAGTTATCTCCCCCTGCCTGATGTATTCACATTTTTCTCAATAAACTATTTAACTGTTTGTGCCTTCCCTGTAGTGTGTAATATCACCTAGCTTCTGTGTAGATGCCTTTCTGTTGAAAACAGAATATATTACAAGAAAGAAAATGTTTTTCAGATTTGTATGAGTTGTTTTTATTTGGTTATACCTCGATGAAATACACAATATATTTTGTGAACAGTTTTGAGAAAATAACGTTTTCTTTCATTGTAATATGAAATGAATACCTCACAATATACAGAAATAAAGGGTATAATCTATTAAATCAGATTTGATGTTGACTGACTTTAAATGCAATAGAGATGCAGTAATAAGCTCAACCTTACTTACCACACAACAACTTTTCTAAGAACATTTTATTGTAAAAAAATATATCTGTAAGATACACATATACTTGACTATATCTTAATTTATTTGAGAAAAATATTTGAAAAGTTGTCATCTCAAATTACTTGGCCACAAAGATGATAATGATTATTTTATCACTATACGATCCACGCTCACTGACCTATTGTATACAATGACATACATACACCACTTCTTCGAAATGTATCACCCAGGTCATCATGTGATAACATCACACTTGTCAATCAAACCTGATATGTACACTCGTATGTGTTATTATATACAGAAAAACATCATTATTTCTCAAATAAGGTAATCGTTAGTGTGTATATTTTGAGGCTCTTAACCAGTGGTGCTTGCTTTCGAAGATTCTAGATTTTACTTCTAGATTCCTTAAAAAAATGTTAAAATTTAAGATAGATATTTTATTGCTTAAAGGTAGAAATTAATGTAAAGATGATGATTCATATTTTATATTAAGAAATTGACATGAGTCAACATGAAATGAACCAAACATGAATTACAATGACTTTGGTAAATATCCCACAGGTCGTGAGTCACATGAAACAGAAACCTGTTGAGCATGAATTATTTATAAGGTGTATCCCAAGCTGGCTCACACAAGCAATGAGCTGTATCCCTAGGTATATTGAGATTCTGAGACGGAACACAAACAAGATGGCTGTAGCTAATGCTGTTGACTTTCATTCAGAAACATTTGTCAAAATAATATTCAAGTTTGCAAAATATCAGTTTTCATTGTCAGGAATATGTGTAAAATATTTTTAAAAATCCAATTCAGTTTCATAGTACAAATTCCTAAATAAAATATTAGAGAGATGTGATAATGTGACAATAATATAAAAAGGTATATGATAGCAGTATAGATTTCAACATATTTTTTGTAAAATGTAACCTTTTAAGGGTTATTAGTAATATTTAGGCCAAAACTAGTAAATTACTTGTTTTTAGGATTTCTTGGTCAATATGCAGGAAGAGAAAATGTTTTAAATTAAAATGTAATGTGTTAACATTATTTTTCTGAAAACACTTTAAATATAAAGGTTAAATTACAAGCAGACTACACTATACATAAACTTATTTTTATTCAAAAATCTTTTAATATTTTTTTCGATGTTAAAATATTTAAGGTAGTTTCATCAATAAACACAGAAATAAATTGGTCTGTCCTTGTCTGATAAAAAATAGTAAATATAATTGTGTTCTTTACAAAATAAAACTATGATAGCAATGTCAACCATCCCGTGACTCAGATATTAACCCTTTCACAGACCAACCCAGTCATATCTTATTGATTAATTGCACACTTAACCTTCGATCAGGAAGAAATTCCAGGTTATCTATAAATCTCATCGGGAAAGAATGTCATTTTCTACTTTCATGACTGAGCTTAGTGTCAGTGTGTTAATTAGCATCACTGAATATGAAACCCAAAGGGTTAAATGCCATCTGGTCGGCTTGATAAAAAACATCCCATCAGAGAGTAATTGACAGATCTCAAGGGTGTGTTCACAAACCAATCATTAAATACCTATTGATAAAGATACAAGCCTTTTAACCCCAATGTGCAAACTGACAAATACATCTGACACAAATATCTGGTGTTATTGTGAGGTATTCATGTAGTTTGTCCATGGTTTCTTGTTAACCCTTCATACATCATTAACCCTTTATATCCTTGATATAGCTGCCTATAACCTTCATTATCACTGTTCCACTTGGATAATATTACCTTGGGGTGCAGCCAAAGGTGGATAGCCTTGGTTATCAGCATACCTTTAGCTACACTCCTAACTCACAGACAGGCATGCTTTTTATAACCACTCTCTATTCAGGATCAGTGACTTAATGTTTTGAAGAAAATACCCAGAAGAATATTAGGAATGCGATTTGTACTGTACAGCCTTTAGCCTCCATTGATAAGGATTTATAAACACTTAATGTACTTATTATTGTGGAAAGATATGATAATGATTGAGCAATTCTTTATGCCTTAATTTGAATGTGATATGTACTGTACAACCTTTAGCCACCATTGATAAGGATTAATAAACAATGAATGTACTTACTTTTTCAGAAGGATAAGATAATGATTTAGAAATTCGATATGCCTTAATTTTTATGTCATTTGGCTTTTGTATATATACTACCCCAGTTGAAATTATAGACAACCTAACATCACTTTTTTCACAAATTTGATCTTAATATTTTTTGTGCAGATGGTATATAATATTTTGGATAAAATATAATTATGACAAAATCCTTCCATTGAGGAAAGTATGACATTTTGACATATCTTTGAATAGGCTTCATGTGAAATTTAAGTTTAGGAAACTAATTAATTAATAACAATTTGGAAATACAAGTTTTGAAACAAGAATGTTTCGAAATGGCCTGTGATGATTTTTAGGATGAATATGGTATTTCGTTGTTTTCCATTTTCCAAATGGCATAACAAAGAACCTGAATTAATCCTTTATGAGAATTGATCTGGTGAAAATTTGTATGAAATTTCTGAAAAAGATGTCGCTAACGATTTTCAAGCAGGTACTGCAAATATACCAAGGCAAGAGAAAAACGTATAAATAGAGAAACGATTGTAATCCAATTTTGAATACAAGCTGTGAAATCTCCTACCAAATATTTACAAAGAATAAACATCTTCTACCTGTTTGAAATTCTTCTTCATCACTTACCTGTAACATCTCCAGTGAAGGAATGTTTGTCACTGAATGCGCTGACCTTGACCCCAAACTTCCATTTTAAATATTTGCATTGATCTCATCATCAGAAAGAGAGAAAGTGATAGTAACCTTTCAGCAATGACAGGGCAGCTTTCTTATTAAGTGGCAAGGTTAACTGAAAACTTAAAAGAGATTTGACGACACACTTGATATGATTTAAGGAAAATTGCAGTGTCATGTATTGTTACGAGCATTTGTATTCACATATTCAACTCGCTGTCATGCCTTCACAATAACAATCCTCATAATATCATCCCCTTCACATATGCTCACCTCCATAATAAATCCAGACCAGTTTATGTCTCTCTTTTTATAGCATTTATTATTTGGAAAGGATGTTTTAGCCTGTTTTTGCAGTGATCAAAGTCTTTTTGAAATGGATATTTCAAAAACATACCATTTATAAAATATATGTAATGAACAAATGATTATAAAATAATGAAAATAAGGTCTTGTTCAAATTAGTTCAAATTCATGAAATATGGTAAAGAAACTGAAAAACTGGTTTGGTATGAAATAAATCACATCACCACTTCTGGCACTGTCCTGAATTAATGTTCTTGTTATCCATTTCTGAATTGACTGAAAAACGTTATAAATATTGGTAAAAATTGAAATACAGGATTTCTTTATCATTAACCCTTGCAGTACCAGCCCACATAATTATGGCGCCATCTGCAGTTGAGGTAACAACAGGGGAGACAATCCATATTCCCTGTAGTTTTGAAGGTATCCCTACCCCTTCAATCAGATGGTCGGTCAACGGCCGACCATTGGCTGTTGATGACCGGCTTCAAGTAGCGTCAACACCCAGAAGTGCAACCTTGACCATTTCGCTTCCAACGACCTTTGACACAGCGGTATATACATTGACCGTTGAGAATGAGGCTGGATCGGACCGAGCTGATATTGACGTACTAGTCCAGTGTAAGATGACATGAGATGTTATAAAATAATAGATCATAGGAATATTGCTAAAAAACATATCTGAAACAAGCTAATTAAGGTATCCATAATAATATCATATACCATTTTTCATTATGCATGCTGTTTGGCTTGAATTAGAGTGTGCATGTTTGAGTATATTGTTGTATAGTGTTTAATAACTTAATTCTTTTATTAGTTTTTTTCCATATTTTTATGATACACATATAATATTTAATATCTGTAGATTTATTCTTGTTGGAAATGCCGGGTTAGAATTTGTCCGCTGTAACATGTGCTGGTTGTAAGAGGTGCCTGCCCTGATATTGCTGGAATATTGTTAAAAGCAGCGTAAAACCTCATTCACTTGTAACAGGTGACTAAATGATCAAGTGGTCAGACTCGACGTGGTTGATGCATGTCGTTGTACCCTGACTGTGTGGATCGATGCTCATACTATCAATCACTTGATTGTCGTGTCCAAACTTGATTATTTACAGCGTGTCGTCACATAGCTATTGTATTGCTGAGTGGGGTATTCAACAACGAATAAACAAATCTTGTTAAATTAGGATCTCTTAACAAAATGAATGATTTATAAGTATGACTGTTGAGTGAGTGGAAGTCTTGTCAGTAAGTATGCAGCGTAGAGGATCATATGGTTTGAATGAGACATTTCAAAAGAGTTAACAACGGGAAAGTTCAACTCTAATGTTAAGCAGCAGTGCATTCTGCAGTATGTCCACAGAAATTTAATTCAATAAGCACCCTAATACTTACATAGTGGCTGAACAACAGCTAACGCAAGCAATGTTACACCACATAGACACACTGACATAACAGGTTTAGCGAGACACATACACAATCCCTTCTAGAAAAACTGAATACTTGCGTCGGTGTGTTCACAATGTATGTAGTTCATGTATTCTCTGAAAGGCATGCCATTTAGGGGTGGTATCATAAATTAAACACATATTTATAAAGAATCAGCTTAACATTATGTCAATAGGTCAGGTCACACCAAATTGAAACTTTGTTCTTCCAATCTTTATCCAATTTTAATAAATGACATTTATTACTCTCAATGGCTGAAAAGATACAATATTTTCTCTTCATCACACACACACTAGTGTAATGCAAATGATAAGATATTACTGAATTTATATTTTGTAACAGTTTTCTTTTTTAATTTTCTTTTTTTAAATAGTTTAATAGCCAACAATAAAGTTTATATTCCACATTCCCCATTTTTGGGGCTGCTAAATTTGTGCAAGATCGTACTTGAGAACCAAAGAACAAATTATTATTTTGTTGTGTCCTTACTGATAACAAATAAAGAAGCTGATATTAAAATCAGTTTGTAATCCACCAGTTGCCTGTGTACAACCTATGTAGCAAGTATTACTTACTTAGCAGAAACTGGCCTGTATTCTCTGAATGTTAACGGGAGCACTACGGTGTAACACAATGGTGTTGTAAACTCCCTGAACTAGTCATGGCCAAAGTATGACCATTAATCATCTGCTGAAAGCAATCAGGACAAAATCACCTGTCACCAATAGACAAGAATTCCCTTTCACCACTGACAAAAACATAGCCATAAATGTGTTCAGTTTCCAGTGAAATCATAATCACATTTCCTCCAGTCAGGTCGACATTGTTATATTTATGTAAACTAAAATGTCACTTTTTACAAGTTGATATTGATTAAACCGCTCAATCTAGAGGTATGTCTTCAAATAGATATATCCCAAAATGTTTTTTACCTCTGACCTGATCTTGTAAGCAAATATGTTGAGTGTTGATCCAATGGCAATAAAACAAGCAAATGTGGTCTCTTAGTGGTGATAACGACTGACAGGTTGATAAGATAAAATTGGCAGACATTCAATCTGTCGATCTCACTCCCCACCTGTCAATCGGGGTTGGACAGACCTGTCAATATTCTATCGTATGTTACTTCTGTGGAGGTCATGTCAGGGTTTGATTTCTCACACGTGCTGAATTGTGGATCTTTTTAATAGGTTCAGTTGAGTTGAAACAGGTGGACATGAGATTAATTAATGAAGAATGGTAACTAGATCTATGACAAGGCCATGCTTGGCCAGGCTCAAGCGGTATAGACATAGGTGTGGGACAAATTGGTTCATGTATAAATCTCTGTTCCTGGAGCGCAGGTGTCTGTGAGGTTGTGTATTGGTGGCGACACAAATAACGACAAGACTTTGGATATGAATGATGTATTTTGAAGTGGGAGATTATCAGCGTCATCCAAGAACAGAGATTCAAGTCAGATTCTTAAAAATGTATGGATATATTTTCTGATCTAAAACAGGAACAGATCTATTGGCAGCATTGACTTATGCATGCTCCTAAAATGAACACATTCAAAATATTGAAATAATTGAACATGTAATAACAAAATTATTTTCAAAAATTGGATGCTGGATTATACAAGATCTGTTGAACAAGAGGAGGCTCTCACCAGGATTGTGATTTTTGACAGAGGTTCCTGGAAGAATAAGTGCAAAATTCAGTATGAGTTCTTCAGATGGCCAAGTGTACCAGTTAAGGAATTATATTTCACACATAACCACCAGTATTTTCTGGATGTGGTGATGCTGTAGACCTGTGTCATGTGAGGTGTGTTGAGGAGGTGGAATGGCCCCCAGCGTTACGGCCATCACTCTGTGTGGTAATGTAAGGATCAAGGAAATATATCTGCACTATTACAGTAAACATGGTAAGTCAGCACTGTGCTGTCCTACATAGAGTCTGTGGGTGGGCGTGGTGAATACAATTTTAAAATAGTATCCCTACTGTGTTAATAGGTTGCCAGAAATAGGTTTATGATATTTTCTTTGGTATGTAAATAGGATTTGTTGAACTAATCCCCTTCACAGTTTGAGAGAATATAAATCACAAATGGTTTGAATTTTGAGAATGAAAGGAAAGAATGAAAATCGCAAGAAATGAATGAATGAAAGTCTGAATGAATGAATGAATGAATGAATGAAATGTGAAATTAATGATTAAGGAAAGAATGAATGAATGACTATATGGAAATATTTTGACCTAGTGTATTCTAAACATATTTCATACTTATGGCAAGGTAAGATATTTTGTAGCTTATATTTTCTTGCTTGGGCAATTACCAATTTGCTTCTTTCAATACATTTTATCATGTAGTTTATAGAATCTGTATAGTTTTTTTAATTTTTCTGAGTAAAAATGTTCAAATATAATGTCAAGCAACCAGTAGATTTGAATGTTCATGACAGTGTTACTGTTGTCCTTCAGCTGTGGAGGAAGTCATTGAACCAGAGGAAGATAAACTGGAGGAAGTGCCAGCAGGCCGGGCACCTGAGTTTGTCCTTACCATCAAGACTGAGACTGTGAGTGTTCCTTATATCCCTATTATGATGTTCACATGGCTGGTTAGGCAAGTGGTTACAGCATTGAGTTGCCATGACAAAGATCTGGGTTTGACTCCCCACATGGGCACAATGTGTAAAGTCTTTTGGGGGCCCATTGTATGATATGGCTAAGATATTGTAATAAGTTGGTTAAATATAAAAACTCGAGAAAGCTGCCTTCTGATTGGCTAATGTCGATTTCTTGTCAGTCATTTCATTGGTCGGTCAAAATTCACGAAAGGTGATTCTGACGTGACCCATTATAGGATGTCCTCAGATCTTTGCTTAGCGGTAGCAAAATCTAAGATCTGATTTTAATGAGATTGTTTTGATGATTATGTGCACTGCATCGTCGTTACTCATGGTGCAGGTTGAGGAGGGGGAGACAGCCGAGTTCACCTGCCAGGTGGTTGGAGAGCCAACGCCAGAGATCCAGTTCTTCTACAACACCAAGGAGCTGCAGGATGAAGGCCGCTACATGATCTTTGAGGAAGATGGTCTCCATCATCTTGAAGTCTATGAGATCCTTCCAGAAGATGAAGGAAAATATGTCGTCAAGGCAACCAATCCATTCGGTCAAGCAGAATGCTCAGCTGAATTGGTTGTCAAACGTAAGTATCAAACAGTATTTTGATTAATTAAAATAAATCACCAATGATTTGTTGGTTATACTTATCTCGGCACAAATCCAAACAAATTGGCACCAATGATCCTGAAAATTCTGAAATGAGTTGATTGATGAATAATTTGGTAATGTTGGTATTTATGGTACAATTTCCTTATCAAAACATAGATTTTAGGACTGGTTTTTAGTGTTCAAAGTGTTTAGGATATTGACGAATAAATAATAACTAAAATGTTCTTTATCAGCCAAACCTGTTGAGGAACCCAAGGAGCAGGAACCTGTTGTTGAGGAAGAGATTCCTCAGGAGGAAGTTCCTGTTGTCGAGGAGATCCCACAGGTGGAAGAAGTGGTTGTCGAAGAAGCACCAAAGATGGTTGCTCCCAAGTTCATCATCCAGATCGAGACTGTGGAGACAAAGATCGGAGAGACTGCCAAGTTCACCTGCAAGGCAACTGGTATTCCATCTCCTGAACTCATCTGGTACAAGAATGACAAGGAGATCACAAAGACGGACAAAGACTTCAAGATTGACTACGCCGAGGACAACGAGACTTCCCTGATCATTGTCAGTGTTCAGCCAGACCATGATGACACTTACACCTGCGAGGCCACGAACCCTGCTGGCTCAGACAAGACCAAGGCTGAGCTGTTTGTTGAAGGTAGAGTTCAAGTTGTTCTAACAAACTTAATTCAGTTCATTCAAAATCCGCTTTGTTTATCCATCCAGGATTTTAAGAACAGATATTTTAGAATATGTTTTGTTTCACACATGGTATTAAGAATAAAGTCTCACTCTAGAATGGACCCGATCTGGTGCTCAAGATTGGGGGATAAAACAAGGACTGGTGGGTTCAGAGTCAGTATTCTGAGTGGGGCATCCATGGTAAGCTGCGACATGGTATCTCAGTTGGCTGGAACTATAAAACTGGCATAAGTTCAGACTACAAGCAGCCACATACTGATGTGTATGTGCATGTCTATATGAGTGAAATAATCTTGAACGAGACTTCATAATCTTTTTGGCCTCAACTTGCTTAGAATGGAAATGAACTTATTATTTGTGGTTCTTTGTTCAATGTATTTTAAGCACAGGGACTGATGGTGGTGATATTAATGGTGGTGACACATGATGACCAGTGAACCTTTTTTTTGTCTTCAGAAGAGCCAGAGGAGAAACTCTCTCCACCTGAGTTCATCAAGGTTCCAGAAAATGTCACAGTTCGCGAACATGACCAGGCCAAGTTCATTGTCAAGGCCATTGGAATGCCCAAGCCGACAGGTAAAACTGAACAATTGTGTTTCAGTGATAAGTCATGTTGTGATAATGAAAGCACTATAATGGCTTTGTGTGAGTGTACTGTAAGAACATGCAACATATGTTTTTAGATGCCATGCAATCCTTATGAGAATTATGATTGTTTTTTTAAAAAAAGGAAACTAATGAAAGGATGTGAATAATACTGATAAAAGTAGAGACTTTGTTATCATATATAATGACATTGGCAATGAATAAGTTAGTGAGAGTGTGACGTGTTGTGTGTGTGACGTGTTGTGTGTGTGACGTGTGTGTGACATGTGTGTGACGTCTGTGTGATGTGTGTGTGACATGTATGCATTGCGTATTCAGTCACCTGGAAGCGGGACAACAAGGAACTGGATGACAAGGAGCTGTTCCACTTTGAGAAGTACGAGGACACCTACTGCTTCGAGATCAAGGACACAGAACTCAACGATGCAGACACCTACACCTGCCATGCTGTCAACTCTGAGGGTGAAGCCACGGCTGACATACCCCTCATTGTCAATGGTAAGACATTACAGATGATTGTACTTGTGTATCAACCAATCAGAGTGTAAACCAATCGCTCAAATCTTTACTGATGTTTCTGACATGTAAATGCTGCAGTTAAAGTATAAATCCAACAAATATGGAATCGGCAAGACAAAACTATTAACAAAAACAAGTCACTGATGCCTTGTGCATGTCATAAAATACTACACAACTTTTGATAGGGATATTCAAAGTTCTAGGTGGCTATATTGAATGTGACTTAATCTTTTGGAGATGACATCATACGTGTATAGTATTGCCTAGACTAACATTTAGTCTCTGAAATCTTATATTACACAATATCCTTCTTGACTCTAAAAATAAAAAAACATTTCCCTATGCTGATTTCATATAGAGCTAGCTAGAGCTGGCTAGACTTGTTTTTGTATGCGTTTCCAGATTCTTATTTGTTCATAAAATAAGTATTGCCATGCATACAGTGATTTAAAAAATGCCAGTCTTCCATCAGGACCCACAGACTTTAAAAGCCGCTGGCCCTGACTAAATTCTACAGGCCCTCATTTAATAAACTGCAGCTCATTTTGAAAAATAAATTGTCATGTAAACCTACTGCAGGCCATACAAATTTGATTCTATGGGCCAGACACAAGATGTACCTGACACAGGCCAAAATGGTGGCACTTAGTCAAGACGATCAGATCGATAATCAAGATTGTAATAAAACGGGTCTTAATTGGCAAAGAACATCAAATCACTTGAGCAGCTTGATAAGAAAACTTGAAAGGATTTGGAAAATACCTGATGGCGGGTTGGAAGTACACATGTTTTACAAATCCGGCAAGTGACCCAAATATGCATGGCAGTTGACAAACTGGAAGTCGATGTTTTTACTCGGTTTTGACTGGACCTTGCATAGACTCGTAAGTCATGCATAATTCCAACCTAGTTCGGCAAGGGTGGAAACTGAACTTTTTTAGTCAGTTAACTCCCTTGCCTCAGGAAGATGCACTTTGTCCTCTGTGACGTGTTATAGTTCTGATAAGGTCACAAGATTATCTAAACCATGTCTTTTGTTTCAGAAATTAAACGTGATGAGAGACTCTCAGAGTCCCCGCTCCTGCTGAAGACAAAGGAAGAGACTAAACCTCCTGTCTTCATCGAAACAATTGAGGACACTGTGAGTTGTTTGTCCTTTACATTGCAGTAGTTCCATCATTAATTGTAATCTTTCATTTTGTATTGTGGTTGAAACTCATTTTGAAATTTGACATTTGTTACAACTGTAAAGATTTCCATTAATGATGAGTACATTTGGACATATATAATTTCTTGTTTCTTTTCATACAGACCATCATGGAAACAAAGACCTTGACTCTTGTTGCCAAGGTTACTGGACTACCCCGCCCAGAGGTAGAATGGTTCAGAAACAACAAACCAGTCACTATGCTCCCCAACCATCGGCCAGTCTATGAAGACGAAACATGCACTTTGAAGGTTGTCAAGGTAACCATGGACCAGGCCGGAGAGTACAAGTGTGTTGCCACCAACAGTGCTGGCACTGCAGACTGTACTGCCAACATCACCATTGAAGGAGTGATGGAGGCGCCAGAGATCACACGTGAACTGCCAAACAGGGAGGTCCGCGAGGGTCGTCCTGTCAAACTGGACTGTGCTGTGAAAGGAATTCCAGAGCCAGAAGTCACATGGTAGGCATGAAGTTGAGGCTTAGTTGGAAAGTGATGAGTATCTGATTTACAGCCAATTCTCGTTTCTATTAATTCCTTGGTAGCCCTGCAAGCATCTATCAAAACTTATTTGCAATGTAAATAATTGTACCAACTGATTAAAATGAAGAGTTTTGAGTCTTGATTCAGCCATAAATTTGATACCTGAATTTGTTTATCATTCATAATGATCTGATATAAATCGTATACATTTAGGGCCAGTTGGGTATCTTGGCGGTTAAAGTGCTTGCTTGTTTTGCCGAAGATCTGGGTTAGATTCCCCACATGGGTCTATTTGCTGTGTTCTTAGCTGTGATATTGCTTCAATATTGCTTATATAAAACCTTCTTTACTCATTCTTATACACATTGGATGATTCCTGAATGACTGGTTCTGTGTTCAAATGTTGGTTTCAAGATCTATGTGATCCAGCTAATAAATACATTTTCACCATCCTGTACATCCTGCACACAATGTGTCTTCAGGTTTATCAACGATGAGAAGATCGAGCCTGGTGTTAGGTTCCATACCGACCAGCGCAAGATGTACACAGACACCCAGCATACTCTCAGCATTGAGCCTACCGAGGTGGAGGATGCTGGCACCATCAGCGTCGTCGCCACCAACAAAGCTGGAGAAGCCAAGACTGAGGGCACACTCACTGTTGAAGGTCAGTAAGGGGGATAACTCTGTGAAAAAACTTGTTATTGCAAATGGACATCACATATCCTCAAGAGTGTATTGCTGTGTAAGTAACTTGGCTTGGTCAAAGTACCACTTCTAGCAAGTTGGATTGAAGTCAATCAGAAACAATTGTGTCGTCTTGTTTAGTTTCTCCCGACATGGGTACAATGTGTGAAACCCATTTCTAGGGTCCCCCACCGTGATATTGCTGGAATATTGCTAAAAGCGGTGTAAAACCATACTCACTCACTCACTCACTTGTTTAGTTTCAGTTTTACAGATGACACTTGTTACAATGTAAACACTTGAACTGAAACTTTGCTGCAGGTTGTTGAGTGTAGTCCTCAGGAATGTAAGTTTGTGTGACATGTGTTTAAAGCACCTCCCTGTAATACTTTTCTGACAACTTTATAGAGATTTGTGTAAGTTTGTGTTTGATAATAACCGTTGCTTGCCTTTACAGAGAAGAAAGAGGGTCCCAAGTTCATCAAGAAGCTGGAGACATACGAGATTCTGGAACATGAGGAACTCCGTATGGAAGTGGTCGTGTCCGGCAAACCTAAACCCACAATCACATGGTGAGTGAGATGCCTCATATTTGATACAGATGTCGTGGTCCTCTGCTTTCTTGCTAAAATTCATGGGCTTGGACGGATGAAGATTTTTCTAGAATACGAAATGTGCCATAACCTTGACCTTCAGTCATGAGAGCCATAATTGTTGTAACTGGAATTCTGTTTAAAGCTGAGATAAACCCAACTCGCTGTTTGCATCCCCACACAACACGAGTCTGAACCGACATCATGTATGTTAACTATGTGTGCTGTTTTCCCCCTTGTAGGCTGAAGGGAGACAAAGAGCTTGTGGAGTCTGAGGACATCAAGTTTGAGGTGAAAGATCAGACCCACACAGTGGTCCTCAAGAACGTCAAGATTGAAGATGCTGGACTCTACACTGCTCGTGCTCAGAACCCAGCTGGACAGATATCATGCAATGGACGCCTCAAGGTCACACGTAAGTGGGAATACTTTTATTTTGTCGGTAGTTAAAGCGTTCATTCATCTCACTGAAGCCACAGGTTCAGTTCCACACCTGGATACAATGTGTAGAGCCCATGACTAAACGATGAGTCGTGGAACAATGACATTTTAAAATTGATTTGTAAACAATAGTTCATTGCTTTCACATTTGGTCAGATTGCAATAATCCATTGCTTTCACATTTGGTCAGATTACAATAATCCATTACTTTCTTATTTGGTCAAATTACAATAATCCATTGCTTTCACATTTGGTCAAATTACAATAATCCATTGCTTTCACATTTGGTCAAATTACAATAATCCATTGCTTTCACATTTGGTCAAATTACTCCTGGAAATACTACTGGTAAACGTCAGTATATTCATATTCTTGTGAGATGTTACTTCCAGCATGATTGCTTACAAGTAAATATTACTGTTCTTCCTACAGCTGTCAAGAAGCCAGACATTACCAGGAAGCTCTCAGATGCCCTGGTCCCAGTTTCTGGCCCTGCCAAGTTCGAGTGCCAGGTCAAGGGTGTGCCTCAACCTGATGTGGAATGGTGTGTACACATATCTCAATATTAGTTGTAAAATATCAGAAAAAAAATATTGATGCCTTTTCTTTGATGCCTGATCACAATTACTGAAACACTACTAAAAGAATGGTAATGAAGTCTTCCTCTCCAGTCCATTTCTTAGTGGCAAGACCGCCTCCAAGGTCTAGGGGTAGAGCGTCTGCCCGGGGAGCGGAAGGTCCGGGGTTCATACCGAATCATACCAAAAGATGTTATAAGATTGTACTTGTTGTTACCCTGTCTGGCACTCGGCATTAAGGGGCTAAAACAAGGACTGGTCGGCTCGGAGTCAGTATACTGTGTCTGAGTGGGGTATTCATGTTAAACTGTGGCATGGTATCTCAGTGAGCTGGCACTATAAATTGGCATCAGTCTGGACTAGTACAAGCAGCCACACAAACACACTTAGTACAAGTGCAATAATCTTGGACGCGACGTTAAACCCCATTTCACCTCACCTCTAAGTGGCAATCAGGGTGGTTGGGTAGTGGTTGATCTGTTCACTCATCAGTCTGAAAACCCAGATTCGTTATGAGGAGACCATTTTTCAAAGTTTCATACAATGGTATTACTGGAATATTGCTAAAAGTGACGTAAAACCATACTCATTCACTCATACTTTAAGTGATAATCAACAAGATGTTTTTCACTGTTATTTATGGCTCATGACATTTTCCCTGATATAAATTGCCAGGGTGCTTAATGGAGATGTCCTGGAACCAAGTGACAACATCCATATGGAGTTCAACCCCAAGACTGGCACCCACTCTCTGGTCATTGACAAGGCCACCAAGGACATGAAGGGAACCGTCGAGGCCCGTGCCAAGAACAGTGGCGGTGAGGTCTTCACTTCCGCCCAGATGGATGTCCGAGGTCGCTCACCTGAGTTTGTCATGCCACCAATGAAGTGCACTGTGCTTAATGGTAAGAGATGTTGAACATGGAGTCTTTCTTTGGTTCCTTGTCCTCAAAGCATGATGTATTATTGCCAACATTGATTATAAGTATGTCCTAAATATCGCTTATGTGTTTATGGATGAGTAATGATGTGTTAATAAGAAGCATGTAGATATTTAAGTATTATAGTGGATTTATATTTTAATCAAAATATGACATTTTCTAAGTCAGTCATATCTTAAAATTAGATGTTATTTTTTTCTTCAAACAAATGAAAATGTATTGGATATAATTGATTCAGCTATAGATAACAGACATATTAGGTTAAAAGGAAATTCAGCCTTTCCAAACAGAATATACCTTCTACAATCACTACGTTCCAAAAGTCATTGTTTTCTGGTTGGGATGGATATTTGTTTGAGATAGAATATTTTTTCAATTTTTTTTCTCTTTAATTGGAGTCAAACAATTATTGTGGGATGTTATTTTTCAGGAAAAAAACTAAGTACAAATTACTTTTTTACCAGCATTTTGGGGAACTGATGTGTTTATTGTTTAAAATCCCTGGACACCCCCAACTCACCTCTGAATATCAAATTGTCATCCTCTACATCAAATTCCCTTTTCCAAGCAGTGGTGAACAATATTTTGTTACAATTAAGAAGTGATGTTCACTTTGTGTGAGTAGGAACCTTCATAGAGTGAGGGCCAAACTGTCTGAGCTTGCAAAAAAGCTGTATATCGTGTAAACTTCAAATAAAAAAAATGATATGGTGATGTGAAAGGTTCACTGGATTATGTTTGGTTCAATGACAGGTTCTGAAGCACTGTAAACCAGGCACTACATGTTCACATCTTCCCTTGTAGGTCAAACTGCCATCTTCCGGAGTGCCATTGGTGGAGAACCAGAACCCAAAGTTGAATGGTCGAAGGGCAAATGGCAAAAGATCAAAGATGGAGGTCGTTACCATGTATACGAGGATGAGTCAACTCATGAACACGTCCTGGAGATCGACCAGATCAAGGCTAGCGATGCTGGCACCTACACCATCACTGCCACCAACGAACATGGCTCCAAGTCCGAACCCGCAACTCTGATGGTGACGGACAAGGAGGAAGAGGCAGCTGACTGGAAGAAGACACTCAAACACAGGTAAACTCAGACAACACAGGTAAATTCAGACAAACAGAGGTAAACTCACAAAAACACAGTCAAACTGAGGTAAACTCAGACAAACAAAGGAAAACTGAGTCAAATACAGGTAAACTCAGACAAACACAGGTAAACTCCGTCAACACAGGTAAACTCAGTCAAACACAGGTAAACTCAGACAAACACAGGTAAACTCAGACAAACACAGGTAAACTCTGTCAATATGGGTAATCTCAATTAACAAGGGTAAACTCAGTCAACACAGGTAAACTCAGTCAAACACTGGTAAACTCAGTCAAACACAGATAAATTGAATCAAACATGGGTAAAAACACTCACACAATATTAATAAAAATGTAAAAATCTCAATGAAAGTGCAAGAACAGAGCTTGACTGTGAACCTTCTTTCACAGAGAACACAAGACCCTGGTTGAGGAGGAATCAGAGCTGAACTGGCGTGACATGCTGAAGCATGTGGATACCCCAGAAGAAGAGGCTCCAGCACCAGAGGCCAAGCCTGCCCCCCAGATGATGGAGATGGAGAGAGAGGCCTATGAGATGCTGCCCAAGAGAGAGAGACCAGAGGTAAGATCACTACAAACAATTATCATGTGGGTCATGAAGTCATCATGCAATACGAAATGCCAAGCATACAGTGTTGAATACCTGGCTGATAGTGCATCACTGATGGACCGCCTCCGTGGTCTAGTGGTTCAATCCCTTGCCACATCATACATTAAAATATGGTACTTGTTATTACCCTGACTGTCTCTCAGCATTTAGGAGCTAAAACGAGGACAGGTCAGCTCAGAGACAGTATACTGTGTCTAAGTGGAGTATTCATGTTAAACTGCGGCATGGTATCTCAGTGGACTAGCGCTATAAATCGGCATCAGTCCGGACTGGTACAAGCAGCCACACACACAGACACACATGCATGCACGTCGCTATTTAAGTGCAATAATCGAGGATGCGACGTTAAACCCCATTTCACCTCACCTCACCTGTATCCCTCATGGCATTGATCATTGACCATCAATGGTTTGCCTGACCCAGATTGATTATTTACAGTCCACTACCGCTGGAATATTTCAGACTGTGGAATTACCATGAACTCGTTAAATCATGTGGATGATCGTGTCGATGATGTTCTACTCAACCCTGAAATACATTTCCAGGCAGTGAGAAATGCTTAGAGTGATGCTTTTTCAAAAGTTAATTATTCCCTGGTTTGAAGTTGTCTTATTCTCCTTGTTTGCAGATGGAGATGGACACATCCGAATACTCCTACACCCTGCCTAAGAGGGACCGTCCCGAACTGGAACATGCAGAGTTCCAGCGCCCAACTGCTGCAGCTCCTGAAGAGGCACCTGAGGAGGAGAAGGGTCGTTATGTCCGACCTCAGAAGTTCAAGGAAGCAGAAGAGATGGAGGAGGGTCATCTGATTATTCCCAAGACTCAGGTAAGTCATGTTTCAAGTCTGGAGTATGACCATTCTGAAGCATTTAACCTTTGACAAAAACAAGTATATACTGGAGTCTTTTGCATTGGGTTCTTTTGGTGATGTCAGGGTAGAACACATCCCATTAGCTTGTTATTAGGGTAACTGAAATGAGGGTTGGGTGGTCAAAAGGATGGTTGTTCTTTGGATGATGCCATATACTCCAATGTCATGAGACCAGTGAAGATTTGGGATAGAATAGGTCTTCAGCAACCCATGCTTGTCGTTAAAGGCGACTATGCTTGTCGTAAGACGCGTCTAACGGGATCGGGTGGTCAGGCTTGCTGACTTGGTTGATGCATGTCATCGTATCCCAAGTGTGTGGATTGATGCTCATGATATCACTGGATTGTCTGGTCCAGACTTGATTATTTACAGATTGCCATCATATAGCTGGAATATTGTTGACTTCGTCGTTAAGCAACAAACGAACAATGTCATGAACTTGTGATGACATTTTCTGTTCCAGACCAGATTGGGTTAAAAATGTTTCTGGCTACTTCTTGACAAACAATGAAGATCTCATTATCCATAAAAATTGTCAAGTCTTCATGTTTAACTTTCTTCTAAACACCAAACAGAAACCTTACAGGTTTATGTTCAATACAACGAGTTTAGGAATCCTCAATACAGAATGAAGGATCATAGGGAGATTTGATCCACGTTGTCAACCATAGCATTTTTATTATTATGAAATTGTTATTCTTTTCCAGTGGAAGTGGATTGTACCTCTCGAGGACATGACAGTGAAGGAACGCGAAGCTGCTAAGTTTGAGTGTGAGCTCTCTGTCACCAATGTCAATGTTGTCTGGACTGTGAAAGGTGAAGAGGTTATCCCTAGCCCCAAGTATGCTATCAAGGCTGACGGCAAACAGCACACACTACTGGTCAGCAAGTGCCGCCCCAAGGATGAGGGTCCTGTGTCATGTGCATATGGAAACATCATCACAGAGGCAAAGCTTAATGTCATAGGTGAGTTTGTCATGTCAAATAATTACTATTTATATGGCTTGAAGGACTGAAAAAATACATTCATTGGGTTAAGGTGGGTTAATGCGATCAATACAACATACACGTGTAAACAATTTTACAGACTTTTTCACATATTTCAGATGTATGGTTGACATAATATAGACATCTTGTTCATGTAATGTTGAGTGAAATCAAAGTAGATGAAGTCTTTGGGCATTCCAAGCTGGATTCAGTCCCTAGTCCCATAAGAAACAATGAGGAGTGATTATCAGACCTGGCTTGTTGTGTGTCATTATACCCTGACAGAATTGATTACCTGGTCCTGAATTTATAATTTATAGGCCACCATGAAATAACTGGAATATTGCTGACTGAGGCTTAAAATTGCTCAATTTACTCAATTGCTGATAAAATACAACCTTAGAGATATCATTTTTGTTTGCTATGAGAGACTAAGCCACATATCGTTTGTCCATGACCTGTTTCTGATGCTGAGTTCCTGTTGTGATGCAGAGGTTCCAGCCGACTTCCTGATGAAGCTGGAGGATGGCAAGGGCAAGGAGGGAGAAGACGTCACCTTCAAGTGCAAGACCAATGATGATGATGTCCCAGTCTTCTGGTTCGTCAATGGCAAAACAGTGCCCATTCCTTCCGACAAATACATCATTCGATCAGAGGGATATGAACACACTCTTACTATCAAGAACTTGCTTCCAGAAGATGCCTGTGAAGTCACAGCAGTCATCGGTGACAACAAGACATCTGCCAACCTCGCTGTTGAAGGTGATTGTCACTCATTATGTAGACCAAGTGTATTGGTAGCCCAGTTGTCTAATGTGCCACAATTCCAGAGTGCAGTGTGTCAGAAACTTATGGTCATGGGTGTGAATCTCAGATTCTCCATGATTATGTTTCTTCGCTTGTCAGCATCATAGTCATGTTCAAGGGTTTCAGGAAAGTGTTTCATGACAGCCATGATATTACTGAAACATTGTTCAAAGTGGCATTAAACCAAACTCACTCAGTTTAAGGGTAATTGCTTATTGTTGCATTCACACTCTAAGAAAGATACTAATTGTATCTCTTACTCCTAAATAATCCCTTGTCTTTTTCTGCCATTGTTCTAAAGGCAGAGTTGTGTAAAACTTTGTTTCAAGTTTTAAATAAGCTTAGCTTATGATGGTCTATATGTTCAGATTAACATCTGAAAATGATATGGATGACTCCAAGGTAGTGCTGGGACGGGTTAATCGGGAACTCGGGTTGGGTGGGTACTGAGAAGGACCCGGGTACTCACAGAGCCACCCCGGACCTGTGGTTGGCCATGTGTGTATTGTTTAATGACAAAAATGATCTTGAACTATATGGTTACACTACAAGTCACTAATGTTCGGATTTCTTTCTGACTATGCACCCAGACTTTTAAGTTTGAATAAAGATAAAAAAACTTCAATCAACTTCAGTGTATACATGACCAGATCGTTTTATATGTGTATCTAAATACATTTTGTCCAGGGCTCTTGAGACCTACAGTGGGTACCCAGGTAGGGTCTGGTAATAGGTGGATGGTACCCGGGTAGTAAATTTTGACTCGTCCCAGCCCTACTCCAAGGCTATGGGCACATAAATGCATAAATAGAATTGTAACACTGAAAAGTTATTCCTTCTGTATAGGAATAGTCCTATCAGCTGTTGGCCTGGTATGAGACATTATGACTAGATTCATTTTCTTATACAGTCTTGAAGGGGATAGTGTTTAGTAAGAGACTGGACTTATTTGCTTGAAGTGAGCTCGTTCCAAATGCTTCATGTATAATTTCAGAAATTTCTGCTGACTTCACAATCCCCCTGAAGGATGTGACTGCCAAAGAGAATACAACTGCTGAGTTTGAATGCACTCTGACCATACCAGTGGACAATGTCCAGTGGTTCATTGATGGAGAGGAGATCACCCAGGATGCCAAATACCAGTTTGTTGATGATGGCAAGGTTCACAAACTCATCATCAAAGATGTGGCCCCAGAAGATGCAGGAACTGTCACTGTAAAGGTCGGCAACAAGTCATCTGAAGCCCAATTCATTGTTGAGGAGATTGATGTCGACTTCACTGTTCCTCTTGAGGACAAGACAACATATGAGAAATCAAGTGTTGACTTTGTTGTTGAGTTGAACAAAGAAACAGACAAGCTGAAATGGTACCAGGACGGAGAAGAACTTAAGATGGTAGAAGGCATCAAGATGGTCCGAGATGGTAAGACCCACAAGCTGACCCTTGATGATGTTATGGTTGAGGACACAGGGAAGATCACAGCCAAGGTGGGAGACAAGTCCACAGAAGGTCAACTCACTGTCATTCCCCTTCCTTTGGAGTTCACAGTGCCGCTCAATGATGTCACTGCCATTGAAAACTCCACTGCTGAGTTTGTATGTGAGCTGTCCCGGGATGTGGAGACAGTCAAGTGGTTCCTGAATGACGTGGAGCTGAAGGAGAGTGACAAGATCAAATTCATCTCTGATGGCAAAACGAAGAAGCTCCAGATCAAGGATGTGAAAGTTGAAGAAGAGGGACCAATCAGCATCATGGCTGATGATAAGAAGACCACTGCATCACTCTTTGTGATAGGTCAGATTCTTTAGATGCATAACTTAACATGAATAGGTTTATAACATATAATATCATGGATAACACATTTATTATATATTCACAACATTTCAGGGCTGCTACTTGCCCCAGGCGAATTCACCTGTTGAAATCAGGATTTAACCTGTTTAAAGTTTCTACAGACATCAGGCTCACATATATAATATGTTGTTTGTGTGACACATAAACACAACAGTTCATTTCTCACAAAGTTAATTCTTTGTTTTCTCTGTTACCAGAACTGTCCCCAGACTTCCTGACTCCTCTCAAAGACCTGACCATCGACGAGCTCCAAACTGCAGAGTTCATGTGTGAGGTCAACAAAGATGGTGCCACACCCAAATGGTTCCTGGATGGCCAGGAGATCAATGAAGACAAACGCTACCAGATCCTCAGCGAGGGTCGCACCCACAAACTCGTCATAAAGGAGGCAACACTGCCAGACTCAGGGGAGATAACTGCCAAGATTGAGGACAAGAAGACCTCTGCCAATCTGACAGTTAAAGGTATTTCTACAATATCTTTCATAGACATTGTTGTGAGGTGAGAATAAGACCAGAGAAGTCCTGTTTCATCTGAGATATCTTGATGTGAACTGCTTCACAGAAGTCCTGAGAATCAAATTGGCTTAAATGTGGTACGATATATTGAAACATCTGTTACGTCACAGAGTAAACTGGTCTTGTTCTCAAAATATTGCTCTCTTTTTGGAGTTGCTTGATTCCAAATGCATGACCTTGACCTTGATGTTTGTCCTTCACCTTCACCCATTTTTCCGCCAACAGAAATTCCAGTTGAGTTCACTGCTCAGCTTTCTGAGCAACACGTTGAGGAGCACAAGATCGCATGCTTCAAATGTGACGTGAACAAAGAGGATGTCACTGTCATGTGGGAGAAAGAGAACTTACCAATCGAACCCAGCAATAAGCATATCATCCAACAGGAAGGCACATCACATACTTTAGTCATCAAGGATTGTGATAAAGATGATGTAGCAGAATATTCGGTCGTCGTTGGCGACCAGAAGAGCTCTGCTAGGCTTCGTCTTGATGGTAAATTTCTCTGCATAGTATATGTATTTCAGCCATAACCGCATTTTGCTTATGCATCAGTGCTAATGCAACCAAAGTCATGGAACAAGATATTTTGGAACAGAAATTCCTTTGATGTTTCCTTTTTTGTCAGAAAAGGTAATTTAGCGTTCCATGATTTTCGTTGTTTGATGAACAGGTGACCAGGTAGGAAAATAATTATTAATGAGACATTTTATTTATTTTACATCATCTATTTTCAGTTTATGTTATTGTGATGATCATCGATTGTCCTGTTTGCATTATGGAATGTATGAAACTATTTGTTTGTCAGCCTGAAAAAGCAATTAGTTTGAAATCCACCACATGTCATGAATTAATTTATTGTGACTGTTTTTAAGCATTACATTTGTATAATGGAATTCAGGTCCTCATTTCACAAAACAATCATAGCATGACGACTATCTTAAGGCCTATGCTGTTATATAGACTTACGACAGACGTTGTACTGGTATTGCTTTGTGAAATGGGTGATCAGTAGTGCAATGTTTACTACTCAGAAGAAGTTAAAGAACACCCGATTTTTTTCGTGTGACTAGTGTTAATCTGTCATGGCTGGTGGGCATTGCAACTCACAGGCTTCATATTCTGGGTGGGGGGCACGGGTGGCCCAGTCGTCTAAGGCGCCGCGATTCGCTGTGCAGAGTTGCATCCCTTGGCCATGCCAGAAACCTATGATTGTGGGTTCGAATCCCGGTTCGCCCCGATTATGTTTCTAGGTTTGTAAGCACCATACCCGTGCTCGTGGGTTTCACCGAAGTGGTAAACGTCTGAGACGTGCATCACTTCAGGCTTTCCTCCCACATTAAGCTGACACGCCGTGATATAACTGGAATACTGTTAAAAGCGGCGTTATACCCAACTCACTCACTCATATTGTGGGTGATCTTTAACTTGTTTTGAGTAGTATATCTGTCATGACAACTCCTGGATTTCAAACATTCGTGCTAGCCATGTTTCATACATTGTTACTTGTTGATGCCATGCTGTATGTTCTTGCAATGAGAATGGTAGGTAGGAATCCCTATGGCATGCTGTTGTTGATGAGGTTCTTGGACAATACCAACCTTTTAGTGAAAACGTAGGCTTTTTTCTACAATGATAAATAATGTTTTTGATATTAACATTTAGATGCTCTCTTATTATTTATATAAGGTCGCCTGTTGGTTTGCTTGTCATGTGAGGAAAGTGATTTAAAATTTTACACATTGAAAGTTATGTCAGCCATTTGCAGATGGAGGTCATTCCAAATGCCTGGGTTTCATTGCCCACATGGGTACAATGTGTGAAGCCCCTTCTTGGAGTACCCAACCATAATTTTGTTAGAATATTGCTAAAACAGGCATTAAACCATACTGAATTTTTTATTACCGGGGTAAGTGTTGCTAAAAAGACATTTTTTTAATATACAAATCTGGATATAGTCGCATCTGAAAGGTTGGTTTGGGTTGAGGTAGCATGGTTTCTTTACTGTTAATAATTACCGTCTTTACATACAGTGACACTCTTGTTTATGAAACATTTTTAACAGTTGTATTTTCAGACATTTGTGAGGACAAAATTCAGAAGTTGATTTGTTTTTTCTTTTTCACCTTTTACTTAATTTTTATAAAAATGCTTCAATTAACATATCACCCCTTCCTGCTGTAGAGTTTAATTCCCACGAAATATTGGTAGACATATTGGTCCAAGACACCTAGTTTCACTGTATAACATGCATGGCAATATTAGTCATTACAGTTGCATGAAGGGTGTGGAAGATCAGACCAGATCATTAAGTACCATATACATGATTGCTCTTCATATTCTTGTAGCTGCAAAACCTCAATGTGGTGTTGATATATTTTTTTATTTATTTTAACTTTAGTGGTAGACTTAATGATTTTTCAGTGCCTCTTATGATAATGAGGTTACTGAAAGTTTTATGGGTATAAACTATTTTTTTTCGATAGTTTTTTTGTGAATCATATTATTTATACTACTCAACTTATACTGAACAAATTACATCAGGGATTGTGAATATTTTAGGGGATATGTTTATGAAATTTTGTGCTTAGTCTTCACAACAAAAAGATATCCACCAAAATAGTCATATCCCTAATATCCAATTCTTTGTTCAGTGTATAAGGATTCTGAGGTATGGAACTCATACAAGTTTAAATTTGTAATATTTTTTTTGTTTTATGAAATAACAGGCATATTCTATCAAAAGTTGAGTTGTATATAAAATTTATCTGTTACAAATGATTTTTCAGTGATATATATTTTTTTTATAGTTATAAACTGTATGCACAGTTAGTTGTAAGGAAAGTATTACATTTATATGATGATGTGGTCTGTCCATGCATGATGTTTTAATGTTTTCCCTTGTAGCATCCTCTGACCCACTGTTTTTATTTGCTTGGATTGCAGACAACCCTGTTGAAATAATATCACCTCTTCAACACATACGAGCGTTCGAGCATGAATACGCCACGTTTGTGTGCAAGTTGTCATGTGACAGCCGTAATGTCACCTGGCTCAAAGATGGCAGCTCTCTTGTAGCCAGTGACAAATATTACTTTGCTAATATGGGACAGGTGTATACCTTAACAATCAAAGATGTCCAGTCAGACGACTCGGCCGAATATAGTTTAGCTTCTGGTGGCAAAATATCCACAGCCTCACTAATAGTTGAAGGTCGGTTCTTCGTCTGATGTTCACATATTGTTTGCAGTGCGCTTCCTGAAGCTCATCCTTCCAGGGTTTGAATTTATCAAAATGCAAAACCACAAACAATTATTACAATCAAATCATTTATCATTTTGATTCATTCCCAGTCATGAATGAAAGAAAGAACATTTAAAATGTATATACACATGTATATTTCACACAAACTGCTCAAAGTGTATGACTGTGCTTCCATTAAAGTGCTGTAGAATTGGAACTATTATTCGCATTGAGCCATGTGAACTTATCAAGTCAATCTATTCAAGCCCTGCTACTAGGTGTAGTGTAAGCTCTTGTGTGTTCTTCAAGATAGAGGCTGTTGAAAGATGTCATAAGATGGAGACATCTTACACGATAATACCATTTTGATATTGGAAATATCCTTTTCTTATAGGTACCGGTAATGAAGACATTTTTGTCTCTGCCTGTCTAAATTTCAAAATATCATATTCTGATGATATAAATCCAATGATATTATTCCAAAGATAAGGATATGACATTTCAATGACATCATAAATCCATTGATATCATTATTCCAAGGATATTTCATTTAATGTATGAGGGATATCCAATGATATCATGATTCTACTTCATACCAACAGCCCCTACCTCTTGTTGTTTCCGTCTGCATGTGTTGGTGAGTTAGTACCTTTAGTGGGCAGCCTTATAGTTCTAGTTGTTGCTAGCTGTAGATATTTCGTTTTTGTTGTTTATTAGTTCTTTATTTAATCCTAATCTTTTGTTCCTTCCAGCTGTATATTTCTTTCTTTCTTTCAGTTCCTTACTGATGTATTGCATATTTCTCTTGTCTGGCATTCTCATTGTGATTAACATCACTGTTAGCTATACTTCACGAATACTGCTTCATTGTAAGCGCAGACGCCTGAAGCTAAAGCTGAGGAAGCACTAAAATGAAGCAGCATTTCTACCATTATAACCCCCACGACCCCTGTGTGAGTGCGGTGTGTTTGTTTGTCCGTCCGTCCGTCCGTCCATCCATCATCTATCTCTTCGCCTCTCTCTCTGCACGGTTGTTTGCGTGACTTGCCTTGCAGAAATTCCTCTGCGACTCAACTTGAACTTGAAACGTTTTTCGACTGGTTCGGAAAGCGTAGCTGTATTTACGTGCACGGTTTCAAAGCATGATATGCGAGTGTCGTGGTATAAAGACGAAGAAGAAATTGACCCCTGTGAGAAGCATGAACTACGAGATCAGGGATGTGTTCATAAACTCATCATTCACGACTTATCGGCCGACGACTATGGCAACTACGTGGTTGTCATTGGTAGCAAACGCATGACCGGGTTCAGTCTCAGAGAAGGTGTGTATGTCCATTTAATTCTTGAAATGAGGAATCATTTTTTGAAAGAGTCTCTTTTAACTGTTGATATTTACGGTAATAAATGTTCAGGTTTTGTTCTGCTCTGAAACAATGTCTTCAATGAATTTCAAATGTACTATTGTCATACCACTGGTAAATTGTTTCCTCGTTTGAAGTCATTTCAACTGATATTATAGATCAGTGTTCCGATAAATCCTGTGTTTGCAGTGAACTGCTTGTTGTTTGTTGTGAAACTAGCAATGTAGTAATATTTGGCATGGATCTGATATATTTTCACTCACTGTTATATTTTCTTTCCAGATTTTGAATTACTTATCATACCATCACTGATGATACTCTGTGTTTGAGTAATATGAAAAATATGAATATTATGTTTTTTTAAAAAGAAATAAGATTACTCAAGAATACCTTATAATTGTAAATTATTTCATGACTATATCTGGAATAGTCATGGGTCTACAAATTATATCAGTACAAAATTTTATCCACAAAGAATTTATCTCAAAATTACCTGGAATTCTGGAATTTGGCTGGGACTGAATTGGTCTTAAATTCAATTGATCTTAAATTTCATATTTTAACAATTTTGTCATTACTGTCCATCTCAATGATTTGTGCTCGTACAAAACAGAAGCACCGCTGGAGTTTACAATCCCCCTTGGTGCCCAGACATGCAAGGAAGGTGAAACTGTGACCTTTGTCTGCGAGGTCACCGAGGCAGATCAACCAGCCAAATGGATGAAGAATGGCATTGAACTCAAACCATCCGACAAAATCAAGAAGGAGGTAGATGGCAAAATCCATCGCCTGATTATCTCCCCTGCTGAACTTGACGACCAATCAGAATACACAATTATGATCAGAAGTGCTCAGAGCACTGCACCGCTCACAGTTGAAGGTAATATATATCATCATCTTGAATGCATGTATAGAACAGACACATTGACTTTTTATAGTCATAGGAGTGTGATCACGTCATGGAAGAGGGCCTCGTAGAGTCACAAACTGAGTAGGACAGTGTAGAAGTGTTAGGATCTTAATGTTCTCCATTAGATTGTCGGTTGATAACAATATTCCTTCTCATATCTCTTTCTTATCAAAAGAACCAAAGAAAGTGAACGTGAGAAATCTGAATTTATGATACACACACATATCGATGTAATATTACCAACTTCAAGCTCACTCACACGATACGGAGGAGGCATGGTTGGCCCAGTCTAAGGCACCGCAATCTAGTGTGCAACATTCCATCACCTATACAAACCTATGACCTTGGTTTGAATACCTGATTTGTCCTAAATGATTCTTGGTTTGTCAGTACCCAAATCTCTGATTTACACAAAATGATTCTTGGTTTGTCTGAACCAAATCTGTGCTCATGGGTTTCTCAAAAGTAGTAAATGTCTAAGACTCGCTTCTGGCCTTCCTCCCACATGACGCTAACACGCTGTGACAAAACTGAAATACCGTTCAAAGTAGTGTAGAACCCAACTCACTCACAAAAAGTTAGGGGATGGTTAAATGGTATCACTCGAAGGCACAGTACACAGTGATACCCCTTTGTTCACGTGTGGCGTCCTTGTCACCACCAGAAATCCCCTTGGAGATCATCGTTCCCCTGAAGGAGACTGAGTGTGTTGAAGGCGAGACCATCACCCTCCTCTGTGAGATCAACCGACCTGATATGGAGGTCATCTGGATGAAGGACAAGATCGAGATCAGCTCCACTGAGGACCGCCAGATTAAGATGGATGGCACCAAACACACGCTGACCTTCCCCAAGGTCGCACTTGAAGACGAGGCAGAGTACACCATCAAAATCAGAAACAAGAAGTCAGCTGCTATCTTATTCGTGGAAGGTTAGTGAAAATTGTATTTCATTTGGAAACAGATGAAGGAATGTGTAACATACTGCTCAACACTTCATAGGGATATTCATATTTTTCCAATATAGGCAGTCATTATCCCTATCAAATGTTGTGTAGTATATTAAGTATTGACAGTCTTTGTGAGCAGTCATAGTGGGAATTATCTCCCATAATGCCTCAGTGTAGTATTGTTATTTGTACTTCTGTTTGTTTGTTTGTCTGAACAGAAACGTTTGTTTCAACTAAAATACAGGAATAGTAGTCTCATTACCTGCATGAATCCAAAACGGTCACAATGTACATTTGTTTTCAAATTTATATCTTCTTCTTACTTGTGTGTGGATTTGTCTAGTCTAACAGTCTCAATGTAATGTAAAACTATTGTAGATAACATGCTTACTTCCTGATACAACTTGTTTAAATAACACCTTTGGGAAAATCATTTTTAATGCAGTTGTTATTTAGCAAATTTGTCAAAGATAAAGTTCAAAATATTTAAGGACAAAATTATTCATAAGACCTTTACACGTTTTAAAGGGAATTGTTCATCTAAATTCACTGCAGTTTGTTCAGCAAAGTTGCCTCCCTTGTTGTGTCAGGATTCTTATTATTTCACCAAAGTGATAATTGTTGACATTCTATGTGCTTCCCTCCCACATCAATCTGCCCTGCTTAATCACACTTCTATTGATGGTAACAATATAACATTTTTGCTTCTTATCAGATATTTACTAACCCATGAAGTACATGAAGCTGACACACAGTGATATAACTTGAATACTATTTTAACCTAACTCACTCTCTCACTACTAATTCACTAAAACATTAATCCAAAATCTCACACTTTATATTACTAAAACCAATACTTGCACCATGCCCAGGTTAAATGGACATGGAGCTTAGTTCAACAGGTTACTAACATGCTTGCTTGGTTTGCAGACACCCCTGTGTATTTTGTCAAGACTTTAGAGGATCTTGAGGCATTAGAGGGAGATAACTCTGTCCAATTAGATGTGACATTGTCGAAGCCAGACGTTCATGTTGACTGGCATTTCGATGATGTTCAGCTTCAACCCAGTGAGAAATATGAATTTGTGATCAGCGATGCTGATCGGTCGTTGCTCGTATACGACATTAATCTTGACGATGAAGGCGAATATTCTTGTCGGGTTGGAGATACGTCAACAACAGCTTTTGTTGCCGTTCTCGGTAATTGAACATAGCTCTGTTATAAAATATTCCTTCTTAATGGGGACATTGGTATTTCTTAAATATTTCAGTAAAAAGTATTCACAGCATTGACTTCATCCTTTTTCATAACTCATACTGTGAGATACAGAGCTAATTTGGATGATGAGGTTGTTGCTGTAAAAATTCACCATTCAGTAATCGTGCTAATTTTAGAAAATTAATAATTGAGTGTGAGCTGTTGATGCATTCCTTTCTTGAAATCTTAAATAACCTTGAGTTTAATTCATTGTTATGGTTTACAGAAGAACCACTGCGAATCACAGTGCCACTCTCAGACAATGAGTGTCTTGAAGGCGAAACCGTCAGCTTCATCTGTGAGATATCCAAGGACAACGTTCCTGTGGCTTGGATGAAGGATGGCCTTGACATTTCCGAAGAAGATGGCTACCAGTTCATCATCGATGGTAAACAACACATCCTGAAGATCCCAGATGCTACTCTATACCATGATGCCGAGTACACCATTGTTGTCGGAAATAACGAATCATCGGCCAGACTCTTTGTTGAAGGTGGGTGATGCTCTCTACTTTGAACTAGTGATTGAACATGAAAAACAGGATCTGCCGAAGGCTAAATGATGGATTCGGTCAGTTATGATTGGCTCCAATATACTTCTTTTAGAAGGTTGAGTAGCAGTGTAGTGGCAAAGTGGTTTACTTGTTAGCACAATCTGATGGTTTAATTCCCAACATGGGCACAATTTGTCAACCAGTTAAGTAGCAAAGGGGTTGGTGTGTTCCCTCGTTGAAACAAAAAGATGGTTTGGTACAGGATGTTAGCCAGTGAGTGAGTATGGTTTTACGCTGCTTTTAGCAATATTCCAGCAATATCACGGTGGGGGACACCAGAAATGGGCTTCACACATTGTACCCATGTCGGGAATCGAACCCGGGTCTTCTGCGTGACGAGGGAATGCTTTAACCACTAGGCTACCTGACCGCCCTGTTAGCCAGTGAAGAAGCACAGTGGTTAATGGGTTTGAAGACATTGGCTTTATTCCTGTGATGGTTCTGGTATGTCAACCATTGGAGTAGCACCGTGGACAGTATTTCACTGGTGGACACAAGATGATGGTGACATTCCCTTATGGACACCATATGTCAGCCAGTTCCTTGAGTCCCCAAGGAAGCAATATCAAGCTCGGTTTACTCTGCCATCTGAACACATTTAACTAGCTTGTGGGATATCTTGACCTGCCAAATAATATCTCGTATTTATCCTTTGTTGTTTCAGAAATGGCTGCCGACTTTGTGGCCCGACTCCAGGATGCTGAAGCCAAGGAGACAGAAGATGTGGAACTTGTGTGTCAGCTGAGCAAGATCGGCGTCCCAGTACGCTGGATGAAGAACCGCAAACCCCTGGAGCCAAGCGAGCGCATCAAGATCGTGTGTGACCGGTACCGCCACATGCTCCGCATCATGGAGACCATCCCTGAGGATGAGGCAGAATACACCATTGTCCTGCCTGACAACAAGGAGTCATCCTGCAACCTCACCATATATTGTAAGGGAAACATTAGACATCTGACTTCATACAGACCTCAAATATGGACCGAGGCTAATGCATGTCAAATGGTATTCCATGGAGCTTCAGATCTCTGTAAATACTTAGGGTCAAGTTGCCCGTTGCCAAGTGAAAAGTTATAAGGACTCAACAAGGTCACTTGTCTGTTACATGTGAAAAGTTATAAGGACTAAAGTTATCTTTTATCCTGTATGCAGTAATGTTAAGTGAACCATACGCCTAAAATGAAATTGATTTTTATCATGGTGTCTCACCCTGAGCTGATGAATGAATGACCTGTTAGGATTTTGATTAGCGCTTTCTTGATATGAGCTTGTCTTTCGGGTTCATAAATAATGATGCGAAATCTGTTTTTGTTTTCCAATTATTTTATTTCTCTCAGAGGGAACTGATTTTAGTTTTGTTCAAATGCAGCATTAATGTGTGCAGCTGAAACAACTTTCACTCACTCACTCACTCTTGGGATTGATGATTAACTGTGCAACATGTTGTATTCAGCCATCCCACCAGACTTCTGCAAGCCTCTCAAGGACCAGGAGTGCGAGGAGAAGGAAACGGTTGTGTTTGAGTGCGGCATGACAAAAGCCAACGTGGCTGTCAAGTGGTTCATCAACGGAGAGGAACTGTCCCCTGACAGTGACCAATACGAGATCTCCACCGACATCTACACACAACAGCTCATCATCCATGACGTCACCCTGAAGGATGCTGGCGAGATCAAGTGTGTGTGTGGAGACAACTCGACAAGTGCCACACTCACTGTTGAAGGTATTATTGTTGTTGTTGTTGTTTTGTATCCATATCTCTCTTGGTCCAAGCAAGTTTTATTGCAACCATGTCTTTCAGTGTAGAAATATAAATTTGATGCATCTGTGACCAAAATAAAGTTGATTTAATTTCCTATTTTAACCATATCTTCCTGTGTTAGTTCAGGTGAACACTTTACTTGCCTTTGCATGTGTTTGTAATGGTTGCCTCCAGTGTGGCAGGATATGCTTACCTTTTCACCAACACCTGATTTCATCACTATTTAATAGTGAATTATAGACACATGGTAATGATGTACGGTAGTTGGAATCACACAATGGACTCTGCTTTTAGCAGAGATTTCTTATGATTATTGAAAAGGTTTTGATACTTTTATTGACATATCAATCACAGAGATGTATTTAGAAGTTGAGGCTTCTCAAGTCCTCAATTTTGGGGGAATTGATGGCAGAAACTATTCTTTTGGTTTGTTTGATTTTGTGAATTTTGCAATTATGGAGAATTTGTTTTAGAATTTTGTCCATACTTTGTTGCAGCACTGCCAGTAGAAATTCTGCGACCGCTCAAGGATGCAACCATCATGGAAGGCGAGAGTGTCGTGTTTGAGTGCGAACTCTCCAAGCCTGATGTGCCAGCTGTATGGCTGAAGGACTACGAACCATTCACTCCCAGAGAAGGCATCAAGATCACCTGTGATGGTGCCATCCATCGCCTGGAGATTGAGGCTGGCGTTGTTGATGACGAGGCTGACTACACCATCAAAGTGGACGGCAAGAGCAGCAAGGCAATGCTGTTGGTGGAAGGTAGGAGTTGGCAAGATTGGGTGCTCCTGCATCGTGTATATCCATATCTATAGTTAGGTCATGCAAAATGGTTTGGTTGTTAGAATGTTCAGATTCAAAATGTCATCTGATTGTTTCTGTTTTTCTGGATTATTAACAACAATAGGTTTTGTATTACTTAAAAAATATATTTACTTGAGTCTGAATGGGAATATCTCAAGGTTATGAGTTTATGCTGAGGGAACTTTTTCAAATGTTCTTTAACCATAGCCAACGAATGTTAAAAATATTTAAAATATACTGACATATATACTTTTACACTTATGGTGTCGAAATTCATTATTTTATACTCTTGACGTTTGAATTTTACATTTTTGCAACCAGATCATTTTTATGACCTTTGTAATGTTATGTGTAAAAGTGACCATGTGCTCGTAGGCTGTCTCACTGTGGTGAATATCCTACTTGATTTTCATTCTTTGTGAAGAAAATATAAAATAATTGCTTCTCAGGCAATGATGTTTTTAAGATGTTGCAGGAATTATGTTTTGAAGTTATCACTTCAATTCATGGTGTTTTTGACAAATATCCATGGGGTCAAAGAATTTTTTGTCAGAAAATTGCAAAATTATTCTCACAACTTTCAATACTTTTCTTTTAGACAAAGATATTATAATGAATGGAAATCAAATGGGTTGCTTAAGTGATGCATTTGTCTCTGAACAAATTTGTAATACTGACAATAAAGTCCTGCTCTCCATTCAACATGAAAAGAGAAGTGAGGATACTACTTTCTTTGCAACTGATACCATCTGTGATAATTCATATTGTTAATGATAAGATTTGTTTAAGGAGACAAATGTGTTACTAATTAAGTTTTATCGTTGTGTGATAAGCATTTGATGATTGCCATTGCACACTCTCAGAAGGAAATATAAATCTTTTTCACTATTTGCAACATAGTCTTTGAGTCCAGTAGCTAAAAGAAGCACTCCAACTCCATTTTGTATTAGCTTAAAGAAGCACTTCCACTCCATTTTATATTAGCTTAAAGAAGCACTTCCACTCCATTTTATATTAGCTTCAAGAAGCACTTCTACTCTATTTTATATTAGCTTAAAGAAGCACTTCCACTCCATTTTATATTAGCTTAAAGAAGCATTCCCGTTCCACATTAAAAAAAAAACTTAGATTCTACCCAACAGCACATTTCGTAGTATATGAGTTTATATCAAATAATATATCCTGTTTTGTTATTTACACTGTAGACTTGAATTTCTTTTGTTATTACTGATTTGTTTTTTCCATATTATAACATGTTATTATTTATGATAATCATTTTTGTTATTTTATTTCTTTTGTTATTACTGATCTGTTTTTTTCCATATTATAACATGTTATTATTTATGATAATCATTATTGAAGTAATTTGTTAAATTGTTTCTTTATTGCATGATTATATTCCTTGAGCTTGCTTCTGGTATCTTCTGTAATCTCATGACATCCTCACACCTCCCCAGATTCCCCTTTTTGTTCACAGACAGTACAACACTACTTTCCCGCTTGTTTATGTTTTTTATTTCTTATACTACCCTGCATCTTATTTCCAAAATTTTCTTTCAAACTTATTTTTAAAGAATATAAAGCCCTTGTTATTATATACTCCCCAAGGATGTTACTGAAATATTACTTTTTATAGAACACATTATAGATACAGCATACTTGATATGACACATATCAATTACATGAAATGCCGTTTGAATATATAGTTATAGATCATTGTTAAGGTGTTTAAAAATAAACATTTCCTGGCACCAAATTTCCCTTTCTTTAGGGAAAGGTATTAATGTTTTATAAGATATAGATGTACAGTTTGGTGCGGTATTCCTATGGTATTATCCACACAACAAATTATCACGAAGTAGGTACCTCAGAAGATTCTTGACCAGTACAAAAATAGACAAGTACAGCCTGTACCATACTATATATTACGAGGTATTGTCCAACCAAGGCTGTAGTTCAACTACCTTCCTCTACCTTTGAAATCAGCTCCTTAATCATACGCCTTGGAGAAAAGCCATTTTGTGATATAAGAAAGGTCTAGCAGATATACAGTATGCAGAAAATGTTTTGACTAAAACTTAGCATATGCCCCATCGTTTAAAGTATTTTCACTGAAAACATACGAAAATATATTTTAAAAAACCATCATGGACAAAAATGATAGTTTGAACAGGAATATTGCACCATACGTACACAGAATTGTCATGTGTCAGTCATTAGACACGTTTGTCCTTTTTATTTTTTAAACTTGCATAGCTCTAGTGCAAAGGATGTTTATTTTAAGTCCACATTTTCAACTTTTCCTGTGCCATCAGTTTTTGTGAGAATCGAGAACAGGGATTTATCTAGACCATCTAAAAGGCCGAGAGTCAGACCCAAGTCTCCAACAAATGTCATTAAAAATTCCTGAATTGGAAATGCAATTGATAATAAGTAACTAATTTTATGGCTTTGGAGAGTTGTATTTCACTAATAACAGGACCAGAAAAGGTCAAGAGGTTTTATGCTATATATTATTGCATTGACTGCTATCTCAAAATACAGTGTTAAAATACCTCTGATTTTAAGAAATACGAACAACCTCGAACCAAAAAAGGATATTTTTTGTTTAAATTGCTCTCCAGGGGCAGTTAGTTCAGAACCCTAGATAAATCCCTGACTAAAGAACACTGTTTTTTTATCACTTGAATTTCTTCAAAACATAAGATCTGACAGTAATCCTGTTCTTCCATATAGAAACTCCAGTCCTGATAGTTAAACCACTAACCGACATCAACGTCATGGAACATGAGAACATCCAATTTGTTTGCGAACTTAACAAACCCAATGTCAAGGTCAGATGGTTGAGGGATGGCCAAGAGGTTATGGCAGAGGACGGCTTTGTAATTGTTTCTGATGGCTGCGTTCACACACTATCTCTCGATGACGCCTTACCTGAGCATAGTGCTAAAATTATGATAGTTGCACAAGATAAAAGAAGCTCTGCTACGCTCACTGTGAAAGGTAAATTGATGCTTCAATTGCGTTTGTTATTAATTTGTTGATGGTTTAATGGTTCTATTAACATAAATTCGAAAAAAAACACTAACCCAAAAAATGTCATCTGTACATCATGTCCTGCTTTTTTTTACATTTTCATGCAGTACATAGATCATAGACGTAGTAGGTCATATAGATATATAGATATACCTACATAAGCATGTCCATATAAGGGCATCATATTCATTATTGCTAGATTCAAGATGATAAACTTTGGCTTGCATTCATCAGCTTTGTGTTTTGTGATATGGAATGTCGTTTTTTTACTGTGTAATGCATACATTTTATGTACATTTCTCTACATCTGTTGGGGCGGTGGGGTAGCCTAGTGGTTAAAGTGCTCACTCGTCACGCCGAAGACCCGGGTTCGATTCCCCACATGGGCACAATGTGTGAAGCCCATTTCTGGTGTCCCCTGCCGTGATATTGCTGGAATATTGCTGAAAGCGGGATAAAACCATACTCACTCACTCACTCTATGTCTGTAAATTTTCATAATATTGACTTACAATTAAGTAGTGTGTTGAGAAATGTGTTATATTAAGTTCCATAAATTACAGCCGAACCTGTGAAGTTTGTCCGCCCCCTGGCAGATATTACAGTCACAGAAAAACAGGATATCTACCTGGAGTGTGAGATCAACAAGCCTGGTCTGAAGCCAACTTGGAAGGTCGATGGCTCTAAAGTTTCTGCCAGTGGGAGAATCCAGCTCCTGTCAGAAGGCAACGTTCACAAACTGATCATCAAGGAGGCTGACTTGGACGATGAGAACGTGTACACAGTTACATTTGATGATGCTACATCCACTGCCAGCGTCATCGTCGATGGTGAGTACATCTATTTTGTATTTACCACTTTGTCAATGAATAAGAGTTCCAGAGAGAGGTTTCACAACAGCTGTGACATGATGCCAAGATGACGATTTGGTTCAAACATGTTATTATCCATTCTCATGGATTTCCACAAAGTTTTGTGATCTTGGTAATTTTCAATTAATTCATGCTTTTGTTTGATCAACATTGGTCAAGTCACTTCTAAGATGAGAATTTGGAACAAAATATTTATTTCTTCCATTTTGATATATTTAACTGTTTTTGTTTTATGGGGACTAATACAATCTCAGGGTGCTTGTTGTTATTTTTCTAACACTTGTTTTATAGATTAATAACCATATATTTGTAACATCACTAACGTTTATGTTCAATTTATATTTATATGTCAACAGATTTTAATCATGTCTGTTGTGTTAGGTTATTTTCAGCCTCTTTTTCATCACATTTGAACATGATGATGTAGATCATTTGTATGTTTTGGGTTGATACGGTTCCAAGTATCATTTGTATAAACCTCTGGCCAGACTAATGCTTTATATTGCCCTCAACTTGCTAGCCATCCCAATCAAGTTTGTCCAACCTCTGGCTGACATCACCGTCACAGAGAAACAGGAGATCTTCCTGGAGGTCAAGATCAACAAACCAGGACAGACTCCAGTCTGGACCTTTGAAAACAAGGATGTGTCCACCAGTAAACGCATCCGCTTGACATCAGATGGTGCCCTTCACCGTTTGGTGATTGAGAGCGCTGACCTTGAAGATGAAGGCTCCTACAAGGTCGCCTTTGGTGATGTTGACAGCTCAGCCAATGTCTTTGTTGATGGTGAGCACAGCAAAGTGCAACAAATTATGAAATCCCATGTTTCTATATGCAGTTTGTTTTCACTGCTTTGTATTAAGCAGATTGTTCATGTCAGTGTTGTTAAATATACCATTCACTGTGTTCACTTGAATCCAGCACCTACACATTATGTTCCCAAAGTGCTATATGGTATGTTTCCAAATCAATGTTACCCATGTGTTTTGTCATAAAGTAGTACATTTAGAAAAGTTTCTTAAAAAATTCAAACCATGGAAAACATCTGAAGCTGGACCATATTTCCACATTTGACCTCTGATAACCTGCCCTTTGTAGAGGAACCACTTGAAATTGTGAAACCCCTGGAGGATCAGACCATTGATGAAGACCAGTCAGTCAAGTTCACATGTGAGGTGTCCAAGCCAAATGTCAAATCCCGCTGGTACAAGGATGGTAAGGTTGTGAGTGAGAAAGATGGGTATCGCATAGAAACCATCAACTCTGTTCACACCTTGATCCTTGATAACGCTGCCGAGGAGGATGGTGGAAAATACAGCATCAAAGTGGAAGACAAACAGAGCGAGGCCACACTCACTGTCAAAGGTGCTTACAAAAAAGAACACCGGAAATATAAATTGGAAATCTATCCTTCCTCAATTTCCTTTCACCTTTTGCACAAGATATAGATTTCCTTATGAAGATCTAACCATACTAATAACTGTAGCTATAAATCAGCCTTAGGCTACAATGTAATCGTCTATATTTGGTTTCTGATGTAAAGAGAAATATGTTTACATTTTTGTGGAAAATTTTTTTCAACCTTTGTACAAGAAAACATGCGTCAATGGATTTTCAAATTTTGGGTGGGTGGGTGGGTGGAATGAGGTTAAATATCTGTTATTTAATTCAAAACTATAATCCTTTACTGAAAAAATTGTTTTGACTGCAAACAGTTAACTACACATTATTCCTCCACCTCTAATCTTCATTCCTAACATCTCCCCTTTCTCCAGTCCTTCCAATCAAGTTTGTCCAACCTCTGGCTGACATCACCGTCACAGAGAAACAGGAGATCTTCCTGGAGGTCAAGATCAACAAACCAGGACAGACTCCAGTCTGGACCTTTGAAAACAAGGATGTGTCCACCAGTAAACGCATCCGCTTGACATCAGATGGTGCCCTTCACCGTTTGGTGATTAAGAGCGCTGACCTTGAAGATGAAGGCTCCTACAAGGTCGCCTTTGGTGATGTGGAAAGCTCAGCCAATGTCTTTGTTGATGGTGAGCACAGCAAAGTGCAACAAATTGTGAAATTCCTATGTTTCTATATGCAGTTTGTTTTCACTGCTTTGTATTAAGCAGACTGTTCATGTCAGTGTTGTTAAATATACCATTCACTGTGTTCACTTCCATCCAGCACCTACACATTATGTTCCCAAAGTGCTATATGGTATGTTTCCAAATCAATGTTACCCATGTGTTTTGTCATAAAGTAGTACATTTAGAAAAGTTTCTTAAAAAATTCAAACCATGGAAAACACCTGAAGCTGGACCATATTTCCACATTTAACCACTGATAACCTGCCCTTTGTAGAGGAACCACTTGAAATTGTGAAACCCCTGGAGGATCAGACCATTGATGAAGACCAGTCAGTCAAGTTCACATGTGAGGTGTCCAAGCCAAATGTCAAATCCCGCTGGTACAAGGATGGTAAGGTTGTGAGTGAGAAAGATGGGTATCGCATAGAAACCATCAACTCTGTTCACACCTTGATCCTTGATAACGCTGCCGAGGAGGATGGTGGAAAATACAGCATCAAAGTGGAAGACAAACATAGCGAGGCCACACTCACTGTCAAAGGTGCTTACAAAAAAGAACACCGGAAATATAAATTGGAAATCTATCCTTCCTCAATTTCCTTTCACCTTTTGCACAAGATATAGATTTCCTTATGAAGGTCTAACCATACTAATAACTGTAGCTATAAATCAGCCTTAGGCTACAATGTAATCGTCTATATTTGGTTTCTGATGTAAAGAGAAATATGTTTACATTTTTGTGGAAAATTCTTTTCAACCTTTGTACAAGAAAACATGCATCAATGGATTTTCAAATTTTGGGTGGGTGGGTGGGTGGAATGAGGTTAAATATCTGTTATTTAATTCAAAACTATAATCCTTTACTGAAATTTTTTTTTGAAAAGCAAACAGTTAATTACACATTATTCCTCCACCTCTAATCTTCATTCCTAACATCTCCCCTTTCTCCAGTCCTTCCCATCAAGTTTGTCCAACCTCTGGCTGACATCACTGTCACAGAGAAACAGGAGATCTTCCTGGAGGTCAAGATCAACAAACCAGGACAGACTCCAGTTTGGACCTTTGAAAACAAGGATGTGTCCATCAGTAAACGCATCCGCTTGACATCAGATGGTGCCCTTCACCGTTTGGTGATTGAGAGTGCTGACCTTGAAGATGAAGGCTCCTACAAGGTCGCCTTTGGTGATGTTGACAGCTCTGCCAATGTCTTTGTTGATGGTGAGCACAGCAAAGTGCAACAAATTATGAAATCCCATGTTTCTATATGCAGTTTGTTTTCACTGCTTTGTATTAAGCAGACTGTTCATGTCAGTGTTGTTAAATATACCATTCACTGTGTTCACTTCCATCCAGCACCTACACATTATGTTCCCAAAGTGCTATATGGTATGTTTCCAAATCAATGTTACCCATGTGTTTTGTCATAAAGTAGTACATTTAGAAAAGTTTCTTAAAAAATTCAAACCATGAAAACATCTGAAGCTGGACCATATTTCCACATTTGACCTCTGATAACCTGCCCTTTGTAGAGGAACCACTTGAAATTGTGAAACCCCTGGAGGATCAGACCATTGATGAAGACCAGTCAGTCAAGTTCACATGTGAGGTGTCCAAGCCAAATGTCAAATCCCGCTGGTACAAGGATGGTAAGGTTGTGAGTGAGAAAGATGGGTATCGCATAGAAACCATCAACTCTGTTCACACCTTGATCCTTGATAACGCTGCCGAGGAGGATGGTGGAAAATACAGCATCAAAGTGGAAGACAAACAGAGCGAGGCCACACTCACTGTCAAAGGTGCTTACAAAAAAGAACACCGGAAATATAAATTGGAAATCTATCCTTCCTCAATTTCCTTTCACCTTTTGCACAAGATATAGATTTCCTTATGAAGATCTAACCATACTAATAACTGTAGCTATAAATCAGCCTTAGGCTACAATGTAATCGTCTATATTTGGTTTCTGATGTAAAGAGAAATATGTTTACATTTTTGTGGAAAATTCTTTTCAACCTTTGTACAAGAAAACATGCATCAATGGATTTTCAAATTTTGGGTGGGTGGGTGGGTGGAATGAGGTTAAATATCTGTTATTTAATTCAAAACTATAATCCTTTACTGAAAATTTTTTTTGGACTGCAAACAGTTAATTACACATTATTCCTCCACCTCTAATCTTCATTCCTAACATCTCCCCTTTCTCCAGTCCTTCCCATCAAGTTTGTCCAACCTCTGGCTGACATCACCGTCACAGAGAAACAGGAGATCTTCCTGGAGGTCAAGATCAACAAACCAGGACAGACTCCAGTTTGGACCTTTGAAAACAAGGATGTGTCCATCAGTAAACGCATCCGCTTGACATCAGATGGTGCCCTTCACCGTTTGGTGATTGAGAGCGCTGACCTTGAAGATGAAGGCTCCTACAAGGTCGCCTTTGGTGATGTTGACAGCTCTGCCAATGTCTTTGTTGATGGTGAGCACTGCAAAGTGCAACAAATTATGAAATCCCATGTTTCTATATGCAGTTTGTTTTCACTGCTTTGTATTAAGCAGACTGTTCATGTCAGTGTTGTTAAATATGCCATTCACTGTGTTCACTTCAATCCAGCACTAAGATAGTATGCCCCCCAAATGCTATATGTTATGTTCCAAGTCAACGTTTTCCCATGTGTTTTGTCATAAAGTAGTACATTTAGAAAAGTTTCATAAAAAATCAAACCAAAGGAAAACATCTGAAGCTGGACCATATTTCCACATTTGACCTCTGATAACCTGCCCTTTGTAGAGGAACCACTTGAAATTGTGAAACCCCTGGAGGATCAGCTCACTGATGAAGACCAGTCAGTCAAGTTCATATGTGAGGTGTCCAAGCCGAATGTCAAATCCTGCTGGTACAAGGATGGTAAGGTTGTGAGTGAGAAAGATGGGTATCGCATAGAAACCATCAACTCCATTCACACCTTGATCCTTGATAACGTTGCCGAGGAGGATGGTGGAAAATACAGCATCAAAGTAGAAGACAAACAGAGCGAGGCCACACTCACTGTCAAAGGTGCTTACAAGAAAGAACACCTGACTAAATTCAATATAAATTGGAAATCTTTCCTCAATTTCCTATTACCTTTTGTACAAGTTATAGATTACCCTAAAGAAATCTAACAATACTAATAACTGTAGTCATTTCTCTGTCTGCGGATAAAATGTAACCATCTTTTTATGTTTTTAATGTAAAAGGATATATTTAAAAGCTGCTTGTATCAGGAATATTGCAATTGACCTTGCACCAAAACGTGCATCAATGGATTTTGAAATGATCATCCTTCATATTTTTTAATCCTTGGTAAAATATCTGTTATTTCATTCAGAATTGTCACTGAATGCAAGCAGTAAAGTAGATTTTTTCCTCCACCTCTAATCTTCATTCCTAACATCTCCCTTTCTCCAGTCCTTCCCATCAAGTTTGTCCAACCTCTGGCTGACATCACCGTCACAGAGAAACAGGAGATCTTCCTGGAGGTCATGATCAACAAACCAGGACAGACTTCAGTCTGGACCTTTGAAAACAAGGATGTGTCCACCAGTAAACGCATCCGCTTGACATCAGATGGTGCCCTTCACCGTTTGGTGATTGAGAGCGCTGACCTTGAAGATGAAGGCGCCTACAAGGTCGCCTTTGGTGATGTGGAAAGCTCAGCCAATGTCTTTGTTGATGGTGAGCACTGCAAAGTGCAACATTTGTCCTTTTGTCAAATTTTCTATGTTTCCTTCCTGTTTTTCAAATATGTGTCTGCTTGTTCTGTTTCACCATCAGCAGACTGTTCTTGTCAGTGGAGTTTCCACATTGTTCCACATTTCCACACACTTTAAAAATGTGTTGCCAGGTGTGTCATGTACTGACCTACAACAGTTAGAGATCATGAACATTTTCTGGATATTCTTTATGAAATTGTATGGGCAGTCTTCACTACCCAAAAGTATCCCCAAAAATATTTATTATCCCTAACAAAATTTGTTCAGTATATATTATGTTCAAATCCAAAGAATTCCCATATTCTTTTATTGTAATGCTGTACAAGTAAACAAAACAATCAAACCTAAGGAATACTGAAGCTGGACTATGTTTTCACATTTGACCTCTGATAACCTGCCCTTTGTAGAGGAACCACTTGAAATTGTGAAACCCCTGGAGGATCAGACCATTGATGAAGACCAGTCAGTCAAGTTCACATGTGAGGTGTCCAAGCCAAATGTCAAATCCCGCTGGTACAAGGATGGTAAGGTTGTGAGTGAGAAAGATGGGTATCGCATAGAAACCATCAACTCTGTTCACACCTTGATCCTTGATAACGTTGCTGAGGAGGATGGTGGAAAATACAGCATCAAAGTGGAAGACAAACAGAGCGAGGCCACACTCACTGTCAAAGGTGCTAAAATGACTAACATGCTATTCTTCATAAAACAAATTTCGGTCTTTATATTCACATATACAAATTGTCAAATAATCTGTTTGGCTCCTTGTAAGAATAAACCAATGGTAACACCTATGGTTCCATGGTAATTGGAATAACTTGTTGAAATTAGATGTATGAAAAAACTATTATGAATACAAAGTTTCATAATTTCATAATTCTGGGTTAGAATAGATCAACCTTATCTTGTTGTAAGAGGTGTCTAAAAGTTAGATCACATGGTCAGACACTGTGACCTCGATGAGCATGTCATAACACTCTGATGGTGTCGATCATTGCCCACAATATCAATCACTGGATTGTCTGCCGCAGCCTCAATTATTTGCAGACCACCGTCAAATAGCTGGAATATTGCTGAAGTTGGTGTTAAACTATAAAACAAACAAACTTCTTTGATTAAACCATACTAACCCCTCCCTCCTGCCCCCAGCTATACCTGTGGAGTTTGTGCAACCTCTGGCTGACATCACCGTCACAGAGAAACAGGAGATCTTCCTGGAGGTCAAGATCAACAAACCGAACAAGAAACCGGAATGGTCATTTGAAGGAACCAATGTGTCAGCCACAGGAAGAATAAAACTCACTTCTGATGGTGCCATTCACAGACTCATCATTTCTAAAGCCTCTTTAGATGATGAAGGTGTATACAAAGTCTCAATCCAGGGCAAAGACAGTTCCTGCAATGTCTTTGTTGATGGTGAGAACATTGTAGATTTCCCGTGGGATTTATTTCATTTTTTTCACAGGAACATACAACCATTTGTTACGCTGGATTGGAAACATGTATCTTTTCTGTTTTATTTTTGATATTTTTTTCAGAAACTAAAGCTAATACTAATAAATTTTGTATCTGTAAATGACAGTAACTTATCAGTAACATTAGTTGCATTTATTAACTCATACTCACTTTTGTTTATACTAACGTCAGTTTATTTCATGTATGGAGACAAATAATCTATGTCACTAACACCCATATATGTCATATTTGTAGAAGAGCCTGTAGAAATAATCCGACATTTGAAAGACCAGGAGATCTCAGAGAAAGAAACTGCCAAATTTAAGTGTCTGTTGTCCAAATCCGGAGTCAAGGCCAAATGGCTTAAAGATGGCAAAGTAGTGACTGCAGCTGATGGCTTTGAGATAACATCTATTGACGTCACTCACACATTGGTCCTCGAGGATGTTGCGCTGGAGGATGGTGGAAAATACACCATCAAAGTAGAGGACAAGGAGAGTTCGGCCAACCTCAGAGTCATGGGTATGGGATCCCGAAACTTTTCTTTTCAGTTTGATTTCGGAACTTGGCTGACCTTTTTGTGGAACTTCGACCATAGCAACAAGAATATCTCCTTGATGTATTCTCCAGTCAGCATTCTCTTCTCTTCTCTTGTTTATTCTCTGTAATGTCAAATTTTGATGGCTCCAGATTAACATAACTACTATGCATGTTTGTTTTCATTAATTAACAAATTATTTAAGACTATTAATCCTAGCAATATATTGTTGTTTTAGAAGTGACTAACTTTATTATGACACTAATTCATTGAGTTGGTTTTGAAAAGGATTTAACAATGCAAGGGGACTAACATTCTTTCTGTATTTATGAATGTGTCATTTTATTTGACTCCAACTTTCAGAACTCCCAATTGAAATTACCAAACCACTGAAGGACCTTGAGATCATGGAGGGCACAGCCTTGACCTTGACCTGTGAGGTCAACAAACCCAATATTCCATCCAAATGGCTGAGGAATGGAGAGGCCATTGCTCCCTCTGAGCGTATCGAGATGACTGTTGATGATACCAGGCACACACTGACCATCCCGAAGTCAGAGATGGATGATGAGGCCGTGTACAAGTGTGTCATCAAGGACAGGAAGACATCAGCCAGAGTCACAGTCAAAGGTGGGTCTGCGAGGGATGGCATCATAATAGGAGAAGATGGCTAGATGATACTCAGTATTGATGCAGCTCCATACACATCAGGGTTAAAATTGGTCCCACAACCTGTGCTTGTGCTAGCTCCATACACATCTGGGTTCAACTCGGTCCCACAACCTGTGCTTGTGCTAGCTCCATACACATCTGGGTTCAACTCGGTCCCACAACCTGTGCTTGTGCTAGCTCCATACACATCTGGGTTCAACTCGGTCCCACAACCTGTGCTTGTGCTAGCTCCCTACACATCTGGGTTCAAGTTGGTCCCACAACCTGTGCTTGTGCTAGCTCCATACACATCTGGGTTACAATTGGTCCCACAACCTGTGCTTGTGCTAGCTCCACACACATCTGGGTTCAACTCGGTCCCACAACCTGTGCTTGTGGTAGCACCATACACATCTGGGTTACAATTGGTCCCACAACCTGTGCTTGTGCTAGCTCCATACACATCTGGGTTACAATTGGTCCCACAACCTGTGCTTGTGCTAGCTTCTTACACATCTGGGTTAAAATTGGTCCCACAACCTGTGCTTGTGCTAGCTCCATACACATCTTGGTTAAAATTGGTCCCACAACCTGTGCTTGTGGTAGCTCCACACACATCTGGGTTCAACTCGGTCCCACAACCTGTGCTTGTGCTAGCTCCTTACACATCTGGGTTAAAATTGGTCCCACAACCTGTGCTTGTGCTAGCTCCATACACATCTTGGTTAAAATTGGTCCCACAACCTGTGCTTGTGGTAGCTCCACACACATCTGGGTTACAATTGGTCCCACAACCTGTGCTTGTGCTAGCTCCATACAAATCTGGGTTCAAGTTGGTCCCACAACCTGTGCTTGTGCTAGCTCCTTACACATCTGGGTTAAAATTGGTCCCACAACCTGTGCTTGTGCTAGCACCATACACATCTGGGTTAAAATTGGTCCCACAACCTGTGCTTGTGGTAGCTCCACACACATCTGGTTACAATTGGTCCCACAACCTGTGCTTGTGCTAGCTCCATACACATCTGGGTTCAACTCGGTCCCACAACCTGTGCTTGTGCTAGCTCCTTACACATCTGGGTTAAAATTGGTCCCACAACCTATGCTTGTGCTAGCTCCTTACACATCTGGGTTAAAATTGGTCCCACAACCTGTGCTTGTGCTATCTCCATACACATTGGGGTTAAAATTGGTCCCACAACCTGTGCTTGCAGTAGCTCCATACACATCTGGGTTACAATTGGTCCCACAACCTGTGCTTGTGCTAGCTCCATACACATCTGGGTTCAACTCGGTCCCACAACCTGTGCTTGTGCTAGCTCCATACACATCTGGGTTCAACTCGGTCCCACAACCTGTGCTTGTGCTAGCTCCACACACATCTTGGTTAAAATTGGTCCCACATGTACAACCTGTGCTTGTGCTAGCTCCATACACATCTGGGTTAAAAGGCTGTGCTTGTGGTACTGGATGAATATGGATATGGTTGGCAGGACTAGATTGTATGTCATCATATCCCGATAGGGTGGCTGTGGCTCACAATATCAATCGTTGGTTTATCTGGTCCAGACTTGCCATCATATAAAGCTGAAATATTGCTCAGTATTAAACAACAAACAAACTAATATTCAGCTCATGAGGCTGTTGGTTAGTCCCAGTTGATATACTGGTATCTTTCCCCTGTTTTCAGGTTTTGTCAAAGAAAATTCTCATGATGATATGAAATACATGTTTCTTTTTCTGGGGTACCTGACATTTTTCCTGCACTGAAAACTCTATATCCCATTACAGAAGAGCCATTTGAGTTCCTGCAGCCACTGACTGATGTCCATGTCATGGAAACCGAGACCATCCACATGGAGTGCATCGTGTCGAAACCTGGCAAACCTGCCACCTGGTACAAGGGTGGTGTGAAGATGTTACCATCTGACCGGGTCAAGATGGGTATTGACGGAGCAGGGAAGTACATGCTGACCATCACCAATGCTGAACTCAAGGACGAGGCTGAATACTCCATCAAGCTTGCTGACAAGAAGTCCAAGGCTCAAGCACTTGTTGAGGGTAAGGACTGGTTTCCACCTTCTTTATTCACCAGGATAAGTCAGGAAGCAGACATAGTTGCACAGCTTCGTGGTCGAATGACTGTACAGCAGTAAGGGTTTTTGAAGATTCAGATTGGCATCAGTAGGTTCATCAGTGAAATAATTAATTAAAATATTTGGCCGTCAAATGGTAAATTATGCCCTGGAAACATATCCGGTAAGTATCAGTTCTTACATTTTCCCTGAAGGGGCATAGAAGGCCCAGTCATCTGAGTTTAGATGCTTTTACTCACAGTGAAGAGTTGCTTCCCCTTGGCCTGGATCTACTGGTATAGAGGATTATGATCCTTGGTTTTTGTCAGAACCATACCTGTGCTTATGGATTGCACCATGTCACTTTGAGCTATTTCCTTCCCATGTAAAGCTGACACAGCCTGTGATCTAACTGAAATATTGTTAAAATGGACATTAATTCCTGAGTATTATTTTGCCTCATAAAGAGCTGATCAACATACAGTCATGTTGATGAGTTAATGTGTGTTCCGGGATCAGGCCCAGTTCCACAAAGTGATCATAGGGGCGGTCGGGTAGCCTAGTGGTTAAAGAGTTTGCTCGTCACACTCCTGGGTTCGATTCCCGACATGGGTACAATGTGTAAAGTCCATTTCTGGTGTCCCCCCCCCCATGATATTGCTGGAATATTGCTGAAAGTGGCATAAAACCATACTCACTCACTCACTCACTCACTCAAAGTGACCATATAGTGCTATATCCAGTGTTAGGCTTTGTTTTAGTATGGGAATTATGATCATCTTGGTTCTAATGGAGACGATTAATGTTTCTGTGTCAGAAAGTTTCTGGAGGAAAGAAATTCATATGGGAAAATTTGTCCTATTACACTAAGACCACTTCAAGGAATATAGGCCAGAATATTACTGGAAGACATTAAAGAACAGCCAAAAAATAGATAAACATCAGGCCAATAAGTCAACAATAAGTTACTGTCTCTGATTACAGAAGAAGATGTGGACATCATCCGACCACTGGAAGACATTGACATCAGTGAGATCCCCGGCACAGCTGTGTTCGAGTGCGAGCTGTCCAAGCCTCATGTCATGGTTCAGTGGAACCGAGACACGGAGGTCCTCCTGCCCAGCGACAAGTACGAGATCATTCATGATGGCTGCGTGCATCGTCTCATCATCTCAGACGTCACAGAGAAGGATGAGGCTGACTACAGCATCCAGGCCAAGTCCAAGAGAAGCGATGCTGGTCTGTTTGTGGAAGGTGAGTGGATGCAGACTTTCACTGTTCATTTGCAAGTGACCATTTTTATGTGCTTTTATGTTCATTTCATTCAGTCAGAGACTTTATTGTGCATTATTACCAGACACTTTATGCATTATTATCAGACATTTTATGCATTATCATCAGACACTTTATTGTGCATTATTATCAGACACTTTATTATGCATTATTATCACACACTTTATTATGCATTATGTCAGTACATCAATTGTATAGATTTAATTTGCCAATTTTTGCATTGGCAAAGGAGATATATTTCACAACTTAGATTAGGTGTTTTTGTATGTTTACACCTCTGCTCCTGTTCTATTGTGTATAAATGCCTACAGTCTGGCTTTGTTCTACATGCTGTCAACTCATACTGTCTTTGACAACAACTGATATCTTGATTCTTGTCCACATTTTTACACAGACTCTATCTTATTCTGCTGCATATATAAACCAATCTATCTGTCCTGCAGCTCCACCTAAGATCCTGTATGACAAGAGGTTTGACGAGACAATCATCCTTCACATCGGCCAATCCACTGCATGGGAGGTGCCCTTCTCAGGCAACCCCCAGCCCAAGTGCACATGGCTGTACAATGGAGGCTCTCTGCCCGACAAGAAGAGGATGGAAGCAGAAACAATCGACAACATGACCACCATTCGTCTGGCCAAGGTGATCCGCACCGACACTGGAGACTACACCCTTTCACTGGAGAACCCCAATGGCAAGGCTACCATCACCATCAAGCTGATTGTCTTAGGTGAGCACCCGTCAGGGTTGTATGTTATACCGGTCTAGGGGCAGTAGGGTGGCCCTGTGGTCAAAGCTTTGGCTCGTCATGCTGGGTTTGAATCCCCATGGGTATGACATGTGAAACCCGTTACCGTTGTCCCCCAACCATGGTCTTGATGGAATATTGCTAAATGTGGTGTTGAACCCCACTCACTTCTTTGTCAACAAGTGTAGAAAATTTGTTCTTTCAGTCAATTTTCTTGTATATTTCACCAAAATTGTTAACATCTACAAACTGCCTCGCTTTGGGATTTCCTCCCACATTAAGCTGAATAATATATTATAACTGAATTAATTTACAATGGTGTATGTTAAAAATATCAAAATAGAGATTTTTACAAAATACTCATTGTAATGTTTCATTTATCTTTTTTTTTAATTACTTTTCTTTACTTGAACTTTTTTCTGTCCATTTTCAAGACAAACCCAGCCCAGTGAGAGACTTGACTGTGTGTGACATCACTGCTGAGAGTGCCACTGTCAAGTGGGAGGTGCCCGCTGATGACGGAGGCAAGCCAATCACAGGCTACATCATCGAGAAGCGTGAGTCTGGTCGCAGGTCGTTCTACGAGGTGGGCAGCACCACAGAGCTGCAGTTCACTGTCCCAGAGCTGGTCGAGGGCAACCAATACGTCTTCAGGGTGTTCGCTAAGAATGAGATTGGAAAGAGTGAGCCGGTCGAATCAGACACCATCACTGCGAAACATCCATTCAGTAAGTTGACTTGATTAGCTTTCATGATTTATTGAAGCATGTATGTTGTCATTTAAGAATGTCAGTTCCTTGGGTATTTACATCTATGCCACAAGAAAAAAAACAATCTAAAATGAAAAGTACAAGGGAACAAAATGGCAGTGACACAAATTCAAAACCATCCCCTCATGAAGAACTGTAAATATTCATCAGCATTTGATCTTTTAAAACCTAATATGAAGATTATTTTAATGATATAATTTATGATTCTGAGAATAAAATTTTCAAGTTTTTTTATTTTATAGCTTTTCTGACTGAAAACACAATGCAGACTTGAACTGATAATGTATTTCCCCACCTAGATGTACCAGACAAGCCTGATGCTCCCGAAGTGTCGGACATATTCAAGGATTCTGCTGTGGTCTCCTGGAAGCCTCCTGCCAATGATGGCGGATCCCCAGTCACAGGCTACCTGCTGGAGCGCAAGTCTGGCTACAGTCCTCGCTTCATCCAGGTCAACAAGGAGCCTGTAGCTGACCTCACCTTCAAGGACGGCGACCTGCTGGAAGACAACACCTACCAGTACCGCGTCATCGCCGTCAACAAGGCCGGTCCCAGTGAACCCAGTGAACCATCAAGGGAGTTCACAGCCAAGGATCCATGGGGTATGTATTGTGTGTTAGGGGTGGTTGGGGGTAGCCTGGTGGTTAAAGCGTTCGATCGTCACGCCGAAGACCCATGGGTACAATGTGTGAAGCCCATTTCTGGTGTCCCCCGCCGTGATATTGCTGGAATATTGCTAAAAGCGGCGTAAAACCATACTCACTCACTCACTATTATGTGTTAATGGAAAACAAGAAGTTGGTGATGTATGAAACAATTTTTGCAGAAAAATAACTTGTTATCATACAGATTGTGATAAGTATTATTATTATCTGAAAAAGTAAAATATATGTTCTCTTTGAAGTTAAATTACACTTTGTGCATGGACTACTTTTTACTGTGTGTCTGACAGAATAACCTCCCCTTGTTTTCCTGACACCATTGTTTCCGTTGAAGAAAAGGTAGAAAATAATTGATAAACAGATCATTTATCTTTTCATGAGAAAAAATGATTTTCTTATCCCCTCACCTGCCATAGTGAACATTTCAACTTTGTCAATTAGTGAGATAAACGTATTATTTGACAAAAATTAGCCATCTTGACATATTGTACTAGAAGATCCAGAGTTGGGTGCAGGTGAAGCGACATCCATCCTACCTTTTTTCTTGGAAAAAAATGACATCATGTTTCTTTGTGATGCATCAGTCACTAACTCTGTTGTATCGCCTACAGGACCCCCTGGACCTCCCGGCAAGCCTGAAGTCACCGGAACTGACAAGAAGTCTGTAGCCTTGAAATGGGCTCCTCCAGAGGAAGATGGCGGCAGCCCCATCACCAGCTATGTGGTGGAGTACCGGCCGAAGGACTCGTACAACTGGCAGAGGAAGAGCGACGGCATTGTCCCCGACACCACCTTCAGTGTCACCGGCCTCAAGGAGAACTCGGAGTATGAGTTCCGTGTGAGTGCAGAGAACAAGGCTGGCGTTGGACCACCATCACCACCTACAGCACCAGTCAAAGTGGTGGAACCGATTGGTACGTGACTCTCTGGAACAAGATAATGCTGAGGAGACACTCGTTTCATTTTTTCATTTACTGTTTGATAGGCAAAATAGTCAAAAATGAAAATGATTTGTGATTATTTTGGTTTGCTGATCCACTCTTTTTTAATATATGAAAGATATAAACCATGTTCATTTTTTGTAAATAACAAATAGTCAGGTTTATCATACAGTCCTTATCATACAGTCCATACTGCAAACACCTATTACATAGAAAGCACAAGCCACTCTTACTGTACAGATTGTTAATATAGTAGGCATCTTTCACTTGTACACTTTTAGTATATATTTTCAAAGAAAAACATTCATGTATACAAAGTTATTTTGAACTAACCAAGCTAAATATGTATCTAAAAAATCCACACACAATAAAATATAAATGTGTGGCTTTACGTGTGTCGTGCAAATCTGAAAGTAAAGTAACTAAAGATTAATAAATAATGACATGAATATTATACATGAACATGACTGACATTATCAACCTTCTTGCACATTTGTTTACATTGTACCCAATTTGTTTACAGTTGGTGTACCACCAGTTATCCTGGAACCCCTGCAAGATGATGTTGCAGTTGCCCCGAAGGATGCCATCTTGGAATGCGACGTTGACGTCGGCGAGCCTGAAGGTGAGATCAAGTGGTTCAAGGGAACCAAGGAGGTGAAGAAGAGCGCCAAGTATGAGATGAGCTATGAGGATGAAGTTGCATCCCTCGTCATTCACAAAACTGAGCCATCGGACACTGCCCGCTACAAGTGTGAGGTGACCAACCCACTTGGTCAAGTCAGCACCCAGGGACAACTTGCAATTCACAGTATGTACATATTTCTTGAAAGAAACCATCTTCATCACTATCCACGACCAAATACCATTAATACCAAATTTGGTAGGGACATTACCATGTACCCATGATTCGTAAATCTGGGTGCCGTTGCACAAAGCGATCTTAGCGCTATGGTGATCGTAACTCTCATACTTTAACACAGACTTACGACAGTCAAGGTTGTTTTGTACACCACCACCCAGCAGTCTTGTTCTGGACTATTTACAGGGTTTCACAATATGTGGCTAAGCCATTGCTAAGGCAACATTAAACTTTAAGTTGTTAACATGATGAGAATGAAGTTTCAAAGAAGGGTGTTAATATTTCCTCTTTGTGACACCCAGCTGCTCCTGTTCTGGAGTATGACAATCGCCTGAAGAGTGCCCAGACTGTGAAGGGCGGATCCACCCTGGTCCTGCAGGTCAACGTCAGCGGTATCCCATCTCCCAAAATCTCCTGGTTCCTCGATGATGAACCTTTGGAGAAGTCAGAACGCATCAGCGTGGACACTACAGATGACTTCAGCACTCTGACCATCAAGAACGCCATGCTGGACGACAGTGGCATGTACACCATCGCTGCCGAGAATGTCGTTGGCAAAGCAGAGGCTGACTTCGAGATCAATGTTAAAGGTGAGGATAAACAGAAAGTCCCCGTGTTATCTGTGCATGAAATAAGAAGTTTGTCCTTTGTCATTGTGGAGGGAAAATGCGTTTTTTCATTATAAGCCCATGTGGGTATTCCAGAGCAGAATAGGGCAGCAGTACCTTGCTTGTACCAGAGCTAATGAGGATTTGGTGGTTACCGTGACATGTAGATTGATAGTATGGATCATTGCTGATGACGTCAACCACTGGTTTGGCTTGACCACACGCAATCATCTATAGGCTACCATTATATAGCGGGAATATTGATGAATGTGACATTATTAACTTTCACTCACTAACTCGCTCCATGGTCAAACTTGATGACTTAATAGCGTGTTAGTTATGGCATGAATAGCCTGATTATCTGGTCCAGACTCAATTATTGACATGTTCCAATTACATTGCTGGAATATTGCTAAAGATGGTGTTAAACTTCAAATAAATGAACTAGAACCCATTTCAAATTTCATTTCATGTAATCAATACATGGAATGCAAATGTGTTTCAAAGATAAAATAATGAAAAACATGTTTTCAAAGATCTGACAGAAATGATTAATTCTGTTTCCCCAGACAAGCCATCCAAGCCGAACAACCTCCATGTGATTGACGTGATGAAGGACTCTATTGTCCTTTCATGGGAGTCTCCATCCGACGTCGGTGGCTGCGACCTTACTGGATATGTCATTGAGAAGCGTGATGCTAAACGCAACACGTGGATGCCAGTCCACACTGTAGATGGCAGCACCAACACCTATGCTGTCATCAAACTGCTCGAAGGAAATGAATACTTCTTCCGTGTGTCTGCTGAAAATGAAGTTGGCGTCAGTGAACCAGCTGAGATGGATGAGGGAACTATTGCCAAATGTCCATATGGTAAGAGAAATTGATATAATAACCCCAAATGTTGATGGAATATGCCAGTCAGCATAGAAATAATTCTTTAATAGAAAAATATTCGTAATTATCTTCCATAGCCTTCCAACTGATAATTCAGGTAAACTGGGAGTGATGGGGTCAAATTTTGTTGAGAGAAACTGTTGTCCATTTCAGTCAAGTTTTTGGCTCAAATGAGTGCTTGCATGAAACTTACCGTACCTGTTGTCTGTGAATAAGTAACTATACTGAACATGAAAAGTTGAGAAGCATGAATATTATTGGGGATACGTTTTTATTAATTCAAGTAAAGAAGGCAAACACTGGTTTTGTTTATGACATAATCTCAAATTTGCAAGGAATGGCAACTGACCAATTCTATTTCATCATTTAAATAGTTCTTAACCGTATGGTATTAAAACAGTGTTGGAAATCTGTTTTGAAAACAGTGAAATGTTGACAGTAATTACTTGTAGTCTTTCCAAACAATAAGTATTTATCTTCTTCGTCCTTCCAAGTGAGGGGGGCACGGGTGGCCCAGTTGTCTAAGGTGCCACGATTTGCTGTGCAGAGTTGCGTCCCTTGGGCATGCCAGAAACCTGTGATTGTGGGTTCAAATCCCGGTTTGCCCCGATTATGTTTCTAGGTTTGTCAGCACCATACCCGTGCTCTTGGGTTTCACTGAAGTGGTAAACGTTTGAGACCTGCATCACTTCGGGCTTTCCTCCCACATTAAGCTGACACGCTGATATATAACTGGAATACTGTTAAAAGCGGCGTTAAACCCAACTCACTCACTCACTCACTCACTCACTCACTCCTTCCAAGTGATAGCTAAGTGAGGGTGACTTGGACAAGAACTCTCCAACTTGACCATGTTACCGTCTTCATTTCAGATGTGCCACAGACTCCCAGGAAACTGAAGGCAAGTGAGGTCACCAGGTCATCGGTCACACTCACATGGGAGCCACCAGAGAGCGATGGAGGATCACCAATCACAAGCTACATTATTGAGAAGAAAAGCCCAACCAGTTCTCGATGGGTCCGTACCAACAAATCTCCAGTCCGGGACACTGTCTTCACCGTCAATGATTTGGTGGAAAATGACAAATATGAATTCCGTGTGTCCGCAGAAAATGCTGCTGGAATTGGCAAACCATGTGATGCTCTTGGACCAATCCTTGTAAAGGATCCATTCAGTAAGCTTTTCAAATACCTTTCATAAAATCCTCAATATTGATAAAAATAATTTTATTTTATACCCTTATGTTTGATTTGTGCCTGTTTATGTCTATTGGATTTTGCTTCATTAATCCAGATGGAACTATTCCCAATGAAAAATGTGGATTACCACATTTAAGAATTACCAATGATATGAAAACAGTTGCCCTACTGATATTCAAGATGGTTTCTCTGTTACACATATAGTGTAACTCTGATACTCCTTTCGACATGAAACCAACATTATTTTTGTATGATCATAGGGACATTACTGTGTACTCATATACAAAACATCAACATTCAAAATTGCAGTGGACCGTCAGAATTCATCAGTTTTTGCCATTGTCAGCACACTCTGCTTTGCCTCCACAGACAAACCAGATGCTCCTCGCAAGCCTGAAGTGGTGGACGTCACCAAGGAATCTATCACTCTGAAATGGCTGGCCCCAGAGAAGGATGGCGGTAGCCCGATCTTTAACTACGCTGTTGAGATGAGAGTAAGTGGAAACGTCCGCTGGGTACAAGCCAGTCAAAACATCAAGATCCCCGAGACCAGTTACAAGGTCACAGAACTGATGGAAGGCGCTGAGTATGAGTTCCGCGTCATGGCCGAGAACAAGGCTGGTCTTGGTCCACCATCTTCTCCATCACAGCCTGTTGCTGCTAAAGATCCAATTGGTGAGCATAGCACAAGTTTAAGTTCAGTGGTTGGCTTTGAAACAAATCTTTTTTACAAATTATGAAGTAAGTGAAACCTTATGTGGGTTTCCATCTGCAAATGACTGAGATGCTGCTCTATTTATTGGGGGCGGTCGGGTAGCCTAGTGGTTAAAGCGTTCGCTCGTCACGCCGAAGACCCGGGTTCGATTCCCGACATGGGTACAATGTGTGAAGCCCATTTCTGGTGTCCCCCGCCCTGATATTGCTGGAATATTGCTAAAAGCGGCGTAAAACCATACTCACTCATGAGTATGGTTTTACGCCGCTTTTAGAAATATTCCAGCAATGGGCTTCACACATTGTACCCATGTTGGGAATCGTACCCGGGTCTTCAGCGTGACGAGCGAGAGCTTTAACCACTAGGTTACCCGACCACCCCTTATATTTAGCATATGTCAAGAGGATGCCTTCGTGTGTTGTATGTTGGTAGAGCCTTTCCTTGACTCTAAACCCCTGCTCTTTTCCACAGTTGGTGAGGCGCCAGCCGTGCTTGAAGGCCTACCCGACCTGGCCGTCATGGAGGGAGAGACAGCCATCTTGGAATGCAAGATCAGTGGTGAACCAGAGCCCTCTATCAAGTGGTAAGGGAGATCACTCTCAAAAGTCCTGTATTCAAATACACATGATTCAGAGAAATAGGAGTTAACTGGATGATTTTGATAAAGATTTGAAATGGAAACAAGACAGGGATGTTGTATTTGATTTTTCCTTATACTACTGTGTGTTGTGTGGATTGTAGGATGAAGGACCGTCGCGATGTTCTGGAGGACAAGAGACATGAAATCTTCTATGAAGACATGTTCGCGTCTCTGACGATCACAGAATGCACTGAGCGGGATGCTGGTAGCTACACATGTGAAGCCAGCAACGACCTCGGCACAGTCACCACATCAGGGCAGCTGGACATTCAAGGTAGGCCTACAAACAGGCAGACATAAACAGAGTTGGAATGAATTGCAGAAAAATTCAAACTGTGTTTGAGACAATAGTTTCCAGAAATTAGTGATCAAGTCAGCTCACTATTTCGATGTCATTATCATATACTTATACATCATGGTAGACTATTGCTTACTTACATTTCTACGCTCATCTTTTCGCCAACACCTGGTATCATTTCTATTTGATTGTCATTCATAAACACATGCTTTTTATATTATTAGAATCATACAGTAGAGATTACTATGATCACAGAAATGTGTTTGGTTGCTTTTATTTGAGAGAAAATAAGAGAATATTGACTCTTTCCCCATGAGCAAGAGTGACTCTTTAGGTCTAAGGTAAAGCTACTCACTGTACAGAGCTGTTCCCCTAATGCAAGCTTAGGATCTGCTGATCGTGGATTCAATTTTCAGATGCAGATTATGATCCTTGGTCTGTTGGCAACATATACTTTTCACGTTGATTTTACAAAAGAGTTTCTCAAATCATCCACATCCTGCACCATTTTGAGTTTTCATTAGATTTGAAACTAACAGGACATCATGTATCTAAAATGTTCTTAAAGCGGTGTTAAAACTCACTCTCTTACCACAATGCTGTAAGATGCATTTCATCCCAACAGCTCCCCCTGTACTGGAGTTCGACAACAAGTTCCGCGACCTCATCACACTCCATGCTGGCAGTAACCTCAAGATCCCTGTCAAGGTCAAGGGTATCCCCACTCCAAGAATCACCTGGGCAAAGGAGGATCAGCCAATGAGATCAGCTGGTAAGGTTACCATAGATATGCAAGACACAAGCACCTCACTGACCATCAAGAAGGTGAGCAAGGAGGAGGATGGTCTGTATACACTGACCGCCGAGAACGAAGCAGGCGAGGACAAGGCCAAGTTTGATGTCGAGGTCATTGGTGAGTTCATTATAGTCTTCTGTTTCATCAACACAGTAAAATGCAGTTTTTTATTATTATATTTTTTAGATAGTGTTCTGATAGTATTTTTCGAGTAACTTGGCAGTTTGCAATGTTTGCAAAGTTCATAATCTCAGTTAAAATATTTTACATACGTTACACACATTTTCATTGCTTTATAATTCAGACGTTCCTGCAAAGCCCGGTCCTATCGAGTATGCTGACATTGTCCGTGATGGTGTGACTCTGAAGTGGACTCCACCCAAAGACGATGGCGGCACTGATATCCTCTCCTACATCGTGGAGCGCCGTGATGCCAAGAGGTCAACGTATACCCGTGCAGGCAAGGTCGAGGGTAACGTCACACAGCTGAAGGTCAGCGGACTTGTTGAAGGCACAGAATATTTCTTCCAAGTGACAGCAGAAAACGAAGTCGGAAAATCTGAACCCAGAGAATCCGATTCCGGCGTTGTTCCAAAGAGCCCATTCGGTAGGTTACAACTAGCCAACAGTTCTTTGCGCTTCTTGCCCAAATCGGGTTGAGTGTGGTAGTGAGCTAGATTCTGACTGACTTTCCTGCATGGACCCAAGTGGACTGAATCTATGTTTTATGCTATATCAGAGACCATTTATCGGTATGTGATCTCTGGCTATGTGAACATCCCATTGTGCTTGTCAACTTACAAACTTTGGAATAATACTAAGTATTTGGGAATGATTTTTTCTTTAGCCAAGTATGGAGATTTTTCCTTTTCCATTATGCCAGTAATAATACATCTTTTTACCTCATTGAGTTTTGTGATGCCAAAGTACTTAGAGTTGACCAGCACAGTATATTTAGGTAAAGAGGGGTGAAGGTGCTGAATCATATCGATGGTGTAAGACTATCAGGAAACTAGCATTACAAGAAAATGATCTCAGAAAGTAGTGGATTGGCATAGTTTCAACATACTCCAGATATCATAATCACAAATTGTTTTTTCATTATCAATGTTCTTTCCACTCTCTGGAAATATGGAATATTAAGCCAAAAAAGACCCACATAATTTACATGTTTTCTATATCCTGAAACTCAAAAGCATTCCAGTTTTCCAAAAATATTTTGCCTTTATGCTTTCGTTTATTCCTACTCTACTTATACCACGTTTATGTGTTTGCTTTATGTGTATATGATAAAGCTGCTACATCACAATAGTCACATTTACCTACCAACTACTTCTGGTTCAGCATTTTCATGTCATAAATCATGAGTATGCTAAGAATAATGCATTTTTACTGACATTTATGTATTTTTTATAATTTTATATCAAATATTGAGATTTGTTTCTAGATTGTTATGAAGTCTACAATCTGATTCTGTTCATATGAATATTTAAACTGATATCAATATTATGGAGAATATTTCAGGGAATGTCCCGAACAGTTCAATTGTCAAGTCTGCAATTTTCCCTCAGTCAATCAGGGTAAAATTGTCCAATCAAAGATCAAATAGTTATTTACATTATGAGACGTATTAGAGATCAGGTTGTAGATTTCAGTCCAGTTGTTTTACTTATAATGCATGTTAAGTTTATTTTGATGTTGTGTTTGAATTATTTTGAAGATTGTTGGACTTTTTTTCAGCATGACAATATATCCTACTAACCTGTGACCAGTTTGATTTCATGACATCCAAAATAATATTTCATTATTAATTTATAAATCCAATTCCTTATCATAAATTATCTTGTAGTATTAAAGGAATTATTTGCTTACAATGAATATTGGTTAGAATCAATATGTGAGCAATTTAGTAGGATATAATAATCTACATTTACATACACATTTATATACTGATGGTTATTCTGTAATTAAAAAATGTTGTTAATTAGTCTTGTAACTATAAGTAATTAGATAAATTGTATTATACTACTTACCTCTATTTTTATAAACAATTATCTGTTGTTATTTTTTTTAAATAGTGTATTTAGCAGTAGTGGTTGAGATCTGATATGTACGTATGTACATAGGGTTTGCATAATACATCTTCATTGGGAATATCTATGCATCAGTTGATATCTGCTGAGGGGGTAGGGGTCACCAAGCCGTCTCAAGTGCCACAACACTCTGTGCAGAGTTGCGTCCCTTAGACGTGCCAGAAACCTGTGATAGTGTGTGAATTTCGGTTCGCTCTGCTTATTAGGGCTGGGACGGGTAATTCGGGGAAACCTGGGTCGGGTGGGTACAGAGTAGGACCCGGGTACCCACAGGACTACCAGGACTCCTGGTAAGTCATGTGATATATTGTCTAATGACTAAAATTATCTGGACCTCTATGGCTACACTACAATCACTAATGTTCGCTTTTCCTTCTGACTCTGAACCCATTCCTTCTGATTTTTCATATGGTTGAATAAAGATATAACTGAAGTCAACTTCAGTGTATGCATGACCAGATTGTTTAATACATGTATCTAAATACGTTTTGCCAGGGCTAAGCTAAAAATATTCCCAATCGGACATTTTGAGACATCTCCTGAGACCTAGAGTGGGTACCCAGGTAGGGTAGGGTAATAGGGGGGCGGGTACCCGGGTACCCAGGTAGTAAATTTGGACTCGTCCCAGCCCTACTGCTTTTGTCAGCACCATACCAAAAATACACATACGTATAAGACCTCCATCAGTTTGGTCTTTTATCCCACATTAAGCTGACACGCCGTATTAACATAAATACTGTTCAAAGCTGCATTAAACATAACACTCTACATACTGCTGAAGATACACAGAAATAGAACAAAGCACCTTAATACAAGAAGTATTTAGTAATTGTCCTTTACATGATGATGCATTTGTAAATAAAAAAGCAATATTTATCTATAATTACAAAATGCATTTGCTGAATTTTATTTAAGCCACATTTCTTAATCAAATTTGGATAATTTACTTGATTATGTGCAATATGATAACACCCTTCAGTTTAGATTTAGGATTTTAGCACTGTTATGAACAAAATGTATTTTAAACCGAATCTCTTATGTTTGTGTTAGAACAATACATCCCTTTGCCAAAGTGTGATGAATATTTGTGACATGTTAATGGTAGCCATTGTGTCAAAGTTCACTGAACAGAGGTATACCTTTCATTACATTTGAAATATTTGAAACATTTTAAGAATGATATTGCAAATGTCATTTAATTACATTTTAAACTTTTTTAAGAAAATGTTGCAAAAATGACTTGTTTTGTTGAGTTTGAATATGCTATATGTTGGTTGTTTTTGTATATAAACTGATATTATATATGTAAGGAGTGTCTATAGGGCTTAGCGTGGTATAACTCCATATAACATATATACTCATGTAACATTATATTATACTAGGCAATAAACTGTTATCACAACGTTGATATGAATCTGTTATTAACTGTTCCATACTTTTAACAGCCTGTGTTCCATGTCATCTAACACCCGTTATGTGTCTTTGTGTAACACTGTGTCTATGTCTCCGACAATATTCCTGTTCTCTTCTCTCTCCTGAATGAAAAACTGGTGAATGAGAGGATGAGAATTTTAGTACAATCATTATCCATATAATTACCAATTATCATCATGCCTAACTTTTTGTGGAATATTGTCTTGCTTTGCTGCTTGAGGGGATAATTCGCTTCTTGCTCAGCCTGGAGGTCAAACAGTTTTTGTTAACAAATTATAGTTATATAATTATTTACGGTATATATTTTTTTTCATGGCTTTTTTTAATTCCAAAATGAATTTTTTTCTTCAATATATCTTATATTTATGATGGATGGTAATTAGATAATAGGAAGTTTTGTTGTTGGAAAAAGCATTTGATTGGAGGAAAATCTTACCAATCAGCTTGATGATTGTTATTTGCTGCTGCAGCATGCATGGTGCAGTTGAATACTAATAACATGATTTTATTCGTTCCGCCTCGTGCAAGTCGTGTTTGTTTTGATTGATGCTGCATGCTGTAATACATCTTGCAGACAGAATCTGGTGAGTATTGCCAATCTTTTTTACTTGAAATATAAAAAAAACATGAATATAAAACATTTCACTTGAATATATGGTAACAGCCAAGTGATCGACTCTCATATAACATTTTCATTTTTGTAACCTTTTGTCAGTTGAATTGATTTCTAAAGTTTCTAAATTTCTGAGTAAAGTTGAAACCTCACACGATTATTCAATATATTTTCAATATGATTGATTCTCAATACAAATGTTTCTCATAAACATCCCTTTAATAAATTCCCTTAGTGGTTAAAGTATTGAAGCTGAGGACCTCGGTTTGATTCCACATGTGGGTACTATATGTGAAGTCCATTTTTGATGTCCCTGACTGTGATGTACCTGTAATATTGCTAAAAGTGATGCTAGACAATACTCACTCCCTGCCCTTAAATAAAATAATGTTATATGAAAATAAAAAATAAAAATAAAAATGTATTTTTATTTTTACTGATAAATGTGTTCTTTCATAGGTAAACCATCAGCCCCAGAGGACCTTGAACATTCTGACATCACAGAGGACAGTGTGACCTTGAACTGGAAGCCCCCGAAATCAGATGGAGGCTCACCACTCACAGAGTACATTATCGAGAAGCGAGATGTCCGGAAGACATCCTGGTCAAAGGTTGCCTCAGTGAAATCTGAGACACTCAACTACAATGTGAAGAAGTTGTTGGAAGATACACCGTACCTGTTCCGTGTGATTGCCGTCAATGCCGAGGGCCCAAGTGAACCAATTCAATCTGAACATGAAATTGTGCCCACAAAAGCACCTGGTTGGTTTTTGTCTATTTTCTTTGATAATATATGGAACTTTTGATTATCCAATGTCACTGATAGATTTATGTTGTCATAAAACTAAATTTGGCAAATGCAAAGGAAAAGAATTTCATCCTTCGTAGTATCCGTGTATACTATAGTAACCCGAGTAGAATAGGTCTTCAGCAACCCATGCTTGCCGTAAAAGGCGACTTCGCTTGTCGTAAGAGGCGACTAAAGGGATCAGGTGGTCGTGCTTGCTGACTTGGTTGATGCATGTCATTGTATCCACATTTCGTGGAACAATGCTCATGATGTCAATCTCTGGATTGTCTGGTTATTATTATTTACAGACCGCCTTCATATAGCTGGAATATTGCTGAGTGCGGTGTTAAACAACAAACAAACAAAACTACCGAGTATCATGTTTTCCTAATAATACACCTTATATGTCCAAAATATTCTCATTTTTTATGACTTCATGTGGCATTACTTATCATTATAAACTTGCAGAGGTGCCTGGCAAGCCCATCGGACCTATTGAGTTCAGCAATATTGGTGAAGACACTGTCACTCTTGAGTGGTCCAAACCCAAGAGAGATGGCGGTGCCAAGATCCTCAAGTACAACATCGAGGTGTACGAGGATGGCAAGTGGAGGCCACTAGACTCAGTGGATGCTCCCACCACCCAGTACACAGCCAAGAAGCTGAAGGAAGGCAAGAAATACAAGTTCCGAGTATCGGCTGTCAACTCTGTTGGCGTCGGAGAACCACTGGATTCAGACAATGTCACTCCAACCAAGAAGATCTGTAAGTAGATTGTTGTTAGAATTAAGTGTAATATATGTGAAAACAATATGAAAAAGTCTTTCCTGAATCAGCTATATTATTAGAATGGGTTAACCATATATTAACAATTATTTTCCATTTATTTCTTAATGTTGTCAAACTGCAGAAATCTATATTATCCACATGGATACTTTTTTGCCAATAACTTTTAGGGATCACATATCATATTGTCTAGGCATTTCTTCACTTATCATGGGTTGAAAATCTGTATCCATCACTCAGTAACATTGTTATCATTAGAAGAAAGAGAGACGGATTACCGTACTGGGGCCGTTCCACAAAGTGATCATAGCGCAAAGACAGTCATAAGTCTATGTTAAAGTATGGGATCACCTTAGCGCTACGATAGCTTTGTTGAACCGACCCCTGGACTTTAATTAGTCAGTGTGGACAAAGACTTGGCAAAGTCGGTGCTATTCATACATTATGTCACTGTCATTTACAATGAAACAAAAGTCAAGCCTCATTAAAAGTGTCAAAAATCAGTAAAAGTTCTCAAGCACCATTGAAATTTCTCTAGCATCATTGACAAACATCAATTAATGTTGCCAAGCTTCATTATCAATTTCAAGCATCTATAAAAGTTATCAACCTTCAAAACAAATTGTCAAGCCTCGTGAAAATTTGTCAAGCATCATTCAAGGTGGTCAAACCTCATTAAAAATTGTCAAACACCCGAGATAGTGACATAGTTACTGATATATAGTCAAAGTTTCTTCAAGACATGTATGTTCTGTATCCCATCCACAGCTCCACCCTCCAAGCCAGTCGGACCACTTGACATCAGCAATGTCCAGCGTGACTCTGCTACACTCAAATGGAAGGCACCAAAGGACGATGGTGGCTCCCCACTCACTGGATACATCATTGAGAAACGGGATGCCAAGAAGACAACATGGTCCAAGGCAGGCAAGGTCAAGCCAGACACACTGGAGTATGTCGTGGATGGCCTTCTGGAGAACAATGAGTACTTCTTCCGTGTGATCGCAGAAAACAAGGCTGGTCAAAGTGAGCCCCTTGAGGCCGATGCTGCCACCATGGCCAAGAGTCCCTACAGTGAGTAGAAAGTGCTTGTTGCTTGGTGTGTCAACACCATTGTAGAGTGTAGAAATGATCTGGTCACTTGTATGTGCTCTTGGCTTAAGCTAATATCATCATGCACATATTTCATGCAAACAATTAAGAACCAGGATGGTCCATAAAAGTAAATAATCATGAACAAACATATTCATCAGTGCATGTGTTAATAATGTTTTTTCCGTTCCTGTCTTAATGTCAAATCTGTAAGAAAAGTCTTCCCATACTTTAAGTAATAACCAGTTTTAAAGTTCCTTTAACAGTAGTATTGCTAGAGGATCATTAGTGCCAAAGTCTGTACACCTAAATGTGTGTTTCTGCAACATTCTTGACTTATTCTGATGAACATTCCAATCCATATGTCCTCTGGTGATCAAGAATATGAGCATTTTAAAAACCATTAAAGGATATTGTCATTGGTCTTGGATACGGCCTTACATATCTGTATGAAGTCTGCTGTATGATCTGTATATAAGCAACGGTTGGTCAGAGGACAGATACAGATCAGTGAAATTGTGTTTGTTTTGCAGACAAACCATCCAAGCCACGTGGTCCTCTGCTGATTGAGAACGTGACTGACCACTCCTGCGATCTGGAATGGAAGGCACCAGAGAGTGATGGCGGTCTGCCCCTCAAGAACTACATCATTGAGATGAGACCAGCCACAAGAACCACCTGGTCCAAGGCCGGTAAAGTTGACGGACAGACACTGAAGTTTACACCAGACAACCTCATCGAAGGAACTGAATACTTATTCCGCATCATTGCTGTTAATGACGAAGGAGAGAGTGAACCTCTTGAAGGCAAAGACTCAGCCAAGCCCAAGAAGGCTCTCAGTGAGTTTTTCAGAAATCAAATTATACTATTTTTAGGTTCTTGTGCTAATTGGAGATAGTAAGCAGATGTGTATATGTGACTGCTATAGTGTTTTTGCTAATGTTAGTAAACAATGGAAGAAAATTATTTCATACAAGTTTAAGTTAATATATACAGGTTTAGGAAAACATTTTTATGGCATTTAATTATTTGAAATCAAGTATGTAGAATTAAACATTTAAAGATGGATTCATCTCTTCTAATAATGCAGTCACAATTTGATATTTCTTTCATGTGTTGATTGAGGTATGATGAGAGAGTTGAAACTAGAAATAACTAGTTAAAGATAGACTTTTTTCAGTTTTAAACAACAATCTAGTGAAACCTGTAAATTGCTATTTGACTTTGTAGACAATTCCAAAGTAAGTTTGACATTCCACATCCCTGACAGTAAGGGTCTGTCCTCATCACAATTGACCTTTGTTTCTTTTTTTTCCAGAACCTCCAGGTCCACCTCAGAACCTGCAGCCAGGCCATGTTGGACAGGACTACGTTGCCATTGAATGGAAGCCGCCAAAGGAAGATGGTGGTGCCAAGGTCACTCACTACAAGATCGAGAAATGTGAGGAGACATCCGATGAATGGATCAAGGTTGCAGAGATCAAATCTTATGACACAGCCTACAAGATCGAAAAACTGAAGGAGAATGTTGGTTACTTCTTTGCTGTCGTTGCCAAGAATGAGGTCGGCTATGGTGAAACTGCTGAGACTGACTCAGTGATCACACCCAAGAAACCAGCTGGTACGTTGAGCTCACCTGTGTGACATCACTTCCTCTCTTGATACGACTCTTCCAACTCCCCCTATGTATCATTGTCCATTCAAATATTCAGGGGGCAAATGTTTTATTGCCCAGCAGAATATTGTGCAGTGTTGCATCCCTTAGCTGTGCCACGATCTGCTTATTATGGTTCTGCATGATATCTCCCCAATGATGATCCATGGTTTGTCAGCTCCATACCCATGACTCTTGGATTTCACCAAAATGGTTAACAAATATGACCTGAGTCACAAAAAGCTTTTCTCCCCCATTAAAAGCATCACCAGTCCATCTCAGAGATGTTCAATTGCCTGACCTAAGTCGTTATATTTAAGAATTGGTTATCTTTTTCAAGGAAATTTTATGATAGGAAACAATGAACAAAGGTAAAACTAAAGCATGTTATGAAACAAAGATTTCCTCAACTTCATTGTCCGTTGGCTTCAGGCAAACCGTCCAAGCCTCAGGAGTTCAAGACATCCAAGATAGACAGGACATCAGTGACTCTGGAATGGAAGCCACCCAAGGACGATGGTGGATCTCCTCTGACTGGCTACATTGTTGAGAGGCGGGAGGCATCTCGCTCCTCATGGACCAAACTGGACAGAGTGAAGTCAGACATTCTTACATTGGAGGCTGTCAACCTGATCGAAGGCACCGACTACTACTTCCGTGTGTCAGCTGAGAACAAGATCGGTGTCAGTGAACCCAATGAGTTGGACAAACCAGTGACACCCAAGAGTCCTTATGGTAAGTAAATGTTGAAACTTCCGATCAAGAAGAATTTCATTTGGATTTTTATAAAATATCATATATATATCTGTAATATCCATTGTACGATATTTATATTAAGGTAGCAACGGTTGGTCAGAGGATAGATACAGACCAATGAAATTGTGTTTGTTTTGCAGACAAACCATCCAAGCCACGTGGTCCTCTGCTGATTGAGAACGTGACTGACCACTCCTGTGATCTGGAATGGAAGGCACCAGAGAGTGATGGCGGCCTGCCCCTCAAGAACTACATCATTGAGATGAGACCAGCCACAAGAACCACCTGGTCCAAGGCCGGTAAAGTTGACGGACAGACACTCAAGTTTACACCAGACAACCTCAATGAAGGAACTGAATACTTATTCCGCATCATTGCTGTTAATGACGAAGGAGAGAGTGAACCTCTTGAAGGCAAAGACTCTGCCAAGCCCAAGAAGGCTCTCAGTGAGTTTTTCAGAAAACAAATTATACTATTTTTAGGTTCTTGTGCTAATTGGAGATAGTAAGCAGATGTGTATATGTGACTGCTATAGTGTTTTTGCTAATGTTAGTAAACAATGGAAGAAAATTATTTCATACAAGTTTAAGTTAATATATACAGGTTTAGGAAAACATTTTTATGGCATTTAATTATTTGAAATCAAGTATGTAGAATTAAACATTTAAAGATGGATTCATCTCTTCTAATAATGCAGTCACAATTTGATATTTCTTTCATGTGTTGAGTGAGGTATGATGAGAGAGTTGAAACTAGAAATAACTAGTTAAAGATAGACTTTTTTCAGTTTTAAACAACAATCTAGTGAAACCTGTAAATTGCTATTTGACTTTGTAGACAATTCCAAAGTAAGTTTGAAATTCCACAGCCCTGACAGTGAGGGTCTGTCCTCATCACAATTGACCTTTGTTTCTTTTTTTTCCAGAACCTCCAGGTCCACCTCAGAACCTGCAGCCAGGCCATGTTGGACAGGACTACGTTGCCATTGAATGGAAGCCGCCAAAGGAAGATGGTGGTGCAAAGGTCACTCACTACAAGATCGAGAAATGTGAGGAGACATCCGATGAATGGATCAAGGTTGCAGAGATCAAATCCTATGACACAGCCTACAAGATCGAAAAACTGAAGGAGAATGTTGGTTACTTCTTTGCTGTCGTTGCCAAGAATGAGGTCGGCTATGGTGAAACTGCTGAGACTGACTCAGTGATCACGCCCAAGAAACCAGCTGGTACGTTGAGCTCACCTGTGTGACATCACTTCCTCTCTTGATACGACTCTTCCAACTCCCCCTATGTATCATTGTCCATTCAAATATTCAGGGGGCAAATGTTTTATGGCCCCGCAGAATATTGTGCAGTGTTGCATCCCTTTGCTGTGCCACGATCTGCTAATTATGGTTCTGCATGATATCTCTCCAACGATGATCCATGGTTTGTCAGCTCCATTCCCATGACTCTTGGATTTCACCAAAATGGTTAACAAATATGACCTGAGTCACAAAAAGCTTTTCTCCCCCATTAAAAGCATCACCAGTCCATCTCAGAGATGTTCAATTGCCTGACCTAAGTCGTTATATTTAAGAATTGGTTATCTTTTTCAAGGAAATTTTATGATAGGAAACAATGAACAAAGGTAAAACTAAAGCATGTTATGAAACAAAGATTCCTCAACTTCATTGTCCATTGGCTTCAGGCAAACCGTCCAAGCCTCAGGAGTTCAAGACATCCAAGATAGACAGGACATCAGTGACTCTGGAATGGAAGCCACCCAAGGACGATGGTGGATCTCCTCTGACTGGCTACATTGTTGAGAGGCGGGAGGCATCTCGCTCCTCATGGACCAAACTGGACAGAGTGAAGTCAGACATTCTTACATTGGAGGCTGTCAACCTGATCGAAGGCACCGACTACTACTTCCGTGTGTCAGCTGAGAACAAGATCGGTGTCAGTGAACCCAATGAGTTGGACAAACCAGTGACACCCAAGAGTCCTTATGGTAAGTAAATGTTTAAACTTCAGATCAGGAAGAATTTCATTTGGATTTTTATAAAATATCATATATATATCTGTAATATCCATTGTACGATATTTATATTAAGGTAGCAACGGTTGGTCAGAGGATAGATACAGACCAATGAAATTGTGTTTGTTTTGCAGACAAACCATCCAAGCCACGTGGTCCTCTGCTGATTGAGAACGTGACTGACCACTCCTGTGATCTGGAATGGAAGGCACCAGAGAGTGATGGCGGTCTGCCCCTCAAGAACTACATCATTGAGATGAGACCAGCCACAAGAACCACCTGGTCCAAGGCCGGTAAAGTTGACGGACAGACACTCAAGTTTACACCAGACAACCTCAATGAAGGAACTGAATACTTATTCCGCATCATTGCTGTTAATGACGAAGGAGAGAGTGAACCTCTTGAAGGCAAAGACACAGCCAAGCCCACGAAGGCTCTCAGTGAGTGTGCAGAAAGTTTCCTCAGTCATTATTGTAAAGTTTTGCCAATCAAAAATGTTAAGACTTGCCTGTTTTGATAGAGAAACATGCCCATTGTAAAAGTGAAATCTTGCCTGTTAAAAGTGTAATGTCCCACTCATTATAACTGTAAAATCAAATTTCTGCAGTTTCCTGAAGTGATATTGCTCTTGCACTGATCCATATAGTGTAGCTAATGGGACAAGTATTGGTCATACATCTAGTCAATCAATATTAACCCATGTCCATCAAACCTCCCTCTGTGCGTTATGTAAGAACAAGTTCTTTTGAGAGCAATATATGGTGATGTTTTTCATAGAAACAACTGTATATTGATAACCATGTATCTAAGAAATTAATACACTTCATGGAGGATTATTCTTGAAATGGTGATTGAGCAGTGAGTAAGCTAAGCTCATTTACTGAGTTGTATTTTCATCACAAATTCCTTTTTTCGCTCACAGAACCTCCAGGTCCACCCCGGAACCTACAGCCAGGCCATGTTGGACAGGACTACGTTGCCATTGAATGGAAGCCACCAAAGGAAGATGGTGGTGCCAAGGTCACTCACTACAAGATTGAGAAATGTGAGGCGACATCGGATGAATGGATCAAGGTTGCAGAGATCAAATCTTATGACACAGCCTACAAGATCGAGAAACTGAAGGAGAATGTTGGTTACTTCTTTGCTGTCACTGCCAAGAATGAGGTCGGCTATGGTGAAACTGCTGAGACTGACTCAGTGATCACACCTAAGAAACCAGCTGGTACGTTGGACACTGTTTGCTTGTTTCCAGTATTATCTGTCTCCTTTTATTTTTTGTACTTATGATTGAATAATGTTTCTCTCATTCTCTAAACTCTTTTTTTCAACAGAACAATATATAAAAAACACCTGTCAAATTGTTCCAAGATTAGTATAACCATACCAGCCTCACGTTCATTTGAAAGAAATCCTTGATCCAACAATTTATATTATATCACATTGTTATTCAGGCAAACCATCCAAGCCTCAGGAGTTCAAGACATCCAAGATAGATCGGACATCAGTGACTCTGGAATGGAAGCCACCCAAGGACGATGGTGGATCTCCTCTGACTGGCTACATTGTTGAGAGGCGGGAGGCATCTCGCTCCTCATGGACCAAACTGGACAGAGTGAAGTCAGACATTCTTACATTGGAGGCTGTCAACCTGATCGAAGGCACCGACTACTACTTCCGTGTGTCAGCTGAGAACAAGATTGGTGTCAGTGAACCCAATGAGTTGGACAAACCAGTGACACCCAAGAGTCCTTATGGTAAGTGAAGGTTCTAATAAAACCACTGAAAGGTTAAATAACATGAAATCTTTATCTTGTGTTCAGTAATTTTCAAATACATATTCCATAAAAAAATGCAATATTTATATGTTATTGCAGACAAACCATCCAAGCCACGTGGTCCCCTGCTGATTGAGAATGTGACTGACCACTCCTGTGATCTGGAATGGAAGGCACCAGAGAGTGATGGCGGTCTACCACTGAAGAACTACATCATTCAGATGAGACCAGCCACAAGAACCACCTGGTCCAAGGCTGGTAGAGTGGATGGACAGACACTCAAGTTTACACCAGACAATCTTGATGAAGGAACTGAATACCTCTTCAGAGTAATTGCAGTCAATGATGAGGGAGAGAGTGAACCTCTGGATTCCAAGGAAGCCATCAAGCCAATGAAGTCTCTCAGTAAGTTTGTAGATTTGTCTTGACAACTATCCTGGTAAATGATGTTTAGTTGGTAAAAGCCAATATTCTATGGCCAATACCATCTGCCCCTGTCCCCAGCATGATATGGTTGTAAGAGCCACCTTTATGAGTATCAGGTGGTCACAATGGTGTCACCTCACTGTGGATTGTTCTGACTATGGTTTAGAATAACATCTCTCAGTTTACACCTATGTTGAACATCATTTGATGACTTATTGTTCTGATTTTGTTTTTTCAGAACCTCCAGGTCCACCACAGAACCTGAAGCCAGGTCGTGTCGGTCAGTACTACGTCGCCCTGGAGTGGAACCCACCCAAGGAAGATGGTGGTGCTAAGGTCACTCACTACAAGATCGAGAAATGTGAGGAGAAGTCAAAGGAATGGGTCAAGGTCGATGAGGTCAAGTCCTACGACACAGCATACAAGGTCGAGAAGCTCAAGGAGAATGTTGGGTACTTCTTTGCTGTCACTGCAAAGAATCAAGTTGGCTATGGTGAAACTGCCGAGACTGACTCAGTCATCAAACCAAGAAAGCCAGAAGGTCAGTCCACAGATAGAGTTTTTGTTGTATATTATTCCAGTGATCTTTGACCATAAAAAGTTAACTAAACCATGTTTCAATTTGGGTAGTGACGTAGCCTTGATAAATTATTTAGTGTCAAGCTAAAAACCAAGGTTTTATTCCCATAATGGATACTATGAGTGAAACTTTGGTGTTTCCTTGCTGGGATATAACTGTGAAAGTGTAAGAATAATCTTCACTCTTTTTAAGGGTGTACTGTTTTGTATGTTTGTGGTAACATTTATTATAGTCCTTAAATCATTTGCTTTAGGACCTCCTGGTCCACCAAAGTCTCTCAAGACTGCTGATGTCGAGCGAACATCCCTGAACCTGGTCTGGGAGCCTCCAAAAGATGATGGTGGTTCACCAATCACAGGCTACATCATAGAGAGACGGGAAGCTTCTCGTACCAACTGGACCAAGATTGACCGTGTTGATGCCAAGACGCTGAAGACCAAGGCTCAGAATCTGGTGGAGGGCACAGAATACTCCTTCCAGGTGTCGGCTCAGAACAAAGTGGGAGTCAGTGAACCTATTGAAATAGACAGAGGTGTCACCCCCAAGAGCCAGTTCAGTGAGTATCTCAGCCACCGCATATAACAATTAGGATGCATCCTTGGTTGTACAGGGTATTACACATATCCATTCTAATATTATAATTACCCTTGACCCATTTACACCATTGGAAGTGATGACACAATCTCCATTTCTCTGATCACTAACTTAGCACAAAATTTCCCTTCCTCATGAACAAATATTTGATTGGGTGGCGACTGACTGTTGTGTCTTCAAATGACTCTATAATGCTATGGTCACAAATGGGTCCAGGGTATTAATCAGTACAGAAATGAGATTGATACACAGCATAATCAAGGATGAGTTTAATGTGGAATTTGAAAACTATTTGATAATTTTCTCTTGAGAATCTATCTGATGTGAAATGTGAAAGATCTTAGTGACCAAAATGAGATACCAAATGTTGTTGTTTTTTGTGTGAAACAATATGAATTAAAGATGTTTAGGAAGAATCTTGAATGTTTGCCTATGTTAGTGATAGATATATTCTGAGGATTAGTTTCTGTTAGTTATTCTATTTTCACATCAGTAGAATACTGATTTTATGGATTTATGCATGTAATTAGTTTTAGAGTGTCTATATATTTAACTTTATTTCAGCCAAGCCATCAAAACCAAGAGGACCCATTGATACAGACAATCTGACTGACCATTCCGTTGACCTGACATGGAAGGTTCCTGATGCTGATGGAGGTCTGCCCATCACTGGATACATCATCGAGTACAGACCAGCCACCAGATCCTCCTGGATGAAGTCAGGCAAAGTTGATGGAAAGACCTTGACCTTCACTGCAAATGACCTTCGTGAAGGCCAGGAATACTTCTTCCGGGTCATTGCTGTCAACGATGAGGGAGAGAGTGAACCACTCGAGAGCAAGGACACAGTCAAGCCTGTTAAAGAACTTGGTATGTTTTGATCAAATGTAAAACTGTGAATAAGTAGAAAAGCAGTTCCTCTTAAAGTAACTCATTTCAATATTTATTTGGACGAATAAGACAGGAATCTTTGTCTTGGTTTTGATGCATGGCTGACATCAGAAAAACATGTCAGTATTTTATGTATGCATGAAGAAAAGTAATTCTCTGCTGTCGATGCGGAATGTCAGATACAAGTTCCCTATGAACTAATGGCTGTTTGGAATTAAGCAATCCGTGAAGATCAGGGTTTGGATAGGTTTAGCAAACCATTCTTGCTGTAAAAGGCTATGCTTGTCGTAAGAGGAGACTAACGGGATTGGGTGGTCTGGCTCGCTGACTTGGTTGATGCATGTGATCGTGTAACAATTGCAAAGATCAATGGTCATGATGTCAATCACTGGATTGTCTGGTCCAGACTTGATTATTTCCAGTCCGCCGTCATGTAGCGGGAATATTGCTGAGTGCGGCGTTAAACCACAAACAAAGGTATTAAGCCTTTGAGTATGATCCTTTTATTACTCGTCTGAACTGCATCCTAATTGTACCTTTCATCTCAGAACCCCCAGGACCACCCAGGAACCTGAAGCCTGGTCGTGTCGGTCAGTACTACGTCGCCCTGGAGTGGAACCCACCCAAGGAAGATGGTGGTGCCAAGGTCACTCACTACAAGATCGAGAAGAAGGAGGAGAAAGCTAAAGACTGGACCACTGTGGAAGAAATCAAGTCTTACGACACAGCTTACAAGGTGGAGAGCTTGAAGGAAAATGTCGGCTTGTTATTCCGTGTATCAGCTAAGAATCAAGTTGGCTATGGCAGTTCTGTGGAAACAGATGCTGTCATCACACCCAAGAAGCCTGAAGGTGAGGACATGGATGCTAATAGTGATGAAAATTTATGGATGTGAACTCAATTCTACTGTCATTCCTTGATAGTGGCACCTTGATAATGGCATCTTGATATTGACTTATTGATAATGGTACCTTCATAACCATCCATTGGCAATACTATATCGATAATGTCATCTTCATGATGGTAACTTGATAATAACATATTGATAATGGTAGCTTGATATTGTATCTATGTTTGTTGTTGAATGCTGCACTCAGCAATTTTCCAGCTGTATGATAATGGTCTGTAAATAATTGAGTCTGGACCAGATCAATAATCTTAATTATAATCATAGTATCTTTGTCATCTTTTGGAGGAAAATAACATGGAATCATTGTAATTTTGGTAGCAGGTGTTCTGTAATAATGTGGAAATGCTCTCATTGTCAGTCCATAACATCAATGATCAGTTTAAATCCTTGTTCTTACAGGCCCTCCAAGTGCACCAGAAGGTCCAGTTAAGTTCTCTGATGTTGACCGCACAGCCTTGACCTTCAGCTGGTCACCTCCCAAATCTGATGGTGGATCTCCTCTCACTGGCTACGTTCTTGAGCGCCGGGAAGCATCCCGGCCCAAGTGGACACCACTTGACCGCGTTGGACCTAAAGTCCTCTCCCACAGGGCTGAGAAGCTTATTGAAGGCACTGAATACAACTTCCGTATATCTGCAGAAAACAAACATGGTGTCAGTGAGCCTCTTGAAACCGAAACTGGAACTGTCCTCAAGAGCCCATACAGTGAGTTCATGACTCGATTTAACAGATGATTGATTTCATAACATTTGTTTTACTTTTAATTGAGATTAATTCATTATCTTGATTGAATGAGGAGCAAAGCATTCACATAAAGTGTTAAATTACTGTCATGTAAAAAGGCAAAAACATGTAAACTTCTGGTCCTCCAAATTTGGGCGTTGATGTTGATGTATGCAGAGCTACAGATAAGAAGCGTATTTGGGTAAAATACCCCCCAAAATATTTAAAACCCAATTACTTTCAATTAACTTGCGTACAAACGCATGTATTAAATGAAAAACTGAAATGTATAAAAACAGCATGCGCAAATACCCAATGAAGCTTTTTTTAGCATGCATACAAAGGAGCTAATTTCCAAAACACAATTACGAGCTCATTTACTTCCCGAGTCAAGCCTATTGCTGTATTTATACTTGATGTGACCTTAGTATTGCACCTCCTTATATGGATACTGTATGCCATTCACAGACAAACCATCCAAACCTCGAGGTCCTCTGAATGTGGACAATGTGACCTGCGACACAGCTGATCTCACCTGGAAGTCCCCAGATAGTGATGGCGGTCTGCCCATCAAGCACTACATCATCGAGATGAGGCCAAGCAGTAAGATGGTATGGAGCAAGATTGGCAAGGTTGATGCTGACAAGACCTCCTTCACAGCTCAGGACCTGAAGGAAGGAACGGACTACTACTTCCGTGTCATCGCTGTCAATGATGAAGGCGACAGTGATGCTCTTGAGACCAAGGACACCATTAGGCCACTCAAGAAGATCTGTAAGTATTAAGCTTTGTGATAACTTTTGTGGAACATATTACAAACTACGCCTGTTTATGATTCTGTGAGAGTTTGACTGGACAGCCTTGTGATTAAAAAGGAACATTGCTCCATGACATGTTGCCAATTTCAAGCCAAGGCCTCAGTGCCATGAGTGAACCTGTTAATTATCTTTGTGTGTTCGACCGCCTCCATGGTCTAGTGGTAGAGCGTCTGCCCAGAGAGCGGAAGGTCCAGGGTTAAATCCCCGGCCGCGTCATACCAAAAGGCATTAAAAGATGGTACTTGTTGTTACCCTGTCTGGCGCTCGGCAATAAAGTTCTAAAACAAGGACTGCTCGGCCCGGAGTCCGTATACTTTGTCTGGGGTATCCATGTTAAACTGCGGCATGATATCTCAGTGTGCTAGCGTTATAAATCGGCATCAGTCCGGACTAGTACAAGCAGCCACACACACACATGCACATTGCTATATAAGCGCAATAATCTTGGACACAACGTTAAACCAAATTTCACCTCACCTCAAATCTTTGTGTGTTCAGGGTAATATTTAATTGCTGTAACTGCTCTAAACTTTAGATAGCAGATATAATATGGATAAAATTTTGCAAAATATGGAGCAAAAACATGCTTGATTTTGATTCTGGGAACAATGTTTGAAAAACAAGAAAAAAACATTGCACAAAGATATGAGACGTCCAATCATGTATGCAAGAGATGTTACAACACAAGCCAGGTGTTGATGCAAGATTTATGTTGTTCTTAGTGCCACCTGGATCACCAAGGAGTCTTAAGGTCACCAAGGTTGGTCCTGACTTTGTCATGCTTGACTGGAAGGCTCCTCTGGAAGATGGCGGAGCTAAGATCACCAACTACAAAATTGAGAAGTGTGAGGATACATCTGACGAATGGGTGAAAGTTGAAGAAGTCAAGTCCTATGACACCAGCTTCAAGGTGGAGAAACTGAAGGAGAATGTTGGCTACTACTTTGCTGTATCTGCCAAGAATGAGGTCGGCTTTGGTGAACCCGCAGAAACAGAAGATTCTGCCAAGCCTAAGAAGCCTGAGAGTGAGTAACTTACTTTCAGCTGTCATGAATGTGTGATAGTTTGTGTTGTGTGTGTCGAATTCATTAATCTCTGCCATAGTGGATTTGTATTCAAAGTCAGATGGCCAAGTTATCTTAGTTATTAGGATTGTTATTAGTTTGATTCCTAAATTTGCCTTGATTATTCACCATCGCTCTCAGCACCTTTCTCATGCTTATTGGTAAACACCTGTGTCACTATGAGATATCCTCCCACATAATATTGATATGCTTCAGGTGAACCTGAATACTGTAGTGAATAACAATTATGACAACTCTCTTACTCACCATTACAAGAAAGTTTGAAATGTAGTGAGAGATGTATTATGCAGCGGTAGAAACTAACAGTTTTGGTCCACTGGTCCTTATAATGATAACATATAGCCAAACCCTTCAAAATGGCAAATTTCTACCGGTCCTTATGATACCTTAATTATAAGGGAGTTTGGCAAGGACGACAGGACTAGTGCCAATTTCTAAAGCTGTATTATGTAGTTTAACCAGTTATGCATCATAAACAAGGACTATATTTGAAGGTCTGTCTGTAGTATATCATGGAAGATATGCAGTGTATTCCACTCCAAATCATATATAGACAGTAGAAAAAAATCTTCATGGAGGTACATCTTGCATCTTGTCTTTTTCAGCCAAGCCACACAAGTGTGAGAACCTGACTGTCAAAGATCTGGAGCGCACAGAACTGACTCTGGAATGGACTCCACCAAAGAATGATGGAGGATCACCCATCACTCAATACATCCTTGAGAAGAAGGAAGCAAAGCACCCCACTTGGTCCCGCGTCGACAAGGTGTCCTCAAAGAAGACCTCCCATCACGTAGCTAACCTCATTGAAGGCACTGAATACGTGTTCCGCATCTCAGCTGAGAACAAACATGGTGCCAGTGAACCGCTGGAGACAAGCAAGGGCTACACTCCTAAGAGTCTCTATGGTAAGTCTTCTTACTGTGTGATCTGGCTGGTTGTGTGCCATCATTAGAACATAGCCTTGAGCGTGGTCATTTTGTCTGGCCAACTCTTAAATTATTTACAGGGCACTATGATAGATGACTGTGGAGTCAAACAGGATTCACTTATCACTTGATTTCGGTTCTTTATTATGCCCCAAACACCCACCTCACATATTTCACTAGAAAATTCTGGTACAGAAATTTGTCATTCAGGCACTGTTTTGTGTTTTAATATCATGAATTGTGATGTGCAAAAACATTAGTTTTTGATGAAACCACATTTGTGACTTTATTAATATTAATAGAGAGAAAAAAAGCTCACAACTGCGCTCATTGATTTACAAATAGCAACTTCATCGAACATAATATAGGATGACGTCACAAACAAGAAACGTGACTCCATTGACATCAAATAGCAATAGAATAGATAGCAGCCCATTGTTTGGGAAATGCGGACTGCTTTCAAGTTCCTGAAGATTTCTGATTTCTGATTTCTGCGGGCAATTTTATGATAATTATATCCATTTAGCAATAATAATTGTTTAAACGTCCACATTTAATGCATTATATATTCCATTGTTAACATTTGTGTTTAAACTAAAGCATTGTATCGGAAACATATGTACTGGTCCTGTCATTTATACCGGTTGTAGGGGCGGTCGGGTAGCCTAGTGGTTAAAGCGTTCGCTCGTCACGCCGAAGACCCGGGTTCGATTCCCGACATGGGTACAATGTGTGAAGCCCATTTCTGTAGTCCCCCGCCGTGATATTGCTGGAATATTGCTAAAAGCGGCGTAAAACCATACTCACTCACTCACTCACTATACCGGTTGTAAGTGTCAAATTTTTATTTTGACATCACATATGCGATGAATATACAAACAGTGTACACTTTTCGGTAAATAAATTTGGTATGGTATCTTTAGTTGCCATATACAGTGTCATATTAGGTTAGATGAAAAATATTATTTCTTGTCGGCAACTAAAGACACCATAACTAATAGTATTATAACTGTATGAATATTGGTGAAGGGAGTTCTAAGTTTTCCAAGTTGTGGTAATGGAGAATTTTGAGAAAGGGGGAACTTGAATTGGGATGCGATTATTGCAAGGCTGCTTGATGTAAGTAGTTCCTTGATGGATGACGACCAGCTTGTATCCTGGCTCATTGTGTGTAGTTATATCCTGTGGATTGTTGATCATACTATCAGCCATTGGTTTCATTGGTTCAGACTTGGTTACCTTAAAGCTACTATGATGCACTTGACTGGGGCATTAGTATCATCCACTCACTCACTCCTTCTGTGGGAATGTTAATTCAGAAAGAACTCAATCTGATTGTAAAATATACCCTCTATCTGCAGTTTCAACTTAACAGATGCATATTGTTATGAAAAGATTTCTACTTTTGTGTATTTCTTGTTCCATTGTCTGTATGAATTTTGAGTCTATTGTACTCATTTCATGACATCCCCTGTCCTCAGATAAACCAAGCAAGCCCCTTGGTCCACTCAAGTTCTCTGACATTACCCATGAGTCTGTGGTCCTGACCTGGCAGCCATCTGAGAGTGATGGAGGAACGCCACTCACTGGCTACCTCATAGAGTACCGTGATGCTCGCCGACCTACCTGGATGAAGACAGCCACTGTTGGCCCTGACGTCCACAAGCACACAGTCCAGGATCTGATAGAGGGTTCGGAGTACTTCTTCCGTGTGACCGCCATCAATGCTGAAGGTCACAGCCAGCCCCTAGAGAGCAAGGATGCCGTCAAGCCTCAGAGGGAGCTGAGTAAGTACAAAACATGGATTTGTCATGTTCTCAGGTGCTTTCATTTCTGAATTGAGAATGTATTAATAAATATGAAACTCGGTCGGGACTGTCAGCTTTAACTGCTGAATAGAAAATAAGGTTTGATATAACAAAATCAGGTATGGTAAGTTAAAATTAAGCCAGAATGAACTATTCTTAAGATTATCATTTGTCATTATCATCCCTGCCTGCCTCCATTGAAAATCTTCAGGTAAACTTATTTTATGTTTGTTGAGAGTCAAGCCATGAAGAATAGTACCTGTGTGTCTAAAACAAGGACTTGTCTTCTCAGGTACCCCCAACAGAAGAAATACATCATTAACATCATGATAACCAATGAATATAAATAAATAACACTTAAGTACCACAACGTTTTATGCTCAAATAAGATGAGGCCAGATTTGATTTAACAAGGTCAGATAATGTAAAATAATGACATTGAGACCAGTATGAATAAGTCAGATCATCATCCCAACCTGGCTCACACTCTTTATAGCATCCTGCATTGTTTCATGTGATTTGCTTGGCCCAAATGACCAATTTAATCACCCTGCTCTTTTTGCATAAAAATTAAAATAAAATACCATCCTCATCACTTTTCTTGAAACACTGTATGATAATTTATGCCAAACTATTATGTGAATCAAAAAGACATATTTCCTTCTGTTGCCTTATGGCCCTGGCTGATACTATTTTGTTTGGACAAACACAATAAAGTTTTGGGATTTTAGATTGTCCAAGGTTGATCTCAATATATTTCTTATGCTGTCATTTCCTTCTTCCAGGCCCTCCAGGTGCTCCTGCTGGAATCAAGGTCAAGGACATTGGCAAGGATTCTGTTACACTCACATGGACACCACCAAAGGATGATGGAGGTTCCAAGGTGACAGGTTACGTTATCAAAGTGCGCGAAGAGAAGAGCAAAGAATGGACGAGTGCTGGCAATGTCCGTGGCACCGATAGTACATTCGTTGTCAAGAACCTGAAGGAGGAACATGGATACTTCTTCTCAGTGACTGCTGAGAACAAGATTGGCACTGGTCAAACTCTGGAAACAGACAGTCCAATCTCACCTAAGAGACCAATTGGTGAGTGTTGATCAGGAACAAACAGCCATACATGTACATAAATGGACAAATATCATACACAATCAAACAAGTTCACACTTCCTTTCTTTGTTATGTCCACCCTACATGAGTTTATTTCCTTATATTTTTATAAACTTCTTAAACATTATACCAAGTTTGTTCTGTCAAAGAAATGAAATGGGTTAACCTTAATTACATAATCACATGATGTATCTGACTGCAAATGACAAGAATTTACTTTGTTATAATGAATAATCTTGTTTATCCTTGCATCAGATTTGATGCAAACATTGGTTTAGATCTAGATACTTGCCAAGGGTTTCTGTCAGTACCTAACTCTAGATACTCACCAAGGCATCCTTTCCTTTCTAGCCAAACCAGCAACCCCAGAAGGCCCTATTGTCTTCAGTGAAATCCAGAAGACCAGTCTGACCTTGACCTGGAAACCCCCGAAGAGCGATGGAGGATCTCCTCTCACCGGCTATGCCATCGAGCGCCGTGATGGCTACAAGATGACCTGGTCTCCAGTTACCATAGTGAAGCCAAACATGACCAGCTTCTGTGTCCAGAACCTCAAGGAGGGACAGGAATATGTGTTCCGAGTCTCTGCTGAGAACCTCATGGGCAGATCTGAAGCTCTGGAATCAGACAAAGTCATTCCGAAGAGTCCATTCAGTATGTATTATCATTATGTTTATTGTTCTTGAGTACATTGATTTAAAGATGATGAGGGTCTGTTGAAGTGGATCAGACATTGTGCCTACTTTTAGTATTAATTCATAATGTACAAAAGAATCTAGGCGTTACATTTTACTCTGTAATAAATTTATCATTACTTGTCATCAAATGTAACCATCTGATTGGCTTTACAAGTCTGCCAGCCTATACAGACATCCTGATGTTATTGTGCTTAATGTAATATCACTTGCTTGCCTTGACTTAAATTGCCTTGATTCTGTTTGCAAGTTTCCCTACAGAGAATGTAACATGTCTAATTGTGACAGAAAAATATTTAACAGAAATAAATCTCTGTAACTTGACCTTGTTATCTGTATTAAAATCCCGGATTACAAGATTTTAGAAGGTGGACATTCAAATTGACCTTGCCTATGTACAAAGCAATTTTAACATCTACTATTGCTATTGCAGAGGTACCCAGTGCCCCAGAGGCTCCCATTGAGGCAACAGAGATCACAGCCACAAGTGTCAGCATCAAGTGGAAGCCACCCAAGTCTGATGGGGGTACCCCACTCACTGCGTACATCATCGAGCGCCGTGATGCTACACGCATGACCTGGATCAAGGTCGACAAGGTCAAGCCAAACATCACCACCTATTGCATCCAGGATCTGGTCACAAACAACGAGTACTTCTTCCGTGTCATCGCTGAAAATGCAGAGGGCATGAGCCCACCTTTGGACTCACCCAAATTCAAGCCCGTTAGAAAAGCAGGTCAGTGTCTTTAATGTTTAACAGTTGATTGTTATATGCCTGTAAAATGTACTTCTCTGGGTTCAGGCCGTTTGTATCATATGTACAATTTGGCTGCTGTCATATCTTTTTGAAGATGTAAATTCATGATTAACGCTTCTACTCTTAATTCTTAAAGCATACCTGGTTTGGGGCAAAAGTAGGGGTCATGAATATATTTATACTATGAGAAATCCTCCCACACATTTGGGGACACCAAGAAGGTTGTCACACATTTTACCCTTCTGGGGCATTGAACCCAAGGTTTTGGTGTAAAGAGTGACCTTCTAAGCTGACCTATATGGGACAATTTTAGCATTAACATTGCTTTGTGGAACGGGCCCTACAGTATTTATGGTGACAGACAACTGACAAGCACCATGTGTTATATCTCCAGAGGCACCCACACCACCAAAAGGACCAGTCCGCTTCAGTGATGTGGAAGCAACATCTCTGACCTTGACCTGGTATGAGCCAGAAGATGATGGTGGATCACCACTCACAGACTACATCATCGAGGTCAGCTCAGACAGCACCGACTGGACCGAGTTCAAGAAGGTGGACAGCCGGAAGACCGAGTACAAGGCTCACAACCTGAAGGAGGGCAAGAAGCTCTACTTCCGCATCAAGGTTGCCAACGATGTTGGTGTCAGCAAGCCAATTGAGGCTGAGCCTGTCACACCAAGAAGACCCCCAGGTGAGTCTTAATCAGTAGCAGAAAACAACACAGGTTACCAGAGGATCACAGATTTTGAAAAAGGGGGTTGTGCACTACTCTCGTCATGAAGTGAACAAAAAAACAGGGAAGGACTGACGGGTTGACATGGAAGGTTTTGAAACAAGTGGGGTGTGAACTGGGGAGATGCAGACTATGTTCATCAGTACATTTGCTGAATAGGACGAGATATGACAAGGGTCCTTAATATGTTCATATAATGTTTTTAAAGTTTTGTTCATTTTTTTAATTCTGCTGATCTAGTGGGTTGAAAGGATCCTTGTCATACCTTGTCTTTTTCTCAGATTAATTCAAGGTAAAAGACTTACCAGCCTGATGCTAATGGAGAATGTCATTCTCCAAAAGATGCCTCATAAACCAGTTAGAACAGTGGTGATTGTCCTCAGTTTCTGTAAATTGACATGACAGCAAGATTCCTGTATTTTCGCCCTTTAATTCAGGGTAATATACTATTGCTAAAAGAAGATGTTGTTTTCACAGAGCTGCCAGGCAAACCAGTAGGACCTCTTGAAGTACTGGACATCCAACGTACCAACATCAGCATCAGATGGAAGCCACCCAAGGATGATGGCGGTGTACCACTCACAGCATACGTCATTGAGAAGCGGGATGCCAAGAGGATGACCTGGGCAAAGGTTGATCGAATCAAGCCAGACATCACCACATATACTGTCCAGAACCTTGTTGAAGGCAGTGAATACTTCTTCCGTGTCTTTGCTGAAAACTCAGTGGGACTTAGCAAACCTCTCGAATCAGAGAAGGCATACATCCCCAAGAGTCCATTTGGTGAGTTTGAATTGATGGATCCTCTTTTATATCTTTGTTTTTAATTACCGATACCTGGAGCTTAGTTAAATTGAGGATACGTCTTCCCTTTCTCAGGTGTTAATGGGGTCCCAGAAGTTCACTTGTCACATTGAAAGTCTGACTTTGATTCTCCTCATGGAAACAGCTATAGGCAATCATGTTATGTTTTAGTGATCCCACAATGCTATGAATGCCACTTGTCAGTATCAAATGTGGAAGATCTATTTTTAACAAATTACTCTCCAAATTATCACCAAACTTTGTGACAATGTATTGAATGGTATTGTCTTCTCTTATTTCAGATGTTCCATCTGCACCCACTGGACCAATCAAGGTGTTCGATGTGACTGAGGACAGTTGTGTGTTGGAATGGAAGCCCCCTCAGAGTGATGGTGGAACTCCACTCACCAAATACATCATCGAGATGCGTGATGTCCGTCGCTCCGTGTGGAACAGAGTTGACGAGGTCAAGCCAACAGAACTGGAGTATGAGGTGTTCAACCTGGTGCTGGGCAACGAGTACATGTTCCGCATCATTGCAGTCAATGCAGAGGGAGAAGGACCTCCTCTCAACTTGATCGAAGCAGTCCAGCCAATGAGAGAACTAGGTCAGTTGGTCCACAAGGAAAATAATTCTGTTGCTTACCTTCATGTAGGAAAGTCTCCTTTGATGATTCAAGGTCAGAGTAGTAGTCTAGCTCCCTTGCTTGTCATAAGAACAGATTTAAATGAGATTCTGGTAATCGCCATGTGTGCTTGGGCTGACTTGTGTCACTGTATGATCATTACTTCTTCTATCAACTACTATTGAATGGCCATGACAGGGCTGTAGTCATATGGCTGAAATATTGCTGCTGTGGCACAAAACAACAATCACTCACATTGAATTTGAAGGAAAGTGCTCAGAAAAGCTGCATGCAAAAATTGCTACAGAATTATTGTGGAGCAAAGCTATTTTCACTCACTCATGTACAAGAGGTTTTCGTGAAAGAAATTAGGCAACCTTTTTTGTAAGCCTGAGAGTCCCACATTGTAACATAATATTCTTTAACTTCCTCAGAACCCCCAGGCCCCCCACTGTTTGTGCGGGTCAGCAAGATCACCAAGAAGTCTGTCACTATTGACTGGGGTACACCCTCTGATGATGGTGGCTCCAAGATCACTCGCTACCACATCTACACCTCAAAGAAGACAAGGGGAGAGTGGAAGGAGGTTGCCAAGGTCAAGGCCTTTGACTCTGACTATGAAGTACAAGATCTTGAGGAAGGCCAAGACTACTTCTTCGCAGTTGCTGCAGAGAACGAAGTCGGCATTGGCAAGATGGCAGAAACAGAAGCTGCTGCTAAGCCCCAGAAACCAATGGGTAAGAAGAAGAGGAAGAGGATGTTTAAATTATCTCAGTAGACAAGTTTTGATTTATACTAATATAATATCCAGGTAATATTTCAGTAAAAATTGAAAGATCTCTTTCTCATTTTCTACTTTATTGCAGAACGACCTTCACCTCCAACCCCACCACTTGAAGCCACAGACGTTCAACGGGAACAGGTGACCTTGACCTGGAAGGCATCAAAGAGTGACGGTGGTTCGCCTATCTTGCATTATGTCCTGCAGAAGCGTGAAAGCTGGAAGACATCTTGGACAGAGGTCACTAAGGTCAAGCCGAACATATTCTCATACTGTGTCCAAAACCTGCGTGAAGGCCAAGAATATTACTTCCGCGTGTTTGCAGAGAACCAGGTTGGAGCATCTGATGCCATCCAGACCGAGGTCGGCATTACTCCAAGATCTCCATTCAGTAAGTACTTGGTTAGCATGCGGGTTTTGGGCTTAATGCTGGTATTCTAACAGGTTCTTGTTTACATGGAACTAACATGACCATAAACAGTTTTGGACTTTTTGGCCTGATCACTTTTAACATTATACAAACAATGACTTTTGGCTGGGTCATTATGCAAAAACAAGGACCCAAGGACCCAGCCCCTTTGCTGGTCTGACTGGACCGAGGCAATTGGCCATGGTCCAGTCACAGCAACGAAGGGTTGGGTTAAACAGATACTGCAAAGTTTATTGTTTGTGTATGTGTTGTTGTTTACAATACTGATATTCCAATAACAACTTATATCCATTGTACGAATAACCCTAAATTCATTTGTGACAGGATGTAATTGCATATTCAGAATATTTGGCTAGACCTGTGGTTTATTGTTATTGAATTCTTTTGCCAAAAATGCAGGAAGTGAAAAGGTTTTTAACTGATTTGAAGCCAATTTCATCTGATGCTCAAAGAAAATCCAAATATGAATTATATACTGTAAGAGTAAAATATTTTATTTGGAAATATCTGTTACATTTTACAATAGTCATTTTTAGTGTCTTGAAAAAGCTTTTGGAATAGAAGTTCAAGTAATGATATTTTCACTTTGTGCAGGTTTATTCGTGGTCTGGCCTTGAGAATATCTTTTAATATCACCTGTAACTTCTGTGCTTAAGCTAATCATTGTAACAATGTTGTTGGTTATTTGTCACTAATGACCTATTCTGTTCACTATTTGGTGTGCTTCTACTCACATATTGACCCAAACAGATTTTATGAGTATTTAATGGTGTATTATCTCCTCACCAACACAGCTGTCAATTGTTTAATGGCTAGATCACTACACTAATAATTTTGCCCCTTGTTTCTCAAATATATTCTTCGGAATGTTCATGACAGGATGTGCTGATCAAAGAATCAAAATCTAGTTCCACCTGGATTATAATCCTTGGTCTGTCAAGTCGTCTAAGGTGCCGCGATTCTCTGTGTAGAGTTGCGTCCCTTGGGCATGCCAGAAACCTATGATTGTGGGTTTGAATCCCGGTTCACCCCGTTTATGTTTCTAGGTTTGTCAGCACCATACCCGTGCTCATGGGTTTCACCGAAGTGGTAAACGTCTGAGACTTCCATCACTTCGGGCTTTCCTCCCACATTAAGCTGACAGGCTGCGATATAACTTGAATACTGTAAAAAGCGGCATTAAACCCAACTCACTCACTCACTCACTCATTCACTCACTCACTGGTCTGTCAACAATTTACCTCAATTGTTACCCATGTTGCAAATGTCCATGACCTGTATCAATTTAGGCTCTACACCAACATTAAGCTGACATGCTGTGATATATAACTGAAATAATGTTGAAATTAGAGATACACCCAACTCATTCACTCTTTTACCACCTCAGTGGTATAATTGATAGAACATCTGCCCAGGAGCAGAATGTTGGTGGTTCGATCCCTGGCCGCATCATACCAAATGACATTTGACAGTTTTGTGTTGCACCCATTGTTGAATTCCCGTAACACCAGTCATGCCGAGACAAGATGGAAACATTCTCACATATGTAAAATGTGCATTTCTAAAAGCTGATCTTAAAAGTTAATTCGCAAATTTTTGGATTTGGATTGGTGCTAGATATTCCGTGCAGTGAGTCTGATTGGCTAATCTGGTCAACCAGGAGCTCTGACTGTAACACTGACTCGGAATAAACATTGGAATTCAAGATGTCTGCCTCATTAAACTTTTATATTAATATTGTTTCAATGTTGTCTGTGATGACTAACTGTGACTAACCAGTGTTCTATTAACCAATCAAATTACAGATGTGCCTTCAGCCCCAGAAGGCCCTCTTGAGGTACTAGAGATAACAGCCAGAACTGTAACTATCCAATGGAAAGCACCCAAATCTAATGGTGGCCTTGCCCTTACTGCTTACTATATTGAGCGTCGTGACAAAAAACACACGGCGTGGCTTAAGGTGGACATGGTGAAACCCAGTATCAAGTCTTATTGCATTCAGAAGTTGTTGGAAGGAAATGAGTACTTTTTCCGCGTGATTGCTGAAAATCCAGAAGGACTCTCAGAACCATTGGAGAGCCTTGAAGCAGTCATGCCCAGGGAGAAACCAGGTTAAGATCTAGATGCTGTTAGCTGTTACTGTATAGCAGAACAGATCCATTCAAGTACACAGCATGCCTACACAAATGTCTTTGCCAACATTTTTGTCGATTTAATATTCCTTTTATGAGTGATTTTCATCAATTTGTTTGAAATAAATATGCAGACTTTTATGTATTTACACACAATTATTCATAAATTTGGATATATTATACTACTCATCCTTTGATAAGGATAATCGGATATGTCATTCTATTCAAAAATACACTCATTGAAAGATAAAAGTATAAGAAGTATGTAATTTTTGTTTCTTTAGATTAATATTTATGAAAAAACTCTAGAGAAGTTATAGATATTATTATAATCATCAATGTATTCAATCTAGTATTCCAAATCAAATCACTCAAATCACTCACTCGCCCAAATCAAAGTAATATATTGTCACAATAAGACCTCCTTCCTGCATTAATAACAGAATAATTTCTGCCTCTAGCTCCTCCTCTTGCACCGATTGGACCAGTCCGCTTCCACAACATCTTGGCAACATCTCTGGCGCTTGATTGGCTGCCTCCGAGAGACGATGGTGGAGAACCAATCACAGAGTACCTCATTGAGGCCTGCTTGAAGGGAGGCGAATGGTTTGAAGTTGGAAAGACAAACTCAACCACCACCAAACTGAAGGTCAAGGATCTTACTGAGGGCAAGACGTACGAATTCCGTATCTGTGCACGAAACAAGATTGGTCTTGGCAAACCACTGGAGTCTGAGCCTGTTGTACCATGCAGACCTCCAGGTGAGATTGTACATCTTCTAGATAGGCAGGACCAGAAGGGGGTTCACACCTATCAAATAGTGTCGTATCCAAACTAATGCATTCTGAATTTTAGTCTCATTCCACCATCAAAGTTCCTAATTCTGGTATAACTATCATGTCATTAAAATATAGATATATTTGTCAATATCTGCAATCCAGAATTGGAAATAACACAGAGATGAAAAATGCTTATCTTAATTCAAGTGCTTTCACATGAAAATGATTGGGATGTATAAGTTTTCATTCAAAATGGGAAGCTCTACCTACACCTGACGTGTGATATTGCCTCAAGCTTCGTCCATTTATTTCATTCCATCCAAATAAGACCATCTGACAGTAAATAACTGGTCATGTTTAACTCATTTGCCGTGAGCTTCTGTCATGATACTTGTGCATGGAAATGACAGTCTTCGTCTCCCTTCAACAGAGGTTCCATCTCGACCAGTTGGGCCCATCAAGGTGTCTGACATCACCAGGTGCTCCTGTGTTATTGCCTGGAAAGAGCCAGAGGATGATGGAGGCTCTCCTCTCAAATCCTACATCCTGGAGAAGCGAGACATGAACCGTACTAAGTGGAACAGGATTGACAAGATCGATGCTTCCATCACCAACTTCTGCTGCCAGAACCTCCAGACTGGATCGGAGTATTACTTCCGTGTCAGTGCTGAGAACAAGATAGGAGTTAGTAAACCACTTGAGATGGACAAACCTGTTCTCATCAAGAGTCCTTATGGTGAGATATATTTTCAAGAATGAATGGTATCTTTTGTGTCATTTGGATAAGGTAAAGAGGAAATCGGGTCCATTTTAAAAAAACCAAGGCCGTCTTGTGGTTAAAGCGGTCACTTTTACATGAGGATTCAATTCCCCACATGGGTACAATTTGTGAAGACCATTCCTTTGTCCCCTGTCTTGGTGTTGCTAATAATATAGAGCCATATCCTTTCATAAGAACACTGTCTTTCAGATGTTCCATCAGCGCCCAAGTTCCTAAAGGCAGCCAATGTCAATGAGAAGACAGCAGACATCGAATGGAAGGCACCAGACAGTGATGGAGGTCGACCTCTCACTGGCTACATCATCCAGTTCCGTGAGTCACGTCGTTCCATCTGGAACACCTTCTGTGAAGTGGAAGCCACAATGACCTCCATCAAGCTGACAGACCTGGTTCCTGGCAATGAGTATGTCGTGGCTGTAGTGGCAGTTAACGAAGAGGGACAGAGTCCCCCAGCCATCCTCTCTGAGCCAATCAGACCACAGAAACACCTCAGTAAGTTCTACTCAGATATAGACACTTATCGATTCTCATTTAACAAATTCTTGAGTCTTTGGTTTTATTCTAAAGTTTCCTTCAATATGAGGTGTGGTGGGATCTACGTCAAGGATATAAAGGTATATATTCAATATGGGTATAACATGTCCAGTCTTTTCTTCGTCTCCTTGAGGGACGGTGGGGTAGCCTAGTGGTTAAAGCATTTTCTCATCACGCCTAAGACCTGGGTTCGATTCCCCACATGGGTACAATATGTGAAGCCTATTTTCCAGTGTCACCCGCCATGATATTGCTGGAATATTGCTTAAAGTGGCATAAAACCATACTCACTCACTCACTCATCTCCCTGTTATATGCTGGAATAATTCTGAAAGCAGAATCAAACACTGGTACTCACCTCTGCACCAAAAGGTTGCCAGCGTCATTAGATAGTATCCTTATTTCAGTGGTTGAAGTCTACAGGCAGCAGAATCAATTGCTGCTTCATCTTTATGATGGCAATAAGCATACATATCTTTTTGCTGCAGAGGATTGTCCTTGTTGCATAAAACCCTGGGGAAGAAATAGTATTTCTGTTTGGAAGGAAACATTTGGACAAGAAACAGTAGGGTTGCCAATTTGTTAATCCCATTTGAGTACAATATGTGAAGCTGATTTTTTATGTCCTGTGATATTGCAGGAATATTACTAAAATTGGTATGAAACCAAAATAACTCAATTAGGCTTTTAGGAAATGGGTCAAGGATTTTGTTCAGATTCTCATTCACTTCCTTCAACAGGAGTTCCAGGACCACCGGAGGCCCTCCAGCTGAGGAACATGACCAAGGTGGGTCTTACCCTGGAGTGGAACCCACCATCAGACGATGGCGGCACCAAGGTCCGACGCTACCACATCGAGAAGTGCACCATCGACAGCAAGGAGTGGGACCGAGTGGAGACAGTGGAACATTACCGCTCACACTGTGGGGTGTCAGGACTGAAACCCGAGGTGGACTGGTTCTTTGCTGTTGTTGCCGAGAACGATGTTGGTGTCAGTGAACGCTGTGTCTCCAAGAAGCCAGTTAGATTTGACAAACCAATTGGTAAGATTTTGACATGTATATTGACACTCTGTTCCACTCGCATTAATATTCATGAACCAGTGGTGTTAATGGGAAAACATTTGTCAGACATATTTGATAAAGGGAAGAGACTGGTTGCTTGCAGAGTCAGATTGAAAATCCATTAAAGCAAAGCACATGATGCAGAGTTATAGTAAAACATAGGAAGAAAAGGAGTTAAATGGAGACAATGCTGTCAATGCTTTTGAGAGTCTGAGACAAATGGGTAATGGGCTGTTGGGGTGGTTTGATGGTCAATGGGTTCAATACATTTCATGTGGACAACATGTGAAGCCCATTTATGATGTCCCATGTCATGGTAAGGCTACGTGTTGACTAATGTTGATGTTAAATTCTATTCTCACGAAGTCAAAAACTCCACACTTTACAGTTGCTCCATCACCACCTGTTGGTCCAATGGTGGCGTCCGACGTGAACCGTCGTGGTTTCCGCGTAACCTGGAAGCCAAGTGAGAGAGATGGTGGCTCCCCCATAACCGGCTACGTTGTTGAGAAGCGTGAGGCATGGAAGTCCACATACCTTCCAGTGGAGAAGGTGCCAGCCAAGGTGCTAAGCTGTGACCTGACTTTCCTCATTGAGAATCAGGATTACATGGTGCGCGTCATGGCAGAGAACATTGTCGGACAGTCTGAACCGCTGGAATCAGACGACCCAATCACAGCCAAAAGCCCCTACTGTGAGTAGCCATGGCTTTTTACAGACTTGTACATGACCCTGTGATAGGAACATTTTTGGGAGATTAAGTTTGAATGACAGTGATGTTATTATTTCAAAATCATGAGGACTTGGAATATTATTATTGATGAATATGCTTTGATTGTGTCATTCTCAGTCAAAAAGAAATGTTTCACAATCAATTGACAAATAAAACTAGACTGGACTGGTGAGTGCGTGAGTGAGTGAGTGCATTAGTGCGTGAGTGAGTGAGTGAGTGAGAGGTATTAAACAACGAACAAACAAATATTAGAGCAAACAAATATTTAATCTACATGTATCTCCCATGACAGCACCACCTGGACCACCAGAGTCTATCACAGCCGCCGACAGCACAGAAAACACTGTCACACTCAAGTGGAAACCACCCAAGACAGATGGAGGTCTGCCTATCAAGGAATACATTGTGGAACGTCGGGACAAGAAGTATGGATCATGGATCAAGCAGGATGTCACTCGTGGCTCGATCCTCACCCTCGAGGTCACCAGGCTGACCGAGGGCACTCCATACTTCTTCCGTGTCTTTGCTGAGAATGAGGAGGGTATCGGAGCTCCATGTGAGATGAAAGAACCAGTCATACCAATGCGAGAGCCAAGTAAGTAATTGATTTATTAATGAAAATCATAATGCCATCTTTAAAAAATATGTAAAAGTTAATTTAATTATTTATGTATCAAATGTTCCTGTCAGGATTCCTATGCAGAAAATGTCCAGGGCTTGTTGTAATGGCCGACTAAAATGAGAATCGGATGGTCACAATGTGTGACAATGTGTGTATCATACCCTCATGGCCTGATTGTAATGTAGGTTATCAATCACTAGTTTGCCTGGCCCAGACTTATTTATTTTGAAAACTCTGTGATAGTTAAAATATTTTTTACAGCGTAAATCAACACTCACTTATATCATGCAACATGTAAATAGGCTTTGAATTGTAAAAAATGAATATGATGTCATTTTCATTTCAGAGCCTCCTGGTATTCCAATTGGACCGATCAAATTCCGCGACATCGGAGAAGACTTTGTGACACTGGACTGGCACCCACCCCGAGATCCTGGTGGCATCCCCATCATCGGCTACAAGGTGGACGTAACACGAGACCTTGACACCTGGACCGAGGTGGCCACGACAGACTGTGGCATTACTTCAGTCAAAGCTAAGGAGCTGATACCAAACAAGAAGCACTACTTCCGTGTGTTCGCCATCAACCGTATTGGCAACAGCAAACCCCTCGAGTCGGAACCTGTCGTGCCCAACAGGCCCCCAGGTTAGTCTCTAACCCCATTGGCTTGGAATAGTTGATTACACGTCGATGAACACGAATATAAGAGGGATCTTGTTGCTGTGACTATTGTGAGTCTGTGTGTTCAGTCGTGCCCCACAGGCCCCAGGTCAGTCTCTAACCCCATGTAACATTGGCTTGGAATAGTTGATTACACGTCGATGAACACGAATATAAGAGGGATCTTGTTCCTGTGACTATTGTGAGTCTGTGTGTTCAGTCGTGCCCCACAGGCCCCTGGTCAGTCTCCATCCCCATGTAACATTGGCTTGGAATAGTTGATTACACGTCGATGAACACGTATATAGGAGGGATCTTGTTGCTGTGACTATTGTGAGTCTGTGTGTTATGGTACTCAGATATGTTGTGTAACAATGCCTGACAAATAGTAGCTTCATTTACTTCAGCATCATGGCCAAGGTGTTAAATCACTAATCTGTTTTAGTGCTGCAAATACTCTAAGTTATGTCAGTCATCATGGCACTGTTTTGGTAGACAAGGCCTGAAAAGTGAAGCCTTGAAGTTAAGGCAAAGCTAACATTACTTTCTGTTATAAGCATAGGCGAATCCAGAGAGCAGGGGTCCAAGGGTCCGGATTTTGAATTTGTTTTACAGACCAAACCCTCCAAACCCCCCCCCTCTACTGACAGAAGAATTTGACATTTTGGACCACTCCCTTTTAAAAAAATTCATGGACTCATCTCTTATTTCACAATGAACTGTTCTTGCACTGTTTATGACTGTGTCTAGGTTTTTTTTTGCCAATGCGGGAATCAGTATTCCTTTGATCAGGATCACAGTTATTCATAGATTTATTTCCAATAATGAAAAGTCATATTTGGTAGATCAAACATCACCATAAGATAAGTCAATATTTAACATGCACACATTGGTATTCACTATCCAGGTGAACCAGGCAAGCCAGTTGGTCCAATTGAAGCTATGGATATTGAACGAGAAGCAGTGACCTTGACCTGGAACCCACCAGAGGATGATGGTGGCAGTCCAATCACTCACTACCTGCTGGAGAAGCGGGATGTGATGAGAGCTCATTGGTCACATGCAGAGAAGACCTCCAGCACCTCATGCAAGTCCAAGGTGAAGAATCTGACAGAAGGAACCGAGTTCTACTTCCGTGTCATGGCTGTCAACAAGATAGGAGCTGGCATACCTCTTGAGAGCAGACCCATCTTAGTCAAGAGTCCATTTGGTAGGCATTTCTCTATCAGTCCGGTGATGTGCACTGTAATGGATTCCTGTTCATGTGATAATTTCTTGAAACTGAAACAGGAAACAGCAAGAGTGACCATTTGTATTAATTGGTAAATTTGCAAGATTCAATAAATACTGAGGTTTTCTAATTTGAACAAATATGTTATCAAACTGATCTTTAATACTGTTCAAATCTTGATGTTAAACGTAATGTCTGCAGATGTACCATCTCCACCTGTTGGCCCTCTGGCCATCTCCAACGTCACTGACTCAAGCGCTGACCTAGAATGGAAACCATCAGAAGACGATGGCGGTTCACCAATCCTCCATTACGCTATTGAGATCCGTGAATCAAGACGTAGTATTTGGGGCCGTGCTGGTGTAGTAGATGCCAACACATTGACTTTCACAGCCAAAAACCTGGTGGTCAACAATGAGTACTTTTTCCGTGTCCGAGCGGTCAATTCTGAGGGAGAGAGTCTGCCTCTAGAGGGTGTTGACTCTGTCACTCCCAGCAAGAAGAAAGGTAGGTTGAACACATGAAGCAAGAAATACATGGGATGCCACACTGTTCATGTTACTCTGTTTTCTTCTTGATAAAAGACTAATATGGATAGCTTCAGGTATTTGTAGGGCCACACAGCATAAACTCCAAAACATTTTGATGAACTTGTGCAGTCACCATTATCCCAGTAGTTTCTCCAGACTCCCGGTGGTTAATTCTCACTTGATTTCCAAAGGACAGGGGTGATGCCATGTTTGTTTATAAACTCTGAATGTAGTCCCTTCTTGATCTTTGATATTTGCATATCTATCCGCATATCTATCTGCATTTGACCCCAATGGATATCGTTCTTATCTGTTGGCTTTATCCTGCCGAGAAACCTACCAATTATATGATAAAAAGTATGATTGAGACCCCCTTGCTTTGACCAAGACAGTTTCCTCAGACTTCTTGGCCTACCATCCCGAATTCCCGATATCCAGATTGTATTTTGATCCCTGTCGTCATCTTCCACAGATGTCCCCGAAGCACCAGCATACATCTACCCCGGCCGTGTCTCCGACTCGTCTGTCACAATCGACTGGAAGGCTCCTCTCAAAGATGGCGGTTCCCGCATCAAGCAGTACCATGTGAAGATGACCGAGGACAAACCAGGCTCGCAGTGGGTGGATCTGGGATCAGTGGATGCCTACAAGACATCATTCAAGGCTAAAGACCTTGACTCCAAGAAGAAGTATCTGTTTGCAGTGGTGGCAGAGAACAGTGTTGGTCTCAGTGAGATGAGCGTTACAGACAGACCAGTGTCAGTCAAGACTGTTGTCAGTGAGTAAACAAATCTTCCATTTTAAAGCAAGCTACAAAGTAAGACCCAAGTACTCTTGCTATTCTTAATATGGTGATTACATGGTTACAATGACTGTTGAGATTGGAAGATAGAATTGAGTTACTATGATGGGATAGCTGGCTTTAAAAAGCTTTTGTTAGTGTCACCATACTCAAGTAATGACCCCCTGGAGTAGAAATCCTTGGCAGAATAAGTAAGGATAAGATTTATGGATGAACAATTTCTTTATTACAATTGAGAGCGACGTTTCTTTGTAGGTTGTAACACCATTATCAAACAAGTGATATACAGAGTATGGTTGACAAGTAGAATAGGTGGAGACCCATGTTTGGTGCATAAGCTCACTAAAAGAAGAAATGGATGCTCAAAATGTGCAACCTTGCTGATTGTGTGTCATGAGATGCCATCCTGACATCAACCAAAATGGCCCCTTTCAGATGAAAATTTGCTGTCTGGGCAAAAACCAGCTTTCCATTCACTTTATGGGTACACACAATTTGGCTGATGGTTTGTCGGAATCAGATTGTTACAGATGTAATGATGCTCCCTCATGCAAACTTCTTTCCTTGTCCCCAGAGCCACCATCACCACCTGAAGGACCCCTGAAGGTCATCAACCTGAGGAAAGACGGAGTCACCCTGTCCTGGATGCCACCTGAGGAAGATGGCGGTTCTCCCATCACTCACTATCTCATCGAGAAGCGTGATGCGTTCAAGACCAACTGGAGTCACGGAGACAGGGTCAAGGCCAGTCAAACCACCGCTGACGTCGACTACCTGACCCCAGGAAACAGCTATCACTTCCGGGTCCTGGCTGAGAACCTCATTGGCATCTCAGATCCTCTACTGTCAACTGAGCCTATCACACCAAAGAGTCCATACAGTAAGTATTTTCATTTTTAGAGAATTCAAAATGCAAAACCAGACTAGACCAAAAATATTCTTGTATTTAGAATGATCCTCACTAAACTTTTATAACAAAAAATATGGGATTTGATTGAAAATTTATTTTAGGTTTAATAAAATATAAGAATTGGTTCTCAGGCAATGGTTTTTGAAAATTAAGTGCGGTCGGGCAGCGTCTTTTTTGTTGTTGTTTAAACTGGTATGTAACCATAAATGTATTCCTTGATGAGTAAATACTGTAATACAGTATTTGACTTCTGTTGGAATATTTAAGTATTTTTAGGGTTTTTTAATAATGGAAATAAAAACGAAACGTTCGGCGAACATTGTGATGCAGGCTGTGCCTGAGAACCAAGATTATTTATTTTCTTTAGCCTTATAAACATCATTTTGTTGTATTAATGTTTCAAGATTGGAGATTAATTTTTTTATGGAATTATCGTGAGACGAACTTTTTATATTAACTGCCCACGTAAGTCATGGATGTAGGAGTGTGTATTTAGAAGGGACCACATATAGTACGTAGGATTGATAAAATAATGATGTATTTATTATGGCCATAGTTAACCATGCGTGTAAATTTGCCCAAGAATTTTACATCAAGTAGCTTAATGTGCTGCTCCCTCCGTCTCATGAAGGGCGGTTGGGTAGCCTAGTGGTTAAAGCGTTCGCTTGTCACGCCGAAGACCAGTGTTCGATTCCTGACATGGGTACAATGTGTGAAGCCCATTTCTGGTGTCCCCCACCATGATATTGCTAGAATATTGCTAAAAGCGGCATAAAACCATTCTCACTCACTCACTCCATCTCATGAATGGACACATTTTGTAAAAAGCTATTGTAATGTGATAGGCTGTGATTCTGTACTTTAACGTAGCACTATAACACTGCAACCACTTTATGAAACAAGTCCTTTGTCATATGTCTTTTGCCCCTAGCTAAAGGATACAATTGTTTACCCATATTTATTAAATATTTGAATACAGTGAGCTACAAATGGCCTCAGAACAAATCATTTACAAGTTCTGTTCTTCTAGATGTGCCCTCGCCACCAGTTGGGCCACTGGAGATCACCAGTGTGGATAAGAATTCGGCCACCCTCAAGTGGAAGCCATCAGAGAGTGATGGAGGACTTCCTATCAAGCACTACGTCATTGAGCGTCGTGAGGCCAAGAGACAGTCCTGGTTGCGTGTGGACAGCGTCCGCCCCACCACTCACAGTTTCACCGTGGAGCGTCTCATTGAGGGCAATGACTACATCTTCAGGGTGTTTGCTGAAAATGATGAAGGCTTAAGCCTGCCATTGGAATCTACTTCACCAACATCGTGCAGACGTCAAGCAGGTCCGTGTTTTGAGAAGCAGACATGAATCTGATCTTATCACTGTTACTATTGCCATAGTCATCAATTTTGTAAATCAATCTGAGTAAATTTTACTTTTCATGAGGCAGATTGCTGAATGGATTTAAAAAAATTGATATTTATGGGTGTGGTCACAATAAAGAATAACACACAAGATTGTTCTTTCAAGAAAAGCACATCCTTTGTTGGCCCGACTTTGATATGTAAAAAAACCCTACTTACTCAAGATAACTGTTGTATCTCAAGCTAATGATCGTATTTTAAAATGTGAAAGGGTATATTAAGATTTATGTTTTTTTAAAATCATTCATTAAGTTTTTGTGGAATATGTTTTGATAATGATTATGTTATTTTATCTCACATATGAAATTGACACCAATTTTGCATCTCCAACTTTCAATATTTTCCTCCCAGAACCCCCTGGCCCACCATCAGGCCGAATCCGAGCCAGCAAGATCACTGCCGACTCCGTTATGCTGGACTGGCTGCCTCCCATCGACGATGGTGGCTCCCCAATCACCAAGTACATCATCGAGGCTCGTGGGGCCAGTGACACCGATTGGAAGACCATGGCTGAAGTGGACTCTACTGCCACCAGACAGAACATCCGGAACCTTAAAACTGGAGAGGTATATGACTTCAGAATCGCTGCAGTGAATGCAGTCGGACGCAGCAAGCCTAACAACCTGGAAACAACTGTCAAGCCAATAAGACCTATTGGTAAGTCAAGACTATCAAATCTATTATGACATTTTCCAGATGTCAGTTTAAAAGATTAAAATTCATTTTGTATTTCTTTACCATTAACTAGAGGCTCCAGGTAATTCAGGACTATGGAATCTATTGTTTGATTTTATAAATGTGATCAAGTTTAAAAGATTAAAATTCATTTTGTTCTTTCTTACCGTTAACCAGAGGCTCCAGGAGCCCCTAGAGGACCTCTGCAGCTTACCAACATGAGGCGTGACACTGCCACGTTGTCATGGCAACCACCACTTGATGATGGAGGCACCCCAGTGACAGGCTACACCATTGAGAAGAATGACACGACCCGCAATGCTGGCTGGATGAGGGCAGCAAGGGTCGCCGGCCCCGTCACCAACTACACTCTGTCCAGTCTCGTAGAAGATCACTCGTACATCTTCCGCGTGTCAGCAGAGAACAAGATCGGACTTGGTGCTCCACTAGAAATGAAGACAGCTGTTGTTGCAAAGAGCCAGTTTGGTGAGAGCTGTTTTTATAAAAATTATTAGTTCTGGCAAGTATTAGTGCTCTAATATAATGAGTAATAATATCACAAGATATTGGACATGCAAAATATGGCCTGTATTGGTCTGAAGTTTCATCCCAAAAGAATATGTACTACAATGAAAAATCTGTGAAACAGTTCTTAAAAAGAAAAAACCTTGTTTGTTGTACATGAACAAAAACCAAAAGGAATCAACAAATAGTAAAAATTTCATTGCTAAATACCTTGTAACAAAGAATTTATGACATCATTTTAATGGTGGCGTTCTCCTGCTAGATGTTCCATCACCACCCAGTCGTCTGCGGGCTTCTGATGTCATGGACGAGACAGTTGAACTTGAATGGCTGCCGCCAGACTTTACTGGCAACCTTCCCCTGACTGGTTATGTTGTTGAGCGTCGCGATGCAGACAGGATGCAGTGGCAGAGAATCGGCAACACCGGACCTGATGTGACCAAATTTGAGGCCTTGAACCTGTTGGAAGGTCGTATGTACATGTTCCGCGTGATGGCGGAGAATGCAGAGGGTCTCAGTGAACCGGCCATGTTGCCAAGACCCATCATGCCCGAGAGACCAGTCGGTGAGTGCCAGTTCCAATATTTGTTGGACTGGATCTTTATTGCCTTTTGGCAGCGTTCTTTGGTAAATTAATGATGGACTCAGCTCCTTGGTATGTTTCCAATGTCCAGTCTAGGTCAAGATGTTGTAATTGTTCCCATGTATGAAATGAAAACATTGACTCTGTGTAATTAGGGTAGTCTTGCCCTTTTCGTGAACACCTGGTGTCATCACTGATTTTCATTTACTGATTCACTGATGACCCATTTATATAATTGTCACCGCTATTTTGCCTTTAACCCCCAGTGGAATCTGTTTCGGCAGATAATTGAGATTTTCTTGTGTTGATGTTTAATATTTAACTTCAAAATTAATATACATCATCAATTTTGAATTAGCAAAGAATGTGATGTGCATGAGTTGAATCGAGCTTTCTGGGACTGCCAATTGGCTTCATTGAGCCTTGTTGCTTTCGGGGGTTACAAATCAGATCATTGTAACAGTGACTAAATGATGACGTGACTGCATCTTTCCGTGGTAAATGATACAGATTATGTGGCCCCAGTGGTTACTGAGAGTATGTAGACAAGGTTGAGAGACACCTCAGAGTCCTCCGTTAGCTGAAAATGTCACTGTACTGCTGCATGGTAGATGATGCTCACGCTATCGGCCACCAGTTTGCCTACTCCTGACCTAACACATTCTGAAAGCTGCTGAGATACTCACTGATCCTGTTTATCCTTTGTGAACAGATCTGCCCGGACCTCCAGAGGACCTTCACGAGACAGCTGTGGACCGAAGCATGGTGTCGCTGACATGGCGCCGACCACAGTATGATGGTGGCGCTGTCATCACAGGATACAAGATCGAAGAGAGAGACGGCAAAGCTGCCACCTGGGTGACGGCTGGAGAGGTTGGAGGCTTTGACCTCATGTACGACGTCCGTGGACTTATTGAAGGATATGAATACTTCTTCCAAGTCAGCGCCAAGAACATCAGAGGCTATGGTCCACCTGCTGAGCTCAAACAAGCCATTGTGCCATCTAAGCAGAAGGGTGAGTGACTTTACAAACTTTGTCAATAGAATCTGTGAAGCTTCTCATGACAATTTGCTCAATAAGGTATGTTGATTGTTTTACCGTGTCAGCTGGATCAAGGCGAGCTTCATTTCAACTTTATTTGCGGAAATTATTACACCTTATTCAAGGAAAACAGATACAAATCATGTTTATGTATGGAAATAGTTATTTGAACAGTTACTTAGGAAGAAATGCGAAGTTTTATTGTCAAATGCTGAGCTGGCTATCGAACGCCAGTTGACATTGCCAGTGGAAGCTGAAAGTAAAACACCTGGAAAAAAACATGAGATCTTTGACTCTGTGTATAAGACGACCCCCCTTCTTAACCCCCTCATTCTAGGTACGAAAATCTCGCCTTATACACAGCAATATACAGTATATTCAAATTAATGGTTGGATTAAGCAAATAAGGAAAGATTTCTCAATATTCAAGGCATTTTCTATATGATTTAAGAAAAATATTGACCCTGTGTTATTGTGTTTGCTTAAAGTAAAGATATCCTGGTTTCTATTCCCTATATTATATATGGTGGCAGGTTTTGTAGTCCCTTTCTGTGATACAAGATAATGCAAGCTCTTTCAGAACTTTCATTTACTCAATTTGATGACAGTTTGAAAAATGTCAGTGGCTATCAATGTTTCTTGATGTTGTTCCTCAGGTAAACCATCCCGCCCAGTTGGTCCACTCCAATGCAGCAACATCACCGACGATTCTGTGAAGCTGTCATGGCTGCCGCCAGAGAGTGATGGAGGGTCCAGACTGACTGGCTACATTGTAGAGAAATCTGACATCAGACGTCCAACATGGCTACGTGTTGGCAAGGTCAGTAAAACAGGACTGAACAAGAGCAAAATTTGCCATACATGCTTGATCATGGAGTATAAAACCTATGCCTTACGTGTAAAGCCCATTCCTGGTCACTAGTTTACTTTCTAGTCCCTTGGGAATTCCAAGTCAGAATAGGTCCCAAGCAACTGGGGGCGGTCGGGTAGCCTGGTGGTTACAGCGTTCACTCGTCACGCCGTAGACCCTGGTTCAATTCCCGACGTGGGTACAATGTGTGAAGCCCATTTCTGGTGTCCCCCGCTGTGATATTGCTGGAATATTGCGAAAAGCGGCGTAAAACCATACTCACTAACTCACTCCCAAGCAACTGATGCTTGTCACAAATGACTAAATGGATCAAGTGTCTATTTCATCCCATGGATTCAGGACAATATGTAAACAATGTTTATTTTTATCATGTTAGAAATCATACAATTAAACTTAAAAATTATCCTAAACTGCAATAAATGAAAGTAGCTTTGGTAATAAAAATTGTATTGTCCTACATAGAAATGGCATGATTACTTTTATATTGAGGTTTATCGTATTGCACAGTCCAATTTTGTTGGTATTTCTAGGTTGATCCTGATACAACGACACTGAAAGTTGAAAACCTCCTCGACAACGTTGGCTACTTCTTCCGTGTAATGGCTGAGAACGCCGTCGGAGTGGGTCAGCCTCTTGATAATGAATCTCCCATCATTCCAAAGAGTCCATACGGTAAGGAATAAAAATATATTCATTAAGTTGTTTCTGTTTTCATTTTATTTTTGAATTCTTCAAGAAACGTCACTTAGATTTGTAAATATATGCATGTACGTTTTAATCTGAAATCAATGTTGTTGAAAATCAAACTTCATATTGATATCTGAGACCAAATTTAACTTTTCTTGGCTCTAATTTCATTTTTGTATTTCTTTCACTTTTAGGTCCCCCAGGGCCCCCTACTGGACCAATCAAATCAATGCAGATGACCCGCGACTCTGCAACCTTCCAGTGGGAACCTCCAAGTCAAGATGGTGGCTCAAAGATTACTGGCTACATCATAGAGAGGCGAGAAGAAGGCAAGAAGTCCTGGATGTATGTTGGCCGCAATGATGCCGACAATCTTTCCTTCTCGGCCACTGGACTGACCGAAAATATGGACTACTACTTCCGAGTGTACGCTGAGAACAAATATGGCCGCAGTGATGCTCTGCAGTCAGAAATTCCCATCATACCAAAGAGAGTATTTGGTAAGTACAAGATGTTGTTTTATTCATTTGAATTATTCTGTTTGAAATCATACAGTTTTAGGTGATGGTATTTTAAGTTTTTAAGTTTTATTATATATATTTATTATATATTGTATTTTTTTAAAATGACCAAGTTCGTAAAGAAAATTATACATAAGTCATTCAGTTATCAGTTATAGAAATTGAAACTTTTATTCAGAAAAGTTTTGTCTAGAAATTGTATGATTTCAACTTAAAAATACTTAAATGAGGCTTCTGTTTTGCCCACAAGTGAGTATTTATCACAGCTTATGTTAGTACTGGTTTGTTTTTGCAAACACTATCATCGAGAAATTTATCTATTTTGTATCACGGATTCATTGAGTTCAACTTTTTTAAAGTTCAATTTCTACCATAAGCTGTTGATGGATATGTCAAGTGGGATTGTCCACTGGTTTTGGGTTTGCAATGTGGGGGTTTGAACCTGTTTCCATGACGACTTCTCTGAGGCATGGTGAGGGGGCGTGGCACCATGTACCCATATGGCCAGACACGCCCCCCTTTCTGTGTGACATGGTGTGGACAGTATATTCCTTAGCAGATGTACTTAGACCCATTAGAGTTCAGCCCACAGTACAGTCTAAAGGTAGTTGTGTTATGTACATTCTTACATAGGCGATACTTTCTGATAAAAGTAAAAATATATTTTGAATTACAAACCACAGATATAAAAAAATAAATGACATTTACAATTTTTAAGGGATTTAATAAAAGACATTTTATCACATCGTTTTATCAGTGAAGGTTTTGATTGCTGAATTCAACATTTTCATTTAAAATCATGATAAATATTCATGCATACATTTAGAGTATTTTTTCTGGGTTGGATGTCAAAGGTCAGTTTCAATCTAGACCTGAAGCAGTGAGTCTATCTGATATATTCAACCCACAATCTGCAATATACCTTCACCCTAGATTTAATACACCTAGTATAAAAACTATGGTTGAGTACATGGAATAGAGGTCCTGTTTTGTCTCCATTTCAAGTCTAGTTCCAACAATAGATGCACGATTGATGCAGTAGGTGTGTGATTCGTTTTTATAATTAGAGTTACCTCCCCTTCAAGTGAGTGTTGGAAATTAAGAGAGACAAAGTCACATGTTGACTGGTGAATATAACTGAAAAACTGTTCATGTAATGCATGTAAGATAGCATGAAATACTATTCCAACATAAAATATTACCACCTGGTAATGTAATAATAGAGTTATCTCCCCTTCAAATGAGTGTCGAAAATTAATAGAGACAAAATGGTGGTGACTATAACTAAAACACTATACATATGTTCACAGTTTTCATGTAAAGCATGTTCTGTGGAATGAAAGACTATTCCAAAATAAAGTATTACCACCTGGTAATACAGTGGAACCTCATTGTGTCGAGGGGCAGTCGGGTAGCCTAGTGTTTAAAGCGTTCGCTTGTCACGCCGAAGACCCGGGTTCGATTCTCGACATGGATACAATGTGTGAATCCTATTTCTGGTGTCCCCCACTGTGATATTGCTGGAATATTACTAAAAGCGGCGTTAAACCATACTCACTGACTCATTTGTGTCAAACTTAAAAGTGTCAAATTCCCTGTTGTACTGACTCATTTGGGAGTCCCAAGTATCTAAGTTAAACTAAAATTCCCCTGATGTCTCGAAACCCAACATAACTCCAACATTTGTCCAACTCCCCACAAGTTCTCCACAACGATGTTTGACTGTTTAATGATGGACACAATCACTTCACATCGTGGCGAAATAAAGGGGAGATAACCTCAGTCTGACATCCTTTATCTTAACCCTTAGTGCCTCTATATGTATGATGTCCTTGCTTGTCTCACTTAACCTTCTTGCCTTGTGTTTGTGGGGCATGGTGCATGGTGCATGGTGCATGTGGAAATCTTTTAATTATTCTTTCATTATGTCATTTCTTTCAACTTGTCAGTCTGTTTATGATATTACAGTCAAAATGTTTATTATCGAGACATTTTTCAAAACTTGTAACACGAGTAGAGCTGCGTGTTGAGCCGATTTCATTTGTGTAAATGATTACAAAAAAAGTAATGTTTCCCTGTTCTATCCTAAACAGACTGATTGTACTTTAACTTTTTAATCAGTAATTTGTTAACCAAGACTGCTGCTGCTCCGTGAAGCTGTTGAAGCATCTAACATTGAAATTATTGGTTCAGTTTTCATGATCTTCTGTATACTTACTTACCTTTCCTCTGGTGCTTCTTTGCAAAATTAACACAAGCTTCCTATGAGATATGGTCTCAGAAGTTCAAACATTTTGAAGAGGAATTACACCGTGATAATTGAAAGGACTATATATAATTTATTTCCTATAACTCTAAACAATTAAAGATGCATTGGAAAAGATATTGTGAATGAATTGAAACCTAGAATTCTAGACTGCATATTTCTTGATTATTATTCGGAAAAATATGGATATCATGTTATCTATCTCTAACTGCTTTACAACTGAAATTTAAGTTTGACATATATTTTTTGTGGAAAACAAATTGACAGGTGTTTTTATGTAATTTTCAAAATGTTGAATCCTTGACACTCTCTCTGCATCCTACTTTGAAATTTATGGGATTAAAAAATATATTATCTTGATTATATATCAAAACTTCTGTAAGACACATTGTGGTATCCACAATAATCTCTATACTCCGTGTTGGACTTCCTTGATTAGCCTGTGTAATATTTCTCAATTCTATTGGGATGAATATCATGGACCCATTTGTTACCATAGCTTCGATTTTAGCCAGATTCAAATTAGGTGACAACTAAGATTGCCATCAAATCAAATAACTCTAAGACTGAGAGAATTTCTGTGCTAAGCTGGTCAAAGGCTAGATGAAGATAGTGACGTCTCTTTCCAACGAAGCTTTGATGTCAAATGGGTCCAGGGTATTTATTTACTAAATGGAGATATAATACCATGGAGAGTAGAGGATGAGTGTTGGAAGGTCAATGGTTGTCGTGTCAGCAGCTGTCTTGGTTAACTCTCTGTGACAACTCACATTCTCAACGCTGCTGTTTCTCTGTTTCTCCAGAATACGCTGGGAATAGTTGGCTCCGCCAGGCAAACCTTCAACCATGTATTAATGTCTACATGATTCAGAATCTTACAAGACACGAGTATATCTATCGTGTATACGCTGACAACCCCCTAAGCTCTGTGTGGGATTCCATAGACTTGAGTTCTATTGCGGGACGATTTTAACAAATTGATTGTTATCCAACCACACGTTATATTCTCCTAACAACTTATGGTGTGAAAGTTCGGAAATTTGATTTCATTTGACGCGTTCTCATTTCTCTTAACATATTAACCACTAATTTATTATTTATTGCTAAAAGCTTTCTGATTTAATTTTTAATGACTAACATCTGTACATTCTATGACTAATATCTGTACATTTATGTATGGTAACTTTGTTATCATTGTTAGTTTTCTTATTTCACTGATCTCTTTGTTGACATTGATATTAACATATTTCCTTGGCTGTGTCTGGAGCATATTCACCTGATGGGCATTTATCATCAGAGATTGTGAGTTGTGTTCATTTTCTGCATTTGCGTACCATTATTGCTTCTTTCTGCGCTGAAGCTGTCATATAGACGCATGCGAATATTTGGCTTTACAAGCTTTTGAGGTATTAACAATGTACCAAAATTGCATAAATTTCAGGAAACATGTCATAATGTCAAAATATTGATGTTTGGGGTGTTTCATTTTGGCCTTGACTTAAACGTAATTTGTTTCCTTTTCTGTTTGAAATTTATCAATGTGTCATTTTCGGTGACTGTAGTTATCTCCCCTGACTTGATATCTACAGTTGCAATTATATTGTTGGGCACATTTGTAGATACCAAACAGCAATGGAAATAGTTCTGTTTAAAAATGTTTATTGAAAATATAATGCGCTTTGCTTCAATCGGAAATATTTATCGATGGAAAACAAATCTCTAATGATTTCGGCCCTGACCCTTTCAGTTGTATTATGCTCCGTACACAGATGATTCTATGTGTTAAACTGTCATTTGTGAAGTCAATTATCTCCTCTTTAATTTCTATAGGTTTCCCTCGGTGAATAAATCTTTATAACTGTTGGCGATGTTATTTTGTTATCAATATTGTACTATGTTGTGTATATTAGTGTAGATTAGATGTAGTCGATGTTGTCTATAACAGCACTCACGTTGCATACACAGGCAATATGTTGTCGTATTACAGGATCAATGCTGAATGGCTCACGATGCATGGATAGGAAAGTTTTTGGATCAAGTGTTATAAAACAGTTACATGACAGCTATCATAAAGTGGTATTTTAGAAGCTGTAGTGTCCATGAACACTAATGGATTCAACTTATTTATTAATTTATTTGGAAGTTTTACACAAATGATTCATTCTTTGTTTCAACATCAGAAAGTTTGATGCTGATCTCAAAGCAATGTCATTGAAATCAGATCTCAGTTCTCCCTACCACAAAACAAAGATCTGAGGACATCCCATTACGGGTCATGTCAGAACGACGTTACATCCGACCAATGAGAGCGTTGCTTACCAGATCAGGAAAGTGACATTCGGGGTGTATTTTCTATTCATGTAACCTGGAAAAGTTAACACAGGGTTTTACGAACGACAGGTACAGGTTTTATGACTGAATCCACACAAGCTGGGCCATTTATTAACCATTCTAGAATGTTGTTTTGTTCAGTTTTCAAATTTTTACTAAAAAGATTTGACAAGATTTGTTTCGAATGAAAGTCACCAGTTTGAAACTAGTGCTGAAAGTAAGAAAGATTGCCTTCTGATTGACCAATATCGACTTCTTGTCAGTCATTCCATTGGTCGGTCAAAGATCGCCAAAGTTCGGTCTGACGTGACCCATATTGGGATGTCTTCAGATCTTTGTTAAGGGGTAGCAAGAACTAAGATTTGATTTTAATGAGATTGAT